TGATCTGAACCACATCTTCATCAACTTCTCCCCCGTCTTCAACCTCCAGCCCATTGATGTTGAGCAGGCTCTTGCTGGTTTCCTGGACCGCTTCGGCCGCCGCCTGTGGCGCCTGCGCGTCACTGGTGCCGAGATCCGCATCCTCTGCACTGATCCCACCACCGGCATGCCCTACCCTCTGCGTGTCATCATCAGCAACACCTACGGTTTCATCATCCAGGTTGAGCTGTACATTGAGCGCAAGTCCGAGAAGGGCGAGTGGATCTTCCAGAGCATTGGCGGTACCAGCAAGCTCGGCTCCATGCACATGCGTCCCGTCTCTACTCCTTACCCGACCAAGGAGTGGCTCCAGCCTAAGCGTTACAAGGCTCACCTCATGGGAACTCAGTACGTGTACGATTTCCCCGAGCTGTTCCGCCAGGCCTTCCAAAACAGCTGGGCCAAGGCTGTCGAGACCATCCCCTCGCTCGCCTCGCAGCGCCCGCCTACCGGCGAGTGCATCGACTACAGCGAGCTGGTTCTCGATGACACCGACAACCTGGTGGAGGTTTCCCGCGAGCCGGGTACCAACAGCCACGGTATGGTCGGCTGGATCGTCACTGCTCGCACTCCCGAGTACCCCCGTGGCCGTCGCTTCATCATCGTCGCCAACGACATCACCTTCCAGATTGGTTCGTTCGGTCCTCAGGAAGATAAGTTCTTCCACAAGTGCACTGAGCTCGCTCGCAAGCTGGGTATTCCCCGTATTTACCTGTCTGCCAACTCCGGTGCTCGCATCGGTATGGCCGATGAGCTGATCCCCTACTTCTCCGTTGCTTGGAACGACGCTGCGAAGCCCGAGGCTGGCTTCAAGTACTTGTACCTCACCCCTGAGGTCAAGAAGCGCTTCGATTCCAGCAAGAAGAAGGAAGTCATCACTGAGCTGATCCACGATGAGGGCGAGGAGCGCCACAAGATCACCACCGTCATTGGTGCCAAGGACGGTCTTGGTGTCGAGTGTCTCAAGGGCTCCGGTCTTATCGCCGGTGCCACCTCCAAGGCTTACGAGGACATCTTCACCATTACCCTGGTTACTTGCCGTTCCGTCGGTATCGGTGCCTACTTGGTCCGTCTTGGTCAGCGTGCCATTCAGGTTGAGGGCCAGCCCATCATCCTGACTGGTGCCCCTGCCATCAACAAGCTGCTCGGTCGCGAGGTGTACACCTCCAACCTGCAGCTTGGTGGTACTCAGATCATGTACAAGAACGGTGTCTCGCACATGACCGCCAACGACGACTTCGAGGGTGTTCAGAAGATTGTCGAGTGGATGGGCTTCGTTCCCGACAAGAAGGGTTCCCCCATCCCCATCCGTCCCTGGTCTGATGACTGGGACCGCGATATCGGCTACTTCCCTCCTGCCAAGCAGGCCTATGACCCGCGCTGGCTCATTGCCGGTAAGCAGGACGAGGAGGGCTTCCTCCCCGGTCTGTTCGACAAGGACTCCTTCGAGGAGGCCCTCGGTGGCTGGGCTCGTACCGTCGTTGTTGGTCGTGCTCGTCTCGGTGGTATTCCCATGGGTGTCATCGCCGTTGAGACTCGCTCTGTTGAGAACGTCACTCCCGCTGACCCTGCCAACCCCGACTCTATGGAGATGATCACCCAGGAGGCCGGCGGTGTCTGGTACCCCAACTCTGCGTACAAGACTGCTCAGGCTCTGCGTGACTTCAACCATGGTGAGCAGCTGCCCGTCATGATCCTGGCCAACTGGCGTGGTTTCTCCGGTGGTCAGCGCGATATGTACAACGAGGTCCTCAAGTACGGTTCCTACATTGTCGATGCCCTCGTCAAGTACGAGCAGCCCATCTTCGTGTACATTCCTCCCTTCGGTGAGCTGCGTGGTGGTTCTTGGGTCGTCATTGACCCGACCATCAACCCCGACCAGATGGAGATGTACGCCGACGAGGATGCCCGTGGTGGTGTCCTCGAGCCCGAGGGTATTGTCAACATCAAGTACCGCCGCGACAAGCAGCTGGATACCATGGCCCGTCTGGATGCCACCTACGGTGAGCTGCGCCGCTCGCTCGAGGACACCTCGTTGTCCACGGAGCAGCTGTCTGCCATCAAGGCCAAGATGGCCGAGCGCGAGGAGCAGCTGCTCCCCGTGTACCTCCAGATTGCTCTGCAGTTCGCCGACCTGCACGATCGTGCCGGTCGCATGCAGGCTAAGAACACGATTCGCGCCCCTCTGCGCTGGCAGAATGCCCGTCGCTTCTTCTACTGGCGTCTGCGCCGCCGTCTGAGCGAGGAGCTGATCGTCAAGCGCATGGTCGCCGCCTCCGCCTCTCCCTCTTCCCGCACCGGCGCCATCCCCTCATCTACCGCTACCGCTGCCGAGACTACTCTGCCTCCTGCCGAGACTCCTCGCGCCGCGCACCTGCGCACCCTGCATGCCTGGACCGGCATGCTGGATGAGGAGCTTGAGCACGATGACCGCAAGGTTGCCATGTGGTACGAGGAGAACAAGAAGGCTGTCCAGGTCAAGGTTGAGTCCCTGCGTACGGAGGGCGTTGCCTCCGAGGTTGCCTCCCTGTTGATTGGCAACAAGGAGGGTGGTCTGCGCGGTGTGCAGCAGGTTCTTTCTATGCTCCCAGTCGAGGAGCGTGAGAGTGTCCTGAAGTATCTTGCTTCCGCTTAGATGGGAGTTTGAGTGAATGTGTGAATGGGTGATATTATAGATCAATCATGACTTGATGTGTCTTTTTTTTTTTTTTTTTTTTTTGTTAATTGGCTTTTTGTGCATGGTGTTTATTGTTTCTGGCCTGTGTTTTCTTATAAACTTGGTTAATCATTGAGATGCTTTTTATCCCATGAATAAATACATTAAATGGGTTCTTTAATTTTCTCTCCTTTGCCTGTTTCGTAGCGCAGAGGGCTCGTAGCTTCCCAGGTCTTATCAGAGTAGAAAGCCATTTTATCCAAGGTCTTTGTATCTCCGTACTATTAGTGTGAACGGTATACTGAGTCTGGTAGTTAGACCGAGTGTATTGCGAAGGGTGATAGGTTGAGAATTGTGAGCATAATGGATTCTTACCTCGTTCTGGTGAATTTTGTGTATGGGTTCATGCATCTTCGTCTCAATATCGATTCCAGTCGAAATTCGGTGCAGCTCCTGTTGCTGCGGGCCTGTTTGATGCGTCTCTCGAATCTCCTTCCGCAGATCTAGCCTCGGATGAGTGCATCCTTATGGTCCCCTTGAGAGTGGCATAATCATCCCTTAAACACAGACCTATTGATTTCCCTGCCCTTCTCTCACTCCCTGCCCTTCTCTCACTCCCTGCCCTTCTCTCATTCCCTCTCCTTCTCCCACTCCCTTCTTCGTCGTCGTCGTCTTCTTCTTCTTCTTCTTCTTCCGAAACTCCAAAACCGCATCCTTAGATGGCCTCTGGCTACTATACGGCGCCCAATAAAAGAATCGATCCCCAACATCCTCATTGTTCCAGTTCCGCCGGAGTTCGCGCTCGCGGGCGCGTACCCTTTTGTGGTAGGCACGGTTTGCGCGTTTGCGGCGCCTGGTTGTGGATAGGTTTGAGAGGAAGTTTGTGAGCCATGTGAACATTTTAAACAATATCAATGAGTTGTTATAGTTGGAATTGTTGTGGTGGGGCTCCGCGGTTGGATTGGTTGTTGAGTGGTATTGTTGAGTGTTTGAAGAGGATGGTGTATACGCGTGGTAGGCTGAATACTTGGGCGTTCCATATATGGAATCAATGGGAGAAAGAAGATTGTCGGGGATAGCGTGGGTCTTTGATATAAGACCCCCCTCCCCCTGGGCCATTAAGTGAGGTCACGCTAAGGACGCTGCGCCATGTAAGCCAGTTAGTAAGGGGTCCGGGCGTTGGATGGCGCTGTTTATGGGATAGTCGTGCTTGACTCATCATGAGTCGCCCGGTCTGCGCCCCAAGATAGTTTGGGGGCCGATTTGGGGAGACACTTACACTTACGAAGGCGTGTGGTAAATCTTATTTGAGAACAACTGTTTTGCAGATTAACATTTTGTGGCTTGGTCATCATAATCGCTCCTTCATACGAATTAAGGCTGAATGAACTTGAGTAGGTATAAAAGCTTGAAATCGCGTCTGTGAACGTCTTGCAATTTTAGTGATTAGTTCGCCGAGAAGGTTTGATCCAGCGTGTTTCTACCAAGTAGAAGCCTACTAAACTGATAAGATATAGTAGAGTCTTGACCTTAAAACAGAGGCAAAATGTACGTGAAGTCCAGTAGAAGAAGAATATTCAATTTACCGAACCTGGATGGTTTCCCATTGTGATGCGACACTTGTTTTCTCGGTACTGAAGCGAACAGTCCTGTTCTGCATGTTACATGGGAGCAAGCTTGTAACTCCACCCATACCATTCTTTTCTCAGCCTAGCAAGAAAACCAATGCAACTGGCACATATCATCACCCGGCGCCTAACCTGGGCGCTCATCTATAGAAGCTAGCCCTGATCGTCATTAGCCCCTTCAGCCTTACGGCGAAGTGGGTCAGGGGTGAGAGTGCACATACACAACTTCAAGCAAGGCCGAATTCGTTATAGCCGAAATGTCGATTTATCAAGAAGCCTCTCCCCCGAGTCTGCTCATATTCATTTCTGATATGAATGACTTCAAGAAAAGTGAGATTGTAATGCTTGGTGCGAGTCTGCAGTACAGGGTCGAGGATGCAAGCACGATGCCTTGTTTCAAGGGCAACAGGCAACAGAATTTCCCATTGAAGCCAATTGGTGGGAATCAAATGTGGAGCATACTAGTTGCAGGGTTCTACTACGCACTGAAGATGTCTACTTTGCGGAAGAACGAAAGAATTGACAAGTGTTTTCGAAACAGAGGTAGAAAAAGGGAAGCACATGATCAAGAGTAGCATTGACCAGTGGTGTTTGCGTTCTCATATTGAAGGAAGATACATTTGACATCAATGAAGGAAATGCGAAACTAACAGTAGACCTTTCAGAAAAATAAGAACTTAGAAACAACTGGGGCCAATCCGCCAACCCCCAAGAGTACTACCAATCCCACCAGACGCGGGTTGGCGATCGTAACCAAGCAGCGGCTCGCTCTCCTGTGCAACAAAGGAGAACGATTTCAGAGGAACTTGATCTGCCTGAGCACTGTAATCTTCAGTAGTCTGTTGATGAAAATGAAGACGAGAGAGTCCCTGCCAGCCATACCTGTTCTCTAGCTCATGAGTGAATAACGCCTTGCTCCATTTGTCCCGGAGTACCATTTGGATAGATAGCAGCCTCTGGTTTCTGAATGTGGTTCGGATAAGCCCATTGTTGTATTGGAGGTGGTTGAAAGGCAGTATTTTGAAGTTCTCTCTCCTTTTCTTTCTTCTCACGGCGCCTCTTAACGAGCAAGACAATGACGACGGCGGCAACGATGACGAGAACGATGGGGATGAGAATTGCTTTGAGGAGGAGCTTGACGAGGCCCATACTGAATGAGAAAATTACGCGTTGGGTTGGGCTTAGTGAGAGAAGCGATCAAAAGACCAGAGTACGCCCTGGATGACCGTAGGGAATGGAGATTGTGAGACCTAAAGAAACTACATCGAGCAGCTTTATACTACAGCTACTCCATAAGGCAACCTTTCAAACGAGGGCGTGATAATTGATGGCTAGAGGCTAGGACAGAGCGCGTATTCATAGGATGTGGTTGGACCGGAAGGATAAAGCGCCATCTATGTGGACATGCTGTTGCCTGTGTCGCACTCTAGGGCCATATATAGCCTACCAATGATGTGAGAAATACGTTAAATTAGGAATATACCTCGCAATACTTATTGGCGCGAAGCTAGTCGAAGATCTCAGCCTTATAGGGCTCATGATGTGATTGTCGTTGCAGGGTGGGTCACGGTTACAATGGTGGTCTGTCGGGCTATCTCAATTACTTTGTGCACACAACCAGAAACTTTGTCATCACTGGTCTCTCGAAAGTACTTTAAATATGGTGGTAGTTGCATATACATCGATGTATCCGAATGGACAGAATATCCGTGGCAGGTTTTTACTATTCATGCCGGTGTTGTTGATTAGGATCTCCCAAGAAAATATGGCTGATTAAAAGATTGTCTTTGGCTAGAGGTCTATGACTACATACTAAGCACAAATGGTAGAGTGCAAGGCAGGGAGGAAACCCGTAGCTCTTTGTTGTTACTGGCTGGTGATTTTACGGTTTGAGCCATGGTCAACCTAGGTGAGACGTCTTTAGGGAAACCGTCAATCAATGAATACCAGAAATAAAAGAGGCTGGAATCGAATCGTTCTTCTTACCCTAAGGGCTTTCCCCTCAACTTCAAGGCTCAAAAATTCAACGGCCCATTCACCCTCATTCAAGACGGCTATTGAGACACCGTGGCCAGCTCGACCTTGTCCTCAATCCTGATTTTAGCATCACCGTACCAAGTTGTTTCCCTGGTCTGCTCGTTTGCAAGGCCTTAGGCTGCTCAATCAAACGCTTGAATAGATCGCACGTGGTGTTTCGGGCGACTCTCGTTGCTCCGGCCGCACAGGGTCTGCGGGAGATCGGCGCGATCCATGGGACCCTTATATACCGGTGAAAGGGAAACAGATTTGCTGGTGCTAGGTATCAGGATTCATAATTTCTCTCTTATTATGCCTCGTATGCGATCCTTTGCTAATGTAGCAATTTCGGGGGTTCTTGTGGTCGGTGTCCTCTATTTGATATTCCCTGTTCTCGGCGACATTTGCCAACATTTTGATTTTTCCGGGGAGAAACGAGTCGAGAGCTTCAATTTCAGGCCGACCAAATTCGAAGAAATTTGCTTTAGTGGCAATACCAACTCAGCAAACACCATACCTAGAGTGGTCCATGTCATATGGCTCGACAATACTGAGCTGAACTTTAGAAGCTACTTGACGATACGATCAGCGTTGATATCTCTACAGCCCGATCGAATCAAGCTCCACGTTACCGATCTCAATGAGCAGAATGAGTGGTTCATGAAACTACGCGACAATGTGACTCTTGTGCGGCACGATCTGGAAACCGAATATGGACAGCAAATCAAAGCCAAGTGGCAGATACCTCATATCGCAGATTTACTCCGCCTCAATATCATTGCCAAGGAAGGCGGGATATATCTTGACATGGACGTTATCGCGCTGCGATCATTTGACAATCTGTTAGGCTGTGAGAAAGACCTGATCCTAGGCAATGAAGGCGGAGATCGACATGGACTATGCAACGCGATCATCATCGGCCGCCCGGGCTCCTCCTTCGTTAAACGTTGGCGCGAGAGCTACAGCACCTTTACCACCACCGAGTGGAACTACCATTCTGTCATTTTACCCAAGGAGTTATCATCTTTGCACCAAGACATTTGCACGGTTTCGCCTTCAGTCTTTTATTGGCCGACCTGGACAAAGAAACATATCCGGTACATGCATGAGCCAATCACTCAAAGCGAAGCGCGAAAATTTGAAGCTACAATTATCGAGAATGGAGGAGGGATGTATCCCGATCAGCTTGCGTATCATGCGTGGAGCCAAGTCGCCTCCACTTATTTGAATGATCTGAGCCCGGCGAAAGTGGATTCTGAGAATACTCGATATAATGTACTGGTTCGCCGATTCATAGAATGAGTAGATCTTGCCTCTGCATGAAGTTACTTTGATATTTTCGCAAGATTACGAACAGCTACGTTGGAAAGAGAGGCAAAGGGAAATTTGATTGAATATGCATGGCTCGAGGAACGGAAAAGAATATTACCATAGCTACTGCAAGGGCCGAACGATTAGGAGGAACCCGTAGATTATGGGTTCGATCGATCGTGGACCCGTTCACTTCTGTCCAAGGAAATGTTCTCCACTCGAGATTAATGAACCGCCTCCACCAGGTCACCATATAGAAAGTCAAACCCAACGACTAGCGAGAAAGTAAAGCCCAATATCTCGCTATCGACTACGGAATTTTTAGGGGCAATCATATATATTATGACTCTTAGGGTGAGAACTTATCAATGGCGGCAAAATTCTTAGCCTCCCGTCCATTCGCACGGGCATTGGGCAGCAGTTACAGCACGAATAATTCAAGCCGGCGATAGATCGGCACAGCTCGGCTAAGGCTCGGCATCTTCCGAGAAATCGCCGCCCAAGCTTGACTCAGGTACTCAAGTAAAGAAATCTAGAATTTTTTGCTTATTGTTGTTTTATCGACGGCCCGCTGAGTGTTCGGGTATATATTCATTACATCCCCTAATCCTTCCCACGTTGTTTAGACATCTTCCATTTTACCTTCTCCTCCAACACCCTCCAGCAACTTTCACCATGAGCAAATCATCCTCCTCTTCCTCTCTCACTGAGATGAGCGTCACTAGCAAGTCGCATAATGAAACTACCATTTCACGACTGAAGAAGCGCATGGAAAGCGTCCAGAAAAAATGGGCCCCCCTTATGGCGGCAAAGCAAGACCTTGACGACGAGTACAATTTCCCTTCAGGCCCGTATGCTGGCCAAGGTATTCCCAAGAGGACGAGAAATTGGTGAGTGTGCTTCGCTTGCTATTGAGGACAATGGTCGGGATTTACTGACAGTACTTTTAATCTTAGAATTATACCAACCCTTGACAAACCATTACGACAGCCATGAACCGCACCTACATCAATTTGTTCTTTTCATCGATACCAACAACGGCAACCTGGGAGGTGAAGAGCGAAAAACCTGGAATACGCGCATAATCTCCACATTATAAAGATATAATACACAAAATGTTCTTATATTAATTAGTACGACATAATCTCATTGTATTTTATTGAATAATTCGGTCAGAGCGATGATAGCCATGATACTATGCTCAACACATAGGCCCACGGTAGATACGCCTTCAATGTCGCATTGATTGCTTTCCAATCTCAATTAATGCGAGGATCTTCGATCAAATAAACTTTTCAATCTTTTCACCACGCAGAAACTAGTTGTACCCGAACGAGCGGGAGCAGCTGCCCAATCAAGGTTCAACGATACTCTTGCTGTTTTGGGAAGCCAAGTCTTCACAAGTTAAGCTATGACTTCACGTGTTCTGAGTACATTGAATACAGAGAAATAAACAGAAATCCAGAAACAATTCAAAAGAATGATTGGAGTCCTTCATTAGACTCCAAAACAAGCCCGTCATGATTAGACCCTTGAGATCTCGCCAAGCGGGAATCGTACCCAGGTAGTCTCGGGCACCATCAGTCCTGACCCACCGGCATAAAAGGCACAAAAGGCACAGACAACTGCAAAAGCCCCACCCGCCTTATTCAAATTCCTGCTGGCAGTAGCATGCTCCGTAGCAGTAAATTCGGCTAGGCCAAGGAAGAGGAATGCGAGAATCAGGAAGAAGAAGACAGAAAGAATTGCAAGGTTAGTCCGGAGTGCAGCGATGAAGAAGAGCAATGTCAGGAAGCACCACAGGATCAAATAAATACCAATGGCAAATGAATAGGCCCTCTTGTCACCCCTGTAGGCAGCTTCGATACCAAGGTACGGGAGCATAAACATTCCGTAACTCAGCCAGAATGCGCCGTAGGAACAGTGGACTGTGGTACCAAAAGTGTTGCCAACACGGAATTGCATCAACCCCGCGAGAATCTGGGCAGTACCGCCCATGAATACCACGATTCCGAATGAGGCTTGATTGGGACCAATATTGCCGGATGGGTCCGAGTGAGGAAGGCTGGGCATAGAAGTTAGGACATGTTCAAGATGCTGCGCCGGTTAATAGATCCCACATACCCGGCACCACACTCAAGGAGACCGACTACGAAGGTCGTGATTGCGAAGGCGAGCAACCCTAGGGGACCCGGATTACCTAGTTGAGTAAATACTGGGGCTGAGACTTGAGAAACTGTGGCCTGATGAGGCCGACGTGTGGAAGCAGGAGTGGTGCCGTTCGTGCCGTTCTCCGTCTTTTCACCAGCTGGGTCCCAGGTCGCTGTCTCAGGAGCTCCCTGAGCATTTGCAGACGAGCTTTGTGGTTCGGACATGGTTCGAAATCGATTGATTCGATTTTGTGAAGTAATGGAAGACGACGAAAATGACGTCCGTGCCTTGTAGCTTGGCCAGCTAGAATTGTAATGGTCACTTTAGAGTATTCCTAGTCAAAGAACAAGAAGCCCTCGATTAGACAAAGTTATTGAGCTTTCTCATAATATGAGTGGTCTTATTTGTTCAGAGGAAATGCAGTAATTTATGATGAATTCAGGATTCGGGGAGGTTGATGTCATACCCAAGGTTTAGGAAGCTTGGGTCTGATGTCCCGGACACGATGGTTTGGTGACCCCCCAGTCAACCAGAAAGCCTAACCATGAGCTTGATTAAAGGGCTTGGAACAGGGATAGCTATTGCCACTTGAAGTTAAGATGGTATGCCGCACTCGGTACCCGGCAGCCTTCCCAAGGCCTACTCTACAGCATAGTGCAGCACTGAAGGATGACCTAATCTGGTCCGAGCGATTCTTTCGAGATAGGAGAAAGTCTTTTAGGCGTGCGGCCGAAACATGAAATAAGAGACTTAGATGATTCTAAAGCTTCTACCAAAAAACTGCAATCGAAAAATCAAAACATAGGCAATTCATCACTAGTATGCATGCGTCGCAAGTACCCTCCTTTTGAACCCATATAACGTCAAAGCCCCTTGATGTCCAACTTGAAGATAATTAAAGTAGATTCCCCACTGATCAATTGGTATTCAGACCACAAGCCGTGCGACTACTTTCACACATGCGGACGTATCATCTCAACATCCGATTTGGCGGAAGATCTGCGATATTGAGGCAAACTCGTCTCAGCCTCCGAGGGCAACAACCAGCCTGGGTGACACACGTTGAAGACTCCAACGGCAAGAAACATCATCACACCGTCAAGACCAATGAAGTAGGACTCATGAGTAATTAAATAACCAGTCCAGCCTTGAGCCAATTCAACGACACGGTAGATACTCCGAATGTATATGCAAACCACGGAAAGAATCATCGCACTCGTAAGTGCTGCTAGCGGGCCGTGGGTGAACATCTTAAGCTGCCCGAAGCGCTTGATGCGTAGAAAGAAGTCGATGCAGCAGTAGACAAAGACTGAAATCGAGACTAGCTGGAAGACGATACCGGCGACCATGGTGTGAGTACCTGGCTCCGGGTTTCCATTCGGCTTGCCGGATTGAGAGCTGGCAATGCCACCACCTGCAGCTTGGATGACGAGCGAGATCACGTCGCAGGTGCAAAAGATCCAGAGGTAGAGCTTTGGTGTGAGGAATGAAGTCTCTTTGCCGAATACTTGGATGTAGCGACCTAGGAGTATGTAGATGCCGGCGGTAAAAAAGACAGGGGCTATGTTAAAGAAAGTGAGTGTGAGGAGTGATACAATCATATCAAGGGGCTATAGAGGTCTTACCGATGATCAATGTTGAGATTTGAATCATGAATGCATTGGAATTATAGGGGCAATCCGCGCTCCACCTACGAGCAGCCCATCCAAGCAGTTCAACTGTACTCTGTTAGTCCCTCCTTCCGATGGCTTATAAATGTGGGGTGAAGGGGCATACCAAAGGATCCTACTGCAAATACACTGCACCACCACGTTCGTTTCCAGCAGAATTGGATGACGTGAGCGAACATCGACAATCCGAAGAGCACACAGAAGGCAGTACCGGCAGAACTCGTAGGAACATAGCCATAACTTGTTTCTAGGCCGTTATAGGCTTTGCAGCCAATGTAAAGATTGCGGTCGAACTGGTCGGACATTGCGGATGGTGTGAAAATGTCAATAGAAGGAGGAGGAGGAGGAGGAGGAGGACAATGGCAATAAGGTTAAGCTGGAATAGCAATCGATAGCTGACTTTACACTGAAGAGAGAATTGTGAATTTGATGTCCATTTTACAGGAAATATTCCTAGCATATATACCCTCTCAAGTAAACAGAGCCCCATTTGTTGTCAGATCAGAGCTGCTCTTCTTGTTGCAGGCCAAATAAACTCATATACGAAGTAGCCACTCAGAAGCAGTCAGTGGACACAACGAACGACGTGTAAGAAGGGTCCATAGCTGAAACAGGAAGATAATCAATTAGGGCTGAGCAAAGGATGGCCAAGCAAAAAGGCCGTAACTAGCGACACAATAGGAAATGGTTCATTATCTGTGCTACAAACTTGATCTAGATCGGCGAGTGTCATCTCTTGGCAGCAGCCTTACAGACAATAGATGTTCCTGATTGGCTGGCGCGTAAAAAATCAGGCTACGACTTGCACGCCAGTCCTAATCTGGTCTAGATACAAGAAAGCTGAGCCCCTGATAAAGGCGTGGGTCTCTTCGTCCTCCAAAACGAGGCTCCCTGTGATTGGGCCGCTCGTAAAAGTTGTGAGGGGGCGGAAAAGTTGAAACACAGTGCAAAACATGTCTCCATGTTTAGATTTATCGTTGCCTATTATTGACCAAATATAGAAAGATCGAGGGTATATTTGACGAAGCAGCAATCGGGGCTACCGGCAGCTTTGAAATGCGCCAAGCATAGACTAAATAGGCAGTCAACGCCCATTCACCCAGAACTTGCCTTAGTTCGTTGATTTTAAACTCAGTCGCAAGATTATTTGGAGACCTATCTATGAGAGCATACCAATCTAACTATCGCATTTTCTATTCCCAGACCCTTTCACCACGTCACATCCACCCGAATTCTCTCAAAGTCACCACTCACCGGATCAGGCGCAAGCCAGAATTCAACCGGACAAGGACTCCTCTGAGCATCCTGTTCCGGATAAATGAGAGCCTCATAGACACGACCCTTTTCTGCAACCCTTCTCTCTTGAACGGGAAGATAACAAAGTGGTTCTTCCTCTATCTCCACAATTTTATACGCCACCTGAACGATCAACGGCCGAAGCCACATCCCCTGCCGTGCGGGACACCGCGCTAGCGCCGCTATTGCTCTTCGGCGAATCAGAGGATCTCGGCATTTATGTGCAGTCCAGTATATATGGGCCAGAACTCCTGGGTCCAGGGAGAATAGTTCAGCGACGGGTGTCGAGTCGGTCTCCGGGCTGAGCTCGAGGATGTCCTCCGCTGTGCGGACAATTTCTTCAAAGTGCGAGGTGAAATTGTCAAAGTTTGATTCTTGTTGGGTAATACAATTGAGCAACCAGACCAAGGAGACGTGATACTCGATTAGTAGCGCCAGGGGCGCTCGTAGATCTGAGATGCCGGCAATCTTAGTTGATCGCTTCCGCAATCGATCAAACGCTGCGCGCCATGTATAATATTCTGCCAGCATAGCTTGCTGCTGTTTGACATGCTGCTCGTAAACGGACTCGTACGTGACTTCACTTCTACTTCCGACCGATCGAATAAAGACCAATGCCCGATTTTGAAGGCTGGTTAGAGTTTCCCGCGCTTGGGAGATATTGTCGAACGCGAGTTTCTCATGAGACTCTGCGAACGTAGACTTTTCCGGCTGGATATCCAGAGGCTGTATACCGCGTCCAAATAGACATATCTGAATATTAAGTCGGCTGAATGTGTGTAAGAGTTCTCGATCAAACTCATTGTCCAAAGTGATCTTCTTCTCCTGCGATCGCGCCGCTAGAATCTGAACACCGCTCTGGATATGATCCAACGCTCGAATATTCTTCGATTGAAGAGTCTCCAAGCAGATAAATAAAAGACAAGTAACCAGGACCAAGTCAATATCCACAGTCTGCGGTGTATTCATCTGGCCGATGAAACTCTGGATAGCTTTGTTATACTGTTGCAAAGTGAACTGCTCCACTTCAGCAGGATCAAAATTCGCAGGCAGCAATTGTTTCCCATAGACTGCGCCAACCGCAGAAACAGCATGTCGAATTGCCGGATACCGTTGACTGAGCTGGGGGAGAAACCTGGTCCAGAAATCAGATGGAAAGAAGCCCGATAGTGCATGAGTCGCCTGTGTGCAGAAGACATGCACATACTGGCGCTCTTCTCGAGATCCGGGCACGAGGACTAGACGCTGATCCGAGTTGGGCTGCCAGGTGTGGCGAGGAGTGTCCTTTTTGATGTTTTCTCGGAGCTCTCTCTGCGAGGAATCGCTGTAGCCGTCACATTTACGACCGGAACGAATACATCGGTCGCATTCCGGCTTTTGCTCGTCGCATTTAACGTGGCGAATTCTGAATGGCCATACATTAGCCCTAGAATACAGATAGAATACAACAGCGTCGAATGAGACATACTTGCAAGTCACACATCCCTTTCTGGACTTTGGCTTGCCCACCCTGCGGTGCATGGTTGATGACGCCGATTGAGAGGGGCAAAGGCTTGGTAGCAAGCCAGGTGAGCCCAGGCGCAAGTGAATAGTGATCAAACGTATCACGATGAGTCTCTCTGTATAATTCTGTAGAGGTAATCAGTAGGTGAATTAGAGATCCCACGAAATTCGAAGACAAAGCGTCTGCACAAGTCTCAATTGTGGGTAAAAGGAGCCCCATCAGCCCAAGTGGCGGCTGACGGTCTCCTTATTTTCCGCCCCCAAGCTGACTGCCAAGTAGTTAATGTACGTGCTGAAGAGGCATCAAAGTCAAACATACATGTATGATGATAATTAATTAAATCGCACTCATTGAACTACAACCCCGAGATTTCAAAATAGCCGTGGGTATCCTCAATATAACTCAGTCATAACGGTAATCATGTCACATCTTCTATGAAACCAATCCACCAACCGGTCGATCCAAACCGACAAGAATCCAAAAAGGTAGCCAAGTATTATATCCATGAAAAAGAAAAAGAAGAAAAAAAAAAAAAAAAAACCACGCAAACAATTATAAATTAGGCAAGTTGTCGCTCAATATTCCTCGGTCCAGTCAACAACGACGGTGGAATGGGACTCACGCCCCGAAACACATGTGGTTCCTGGGATCCCGGACGAGGCGGCCGGGGAGGCGGAGGTGGAGGGCGCATGAAGGCGCCCCCAGGGTGGTGAGCGTGTGGATTGGCGAGGGGATGTGGAGGAACAGCGGGCGGGCCTGGGGGCATACCTCCAACAGCTAGCCGGTTGAAATCGCCCGGTAGCTGTTGGGTTTGGTAGTGGTATCCGCCGGAATGGGGAGGAGAGGTCAGGCCGACGTAGCCCATGCCGCGGGATGGGTCGCCGGGGAGAGAGACAAGGGAGGCGTTCAGAGTGCGGGCGATGTCCTCGAAGGTGACTTCCATCGGCGAGATGTATGTTGTGTTAGAGCGGGCGGACCAGGCGAGGACGTGGCCGCAGACACGGCCGGTTGATCTATCGAAAACCCATGCGCCGGAGTCACCGGGGGCTAGGGGGTTGAGATGTTAGCGTTTCTGGCTTCTTGCGATGTCTCAAGTCTACTCAATACAGTCTCCATGGAAAGGTGGTGGGTTGGTTTTGGTCTTAGGATCCAATGCCGATGGCCGCGGTTATGGGTTTACCGGCCGGCTTAACAGAAAGATGGGGAGACAGGAACGGAGAAGGGGGGAAACAAAAACAAGACCAGGGTATCTCAATTAAATGATCGTATAGACATCAACATGAATCTGCAGAGCTGCGCCTCTTACCTCCAAAGTTCCCATTGACACAAAAACTCGTTGAAAAAGAGTGTCGGCCATGCAGCTTGACCAACGTCATTGCTTTGGATATCTGCCCCGTCTGTAGTCCGCTAGTGCGGCCGCAGCAGTGCACAAACAAGCCACCTAGTTCCTCCATATGAGCGACTTGATTGAGAAAAATGGGTTGCGGTTGGCCCTGTCCAAACCCGGGCCGACCCAGGAGGGAAGTAGTCGTGTCGACGATGATGTTGCGAGGATCCATTCGGTTTTCATCGACCTTGATGAGAGCCCAATCAATTTCATGCTTGATTCCCTTGCGCGTCCAGCGCCTTACACCAGAGGAGGCGTGGACGTAGCCAAGGGAGTGTGAAGCGAGATGTTCGTCGTCACGGTCTTCGGGGGACGGAAAAAAGTCCTCGTGAACATCATCGATGGCTGGCTGCGTGACGAGCAGCCGTGGCTCTTCCCCCGGCTCGATACCAGCAGTATCGCCGACTGAGGCAGCATCGTCATCCTCGTCGTCGACACCCTCGATGGACTCCTCATCCGAAGATTCATCCTCAGACAACCAATATTCATCGGGACCGCCATCGGCACTTTGAGAGAAGGGTGTATCATCGTCTTCCAAATCGGATATCTCAAGATCCAGATTTGCTTCGGACGGCTCATCTTCACGCCACGAGTACATGAAATCTTGGTTGGAAACGCTGGACGCATCACGAGACGTTTCCCGAGGCCAATTGCCCGTCGAGCGCAAGGGCGCCTCCGGCTCGTCGTCGTCGGGACCCTCATCATCACTCGGTGCCTCGAGCATATGGTGCACAGTGAGACCGTAAGGCTGGCCGTCAACGAGCACGGCACCTCCGTAAGAGACGGGAGGCAGGTGTTCTTCGTTTTGAAAAGCCCCAATTGATGCACCGCAGAGAGGCCGTTGTTGATAGCATGGGTTCAATTCACGCTGACGAAAAGGAGTCTCGTTCGATCCGTTTGGGCGAGTCTTAGCGGGCCTGCGACGCTTGTTGCGGGGGACTTTCGATCGCTCGATGTCACCGCGAATGACGATGAGGTCCCAGTCGTCACGGTCCAGAGGGAAGTGCTTCTTCAAAGCCGATCGAACTTTCTTGACGCTACCACAGGTCACGCAAATTGTGGTTTTCGCGGTCTCGGGAGACTCGCCGGTCATCATGAGAGTGGCACCGCAGGACTCGTCGGACTCTTTCAGGATTTTCTGTAGAAGGCGGCTAAGGCGAGGCATCATCTGGAAATTCCATTCTTGAAGATGTTCATCAGGGATATCGAGGTGAGGGAGACGCTTGACAGTCCGTTTCTTGGCTGGCTTATCCAAACTTTTCTCTTCGGGGAGGATCCCCCACTGATCATTCGGGGTGCTGGGCAACTGCTTGTCCAAGTTGATCGGCTCACGAGTGAGCGTGAAGGGGTTAACCATCTCTTCAGCAGGCGTCGGTTCGGGGGTGGGAACAAGTGCCAGGGGAAGGCAATCGTCCAGTTCCTCTGCCGGTGGTGCCGAGAAGATATCAATCCGGGTACATGACCAAAGGACCTTGCAGATGGTATACAGGAAGTTCATCGAGAAGGAGAAGGTGCCGTCAGGATCGGACAAATCGAGAACAGGATAGTGGTAGATCTGAGGCACACGGAGGTTAAGGTCGGTCATGGGTTGGGTCGAGAGGTGGAAATTAGGAGCGTCGAGGCAGAGCTGAACAACCTGGAGGTATGCTGTACCACATTTTGGTCCAAGCTTCTTCACGTAGAGATCCTCGACGCGGTGCTTGAACCAGGAGCGATCATACTTCATCTTCCAGAGGCGGCCGATGGGAGCCCACAGACCAATCTCAAGGAGAACTAGACCGAGCGAGTAAAGGTCATGAGCCCAAGCAGCCTCATCTTCGACGGATCTCTTGTCATCAGGATGTCGATACATCGCGGTAGACAGTGGCTCTGGAGTAGGTCCGTCGCCAGAGAAGCGCGCTGGTGAAGTTAAGTAAGGACGGCGCATATCCGGGGCAAGCCCCCGTTCGTCGTTACTAGCATCGGTTCGGCCAGGGAAGAAGATAACGTTGCTGCTGTTGATATTACCATGCACGGCATTCTGGCTTCTTAAGTGCAAGACAGACATCAGGAGGTCGTATGCTAGCCGAAAACGTGTTTCCAGATTGGGCATCCGCTTCTCGCGATAATCTTCAGCCGAGGGAAGGAGCGCAACCAGAGGGATAGGCTTGAGCTCTTTCAAAAGGTCGCTGGGGTTTTGGAGGAATGGGAAATAATCGACGGGCATTTGATATAGGAAGGCGTAACGGGCATTAGGGTCATCGACACAGTAACCCAGGAATCTCAAAAGGCCCAAGTGACCGACTCTGGCATTCTGTAATAACTGGTCCAGTGAGTTCTGGAGCTTCTCTAGTCGGGAGCTCTTCGAGTTCGCCTGGGACTCGACATTCATAGGCATGAACTCGACCAATACGGAGACATGCGAATCCTTGACGGAGCCCATGAGTAACGGGCACGCTGAGGTTTTCAGGCGGCCCACTACACGGGAATTTGATGAAGCTGCAATTTGCTCATACGGCGGAGGGCTGTTATCGTGGGTCGCTCCATATAACTGCAGGGCGGATCGCTCGATGACGAGATTGTGGTTATAATCGTGTCGTGGGGTCGTGGGAGAATGGGTAAAGGGTTCGTACGTTTGTTTCGGGCTGTAGATCTTCTGCTTGGAGTCGGAGAAGGAGCCATATGATTTATCGTGGGAAGGAAGAGGGTGGGTTTTCGAACGGCGGCCGGCCATACTATGCTTGCTTGACGACATGCTCGACGCCATCGTTCGGCGCGAAGTGGACAGGTCATATAAAGTATCGATACATGCTGTCAAGTCACTCAATATAGTCTTCGACCGACTGATATCATCGTCCGTCCATTGTGTCTTGAGAGGCCGGCTCCCCAGAGTATCCTTCGAGGGCAGATCGACCTTGTGCTCTTTGGATGGCATACGCGCCTCAATATGCTGAACACGTTCGGCATCATTAAGCAAATCTTGGATAGTGGACATAACACTCTCCACCACATCGCTGAAACCGGCCGCGGTCAACGACTCATCGATATCGTTCGGCTGAGCGGCGCTCGCATCGCTCCAATCTAGACCCCACGACAGCAATCGGTCCCGCTGTTTCTGGAAGCTCTGGTGTAGCGCCACCAGCTCCGGGTCGTCGAGAGCCTTGGAGGCGGTCGTCACACTTTCGCATGAGGTCTTCGTATCTGTATATAGCTTCGTAAGGCGGCGCTGGAGGAAGCCGCTTCCTCCATGGCGCATAACGGACATCTTGGCGATAGCGACTCGATAAGGGCCGAAGAGGGGAGGGACGAATGCTTAGGATGGTGACATTAACGTTGGCGTCGTTGTCACAAGAGGGTTCAGAGTGTCATTTTGGCAGTTGTGAAGGAGTAAAGAAGCACAGAGTTTCTGCGTAAAAGAGAGGCAAGAAAACCCAAAGTTCAATGGGTGCCTGCTCGACGGCGATGAAGGGCCGATAGACCATCATTCATTGCGGGAGGATCCTAGGGAATCCTGTTGCCTAACCAATCAGCATCAGCGATACTACTCGGTGTGGGTCACGTGGCAGGCATCTAAATTTGGCGGGTCGGGGTAGATTACAGGTAATACGAACACCATCCTCAGGCAGCAGCGTTTAGTTAACTAAGACAAGATCCGGGATTTGTGAGGAATAGGAGAGGTATTGAATTGTATCGAATTGTATTAGCAGTGTATTCTTGACAATGGAAAAAAGTATGACCTAGCCATCTCAGGTGGAAATGGGATCCATGCAAGACTGTTCATATATGCATGCACTCTAAATGTACAGGAAAAGGGGAGGGGCAAGCGAGACTCTAAACATCGTCGAACCCCGTCCCACTGCAACTAAGGGTTAGCTAGTCTGAAGTAAAATGACCCGGGGCCTCTCCTCGGAAACTTCATATACCCCGTCCGTCCATAACAAATCACTCAGTCCTGAAGAAAAACTAGCCCGTAATCACCCGCCGTGAGACACCTACGTCCCGCGCCCGCTTCTCGCTAAAGTTATGCAACCGCTCGCCGATCAGATAGACATCATCGCGGATGTTGATGCGCCAAATCGCCACCCGCCGCAGAGCCTGGTGGACTAGCCATGCGACCAGGACGACCAGCATCGTTGCTGGGTAGGCATAGCGATAGATGTCTGGCTGCGCCTCGGCACGCGTATAGAAGAGGGTCCATCGCAGAACACCACCCAATGACAGTGGGGCGGCCACAGCTGCGGCGGTGAAAAGCGCCAGCGGCAGAATCAGCGCGCGCGTTGCCAGTTGAACATTGGGCTTGAACCAGCCATCCCGGAAGATGCCATTGAGCACGGCCGCAGGCCAAGAGTGAGGGTGCCACAGGGTAAGCTTGATCGCCATTTGCACATACAGAACCCCCAGCGTCCAGTCCTGAACGACGTGTACCACGTGGTCCGTTCCGTCCCCGATAAAGGTATGAGCTGGAATGAGGATGTACAACTCGGTCAACAGCGCGAAGAGTGAAGGGAGCACAACCACCAGAGCAATCGCTATGTACACAAGTCGGAACGCATCCAGCACGAGATTGCCGATAAGGAAACCCAGCTCTCGTGGGGACTGCAGATACGTCCCCCAGTTCTCGCGCAGAAATCGAAGGGCCGCTTGGCAATAGTACGCGGTGTAGGCTAGAGCACCGACCACGGAAAGGCCACAGGAAAAGGCGTAGATATCGTTGACGGGGACTGGGCTGGAGAAGCACACCGAGGTAATCTTGCGTCCAATGACTAGCGGTACAACGGTGATGCCTACGCCGGTGGTGGCGGCAAACATCCAGATGAAGATGATGAAGGCAGCAATGCGAGTCCGGAAGTACGGTGGGATGTAGACTTTGGTGAATGCAGGGTTGGCACGGCCATGAAGGCCATCGTCCAGATCGGTTAATCCATCAACACGATCATTGTCCTCAGTCACGTCCAAGAATACCTGCGTGCCCTTGGGGATCCGGACTTGGTCGGAAGCAGGCGCACGAACATACCGGCCATCCCGTAGGAAATAAACGTCCCAGTTTTCTTTTTCTGCGGCAGCCTGGTCTTCGTCGCCAATGACCGGGTGTTTCCAATCACCCTTGCTTCCTGAAAGTAGACCCCACCAGGATCGCCGGACATGGCGCCCTTCTTCTTCAGGGTGTCTCTCCGTGAAGAAAAAGTTGCTCAGACGAAGGAAGTGAGCGCACTTGTGGAACCACCAGTTGTACAGGTCGTGTAATCCATCTGAGGGTTTGACGGATTGAATTGCCAACGGCATGACGAAATTGTAGAACAAGAGGTCTACCGGGAACTCGAGCATCGGGGCACCGGCGGACCAATGGATTGGGAAAATGCCATTGAATGCATAGAAAAGACCCCACACGACGCCACCTAGGCAGACAATCACCAAAGCCCCATAGACTAGAGCGCTGAATCCAATTTTCCGAAGCTGTGTGGTAATACTTCGCTCAAGGACATCACGGATGGGATGGAAAGTCGGGTCATCCGGATCACGAATGAAATCTGTTCGACTAAGTCAGCAATGGAAGCGAAGGAACTTCCGCGCGGCACGGCAGACTTACAGAGAACACCGGTCCTTAAAATCTTCCGGCACATGGAAACAAACAAGGCAAAGTGGAACATATAACAAGTGCCAATGAACCAGTGAACGAAGAGAGATGTCAGTGGAGAGCCAATTGTGAAAGCGATCCGCGAGGAGATGGTCGCATTAGAAAACAAAGGTAGCAAGGCAACGTCCAATAGTGTACCACAATAGAGCGGGAAGATGATCATCTCAATGCCGATGATGAGGATAACCTTCATAACTCCCCCCGCTTGTAGAAGCACCTCTGCGACGATGCCTTCGATCCGCTGGCCACGGTTGGCTCCAGCAAGTAGTCCAGTAATTCGCAGGTACAGGAAGCCCATCATAGTTGCCAGGAGATATCCCATTGCAATGGCAATGACGCGATCTTTCGTATCCCATACAGCCAGATCGTAGTCAACCGGCACAACGGAGGAAGCTGCTCGCGCAGCACTTGCATTCATGATCTTCGTCCCCGGGCTGGCAAATATCGATAACTTTGTAAAGTTACCAACGTACTGCTGTACTTGAATTGTAGTATTCTTCAGCTGGGAGAAGTCGATATCGAAGGACAATGCACCTGGAACCCCTAGGGTCATCAGGCGAAGAGGGAAATCGTGAAGAATGAATTTCATAACGGCAAAAACAGATCGAAAGAGGGTCATGGCTCGTGCCTGGTGCAGCTTGAGAGCTTGGTGGGAGAGCACGGAGAACATCGGTATGTCAGACTCATGGAATACCAAGAACGCTTTAACAACCTTGTTCAAACGGACGGTACTCTTGTCGATCAGAGACAACGACGTGCTAGTGATGGACTTGTTTCGGGGCATCCACTCGAGGGCAGGGACGAGAGCACCGAATGGGCTGAGAAGTACCTTGAAGATAAAGCTCAGCCAGTACATAGCATATCCTACAACTCCAATGAGAGTATCAAGCACAATATCTGCAACCACGGTGACTGCAGTCATAGGGACACCAACGATAAGCTCCAGGGGGTTGGCGAGCAGGACGAGAGCGATCTTGCCCCACAAGTAGGGAAGCCAGATACCGATAGCGACCGTGAAGGCAATCAGGAGGGCACAGAAAACGCCGTTCTGCAAAAGTCCGAAGATAGGACCTTGCATGCCGATGAGATCCATTATTCCTTCAAAGTCATCGCCTTCGATTGCATCCACGTCATTGCCATCTAGCGCGCCATCAGCTGGGGCTCCAACCATTGCCGCTCCCTCGGCAGGAGGTCCCTCCGGTCGATTTAGAACAGGGACAAAAGGATCTTCCAAAGCAGGGTCCTGCATTATTTGCTCATCGTCCTCCAGTGGTAGGTCATCATCATCGTGATGTTCCGGTGCAATGTCTCCCCAGAACCAATTGATAAGGTGATCACCCAGGTTCTTCGGAGGTTGGTGTTCAGCTGGAACATTTATAGAATTCCCGTCATCACCTGCTTCCTCAGGTTGCTCTATTTGAATCTCTTGTCCGGTGGGTAGCTGATCAGACTGTGATTGTGCTTCAGCATTTCCATTTTCTGTAGCCAACGCCTCGTCAGCGATTGCGGGTTGCGTCTGAAAAAGCCCTGTTGCGTGTGTGGCTGGCCCAGCATGTGATTGTTCGAGGGGACCCCTGGTGAGTGCCTCGACAATCCAATTTAGCTCCACTTCATGACCTTCTTCTCGAATTATTCGGAGGATCTCATCGCGATCTCCGTTTGCTCGGGCGAGAATATCTTGGAACAGTGACACATCTGAATACTGTGGCGTGTTCGGGACCGGGATTTGATGCTCTGGGCGGCCAAATCCCGTATGAGGATCGTTGTGGAACTGATGTCTTGGAATCTCATGTTCCTGAAAGCCGGTTTGTCTGTCAAACACGGGTAATCCATCGTCAGAGTCGGTCCAGGAAGGCGCAGGTGAATGGTTGGCAGATCGATCAGGTACATCGTCGTCCTCTTCTGCGAGTGCATGTTGTTCTGGTTCAATATCATCATGATGATGAAGCGGCGCAGGATCTGGGCGTAATCCTTGAATCTCATCGTTAGGGCGATTGTTGGCGATCAGCTGCAATGCTGCTTCGCGTTCTCCTTCAGCAATATTGGCCATGGGCTGTTGTTGAACGACCCATTCTCGAATCAGGAACAGAAGAATGAATGCAACAACCACGAGTAGAGTGATGAGTTGACCTTCCAGGGTGTCAATTATCATATTGTTGATTGTCGGATAAGGCGTCAAGGTATTAAGAAACTTGACATCCGAGAGCCATGACGGATACCGCGGCTTAGGCGAGCCAGAGGGACCATTTACGTGAGAGCCACTTTCGCTGCCAGCAGATGTCCACCCAGGCATAAACAGACTCGGGATGATTTTCTTGATAAAGGTAAGCATGAGAGGATCACCCGGTGGAAAGTTGATAGTAGCGGCTTGTGCCGACGGGGCAGCGGTGGCGGAGGATGAAGCGGCACTCGAAGCGCCCGAGGTCAACGAGCTGAGCACGGTAGTGGCAGCTGCCGTGCCGTTGGCAGCCCATTGCTCAACCCCATTCTGAACAGATGGCGCGCCTCGTTGCTGAACAGTCCCACCGGCCGACCAGCGGCCGTCAGCGAGCCAAAAAAGCGCCCTCCAAATTGCTCGCATCGACCACGGCAGCCAACCCAGCCATACAAAGGCCACAAGAACAAAACGCAGCCATGTTACTAGGGTTCGAAGGGTTTGGATCAGAGCCTGTTGGAGGAATAAAGGTGTCGGGAGACTTTGAGGCATATTCGGATCGTATAGTTTCGTAAACCGGAAGGGTGTTTTGCAAAGCTCGCAATGTTTCTTTTGCGAATGTGACAGCCACTCCACCAAACAACTCTGGTGGACGAACTTGATACTACCGCTACATTTGCAGGGGTAAAACAGCGGCTCTTCTTCTGTGGCTTCTCCGTGGCAGATTCGACATGTGTCCATATCCTCCATCCCTGCTTCTCGGTCATCGAAAGCCGGGTCGTTCATCAGGTCGGGGAACGACGACATCCCCGCGGGGCCATTAGGTGGATGTGTTGCGAAATCCATGGTGTTTCGTAAATCAAGTTGCGCAGGGTCGCCGAGAAAGCACGGCCTCTACCAGCTTTTCATTGTAACTCTCACGAACATCAAAGATAAGATCAAACTCGCCAAATTCGAGTCAGATATGATGACGGAGCAATGTCGATGCGGGACGACTGTGAGGCTGAGGAGACCCAAGTCAGCTTGGTCAATTGCATAGTTGGTCTAAAAGATAAATGTACATACTGAGAGTATGATAACACCACCTGCCAGTCAATCGTCCGATCTTGTGTCCAAAGATAGCGGTCGAGTTGAAGCCTTTCGACGCCTTGCCGACTTGGAGACCTTTGGGCTTGAGGCAGCGGCTTCCCGATTGTGGCTGACTCAGCTCCGTATTGCAAATACGGTATATTACCACTTGTTATCCCTTCAATACGCCCCTGTGGCAGTGCCACATCATGTACCCGTTGTAACTGCCTGGTTCTGCCCGAATGCCACCGATGACCTCACTGATCCCCAGAGACCTAAATAGTCCCTCCATCGGGCTTGGAAACCTTAGCCTTCATCCCAGGTACCCAGGGCATGTTCCTGAAGAGGTTTTCTCTTTTCCAACCGATCAGCACAAATCTAGGTGCTCAACTCTTTCCTCATCTACCTCGGAATCACATTATCATTGCGTGCGACCGCGCTCTGACCTGCGGCCCGTGAATCTCCCCTAGCGCCGAGCCAACGCGAGCTTTCCGCCTACAAAACCAGCTTCGGCCTCCTTCAATAAGCTTCCACGCCAACTGCGAGAACACTTGCGATCCGGTGTCTAAGCTCTTTTTGACCCGATGAGACAATAGTGGTCTATCAGATTTCTACGAATACCCTTACCTGAAGATTACATTGACGCGCGCAAGCTCGTGCCTGCAACTTTTTTCAAAAGAGTCGGCCCGCCGCCAACGGCAGCCAGCATGGCAGTTCAAGAGAATGGGTATATACCGGCGGAGCCGCAAGGGCCGAGGAAGGACAGCACAGTCGGCAAGGATGTGAGAAATGAGAAGGTTCGGAGAAAAAGTCCTCTGCGATGGACATTGGGGTTGGTTGTACGGTGAGTCTGATCATGCAATCTCAATTTATCAACTCCCTTGTCTCGACGACTGCTTTCAGATGTCACATGGAACTGTTTTGGGAGGAAGAAAGCGAACCTCTGTAGACTAACATTTGCCATTTTTTTCAGCTTGTGTATTTGGTACACCCTTCTCACGCCATTTTTACGATGTCCCTCGCACCTACACGAGCTGAACGCGACCTCTCCCAAGGTCTGCAAGCCCTATTTGATCGCACGTTCTCACGTTGGGCCCTATGTGACTCCCTACTATGCTACCTATGCTGCTCCCTACGTTGATCAAGCGCGTCCATATGTGGAGGTGTTCAATCAGCAGGTTTACATGCCTGCCTCTAAGGTCGCCAAATTCAGCTATGACAAGTACGGTGCTCCTGCATGGCAACAAGCCCGGACTTTTGGCGAGGCACAATGGAAAGCACAAGTGACGCCACGTCTGGAAGCCGCCCAAGGTCAAGCACGTCAGTTGTATCTGGCCCAGGTTGACCCATATGTGCAACAAAGTGTTTCCTTGGTATCGCCTTACTACCAAAAGGCGAATGAGGTCGCGCAAGCTGTCTACTGGAACCAATTAGTACCTTTCTATACTCGCTCGCAGCCGTTTATTGGCAAGACCTACAGCAGTGGTCAGCAAGTTCTAACCACCCATGTGATGCCTGGCGCACGCTATACCTGGTCATCGGTGGTCTATTTCGCAAATAGCTCGTTGTGGCCCCAGGTGACAGGTCTCTATTCAGAGCAAGTTGAGCCTCAGCTCGTCAAAATTGGCCAGCGTCTGGCCAGCTACCGGGAAGGCAAGCGCCTTCGTGCTGTCGTCGAAGAAATGGACAGGTACCGACTACTCACAAAAGTCACGTGTATTAAGCATTCATTGACATTTCATGATAGTTCCTCATCTACACAAACCGTCTCGTCAACAGTAACAACTGCGAAGGTTGAACCTCGTACTTCCGCAAGCACGACCACAACCTCAGCAACGGAGACTGCATCTGCTAAGCCTACCTTGTCCGCCGAAGAACAATCCAAGCAAGCTCGTGCCCAAATTGAGTCCGATCTTCACAGATGGCAGGTGAAGTTTGCTAAAGCAGCCGACAAGGGCACTGAAGATCTCGAAGAGCGCATCGGAGACATCGTGTCAGCGCTCATTGCGAACAGTGCCAACAGCCATGGCGAAAGCCTGTCGACCGCCCTTCAAGCAGTCGCTGCCGAGAAGATTTCCTCCATCAAGGAGCGAATTAATGAGCTTGCAGCAGCCCTACCAGAGGAAGATGCACCTGAGGAGGAGGAAGAAGCCAGTGACAAGTTACTTACCGACATTCGCATGGCTGCTGTCTCGGTCAGAGATCGCGCCCACGCTCTCCGACAATGGTCTCTATCGTTCGACGAGGAACTCCTTCGTCGGGTTTCTGCCGCTATTAACTCGACCTTGGATGTCCTCGACAGCATCCGTGATCTGGGCTTGCAGGAGATTGGCACCCGGTGGGCTTGGATGGATGATGTGACTTACAAAGACTGGGCCGAATACCATGCACTCAAGGTTCAGTTCGATGACTGGCGCAACGAGATTCGCAAGGTCGGCATGAACTACAAGTCAATTGCTGAAGCGCAGTCTGTGGCCGCTGGAATTCTAGATATTGGAATGGAGGTGGCTGAGGATACAGCCAAAGAACTCATCAGGCTCAAGGATGTTGGCAATTGGAAGATTGCCGCTCGTGAGGTTGGTGACAATTTTGATACTCGCACCGAGGCGCCTCCGCGGCCGAGGCCAGTCGTAGAGATCGAGGAAGACGAGGAGAGCACGGACAATGAGGAGGTTTTTGGAGAAGCCTCCAATGATTCTGAAGCTCCCTCGTCGATCTCGCAAGAAGATGACACCGAAGAGACTTCTGTCTCAAGTCCTAGTGGGGTTGTTCTCGACGAGGTAGAGGATTCTATTGAATCCGAATCTTTCCTCCAAGACGAAGACGTGGAGGAGCGTGCTTCAGATGCCGTATTCGAGAGTGAAATCTACGCTTCGAAACCTGCCTTCGGCGTCGCCGCTGCCACTTTGAATACCCAGCAGGAACCTATCCTTGACGATGACGACCAGGATACTTTTCACAGTCTGGCTAATAAAGCCGGAGATGTCTACTCTGACGCAAGCTCCGCTTTTGCCGATTCCACTTCACAGGCCAAGGTTCTCTATGAAATCGCCAAGTCTCAGGTTATGGGCCAGATGGCACAGTCGAGCGCCCCCGCTCATGCCCAGGTCCTATCTTCCATCGAGTCTGCTTACTCTGGCGCTGTGAAATACGCCACCGAGGAGTTTGAGGTGCGCATTGGTGCTATCAAGGCTACCCCCACCTCTGTCGGGCCTCTGGCACACATCTCTTCCGTTGCATCTTCGCGATTGAGCGAAGGACTCAGCTTGGCCTCGGAGCAGCTGGCCCTATACACCATTCCTGCCACCACCTCGGTTGGCTCTCAGCCTTTCGTGCTTGACGCACAGCGTCGCTACTATGAGGCTGTTGGTGTCGCCCATGATCACTATACTGCCTTTTTGTCTACGGCATCGGAGGCGGTTTATGGTACTCCCACCCCAACTCCGGCTCCCTTGGACTTCCGGAGTCTCCTTGAAAAAGCTGGCTCCCAATACGAGCAAGCTTCCTCTCTGGCTTCTGCTAGTCTCGCAGCCGTCGTCGCCTCCGCAAGCTCGATGGTTTCTGAGGCTGATGATGGAAGGAGTCAGAGTATCATTGATGATGCCTCTTCCAGGTACCATGCCGCTCTCTCCGCTGCCTCCTCTTCTCTGTCTCTTGCGTCGGCGTCGGCCAGCTCTGCTATTTATGGTACAACCCCTGGGCCTCTGGAGTCTTTGTCCAGCCAGGCTTCAGAGAACTGGGAAATCCTTGTTTCCAAGGCTAGCGAGCAGATCTATGGCACGCCAGCACCCTACCTCCAACAAGTCGTAGACAAACATGGGCCACAGCTCGAAGCCGTCCAGGCAATTGTTTCTGAGCTTCTTGTTGGAAAGCAGCCATCCTTCACTGAAAGCGTCCTAAGCAAACTCCGCCTCGCCTACGAGACCCCCTATCCAGCGGCAGCTGTTTCCGCTGCCTCGAGCTACGCTAGTGAGGCCTACGAGGCGGTCTCTTCTGCTACTGACGCCTTTGTCTCTGACATCCCCAGCGTGGAAGACGTCATGCAGCAAGCGAATGATCAACTTCACGCCGCCGTCGAGGCCGCCAGCATCGGTATTTATGGTACACCCAAGAATCGCTTTGAACAGGCTACCGATGCCGCAGCCGAGGTTTACTCGAGTGCCTCTGCGCAGCTCAGCGATGCTGTCTATGGAAAGGAGCCCAGCTATATCGAAATTGCCAAGGACAACATTGAACAGATTCAATCCAAGGCTAGTGCCGCGATCTATGGTGAGGAGCCTGGTGCCGTTGAAAGCGCTACCAGCCGTCTTGCCGCCGCCGTTGAGAGTGCACAGGCTCAGCTTGCTGATCTCGCTTCCAGCGCGAGCAGCGTTGCCTCTGAAGCCGTTGAGACCGCTGTCTTCCACGCTGATCAGATCACCAGTAGCATCAAGGCTGGTGCCTCGTCCCTGTCCAAGGACGAGCTTTAGACGACCTGAACGCCTCCTTTCTGTTATGCCACCGTGTCTGATTGTATCTCTTTCTTTCCCCCCTTCCATCCTTGTCTTACATCCACTCCTGTTGAATGTGTCGCGTCGAGACTGGGCCTCCTACAGTGGCATGCCAGTAGCATGTGAGGTTCGGTCTCTCGATGCTTTATTCCCCATATAGTTTGTTACGATGGCAATTATGCTTATGATCTGCAAATTGCACAGTGAAATCACGTTTTTTTCTCCCTTTTCCTCGGCTTCGATTTTTTGTTCGCACGAATATGCTCATTACACCTGGCGGTTTTTGGTTTTGGCTCTTTGGCCAGTGATGCTTCTCTAGTACATAATGAAACGCGCTTTTTGGATGTCTCAAATCCGCTATTCTCATGTCGTGCTTCTCAGCATGCAAATAAATTCGTGGCACACACTCGGTCGAGTTTATTATGTACATGTCTCATCGACGAGAGTCCACCGTAGGCTGGGAGGTTTTCTCTCCGTCGAGGCGAAAGATAGAGCGTTGCTTTGATAGTGCAATGCCTGGGCAGGTCCAGCTTCCCCAAACGCTGGCGACTCCGGATTGCAATCCTCTCGCAAGTATATCCGCAACCGAACCCCAGCATGATTTCAGATCCAGATGGACGGCTATCCCACAACCAAGCGCGTAGAATTGGCATATATCTCCATTCGAGGCACACCCGATCCCCATTCACCGGCGATACTTCACCCGATCCCCCTTCTTCTCCTTCTTCATCTGCGTCTTACTCATAGGCGCCTGGCTTTCCGCCCCCTCCGCACCCCCACCCATCCCCGCAAAGCCCTTCTTCACCCCCATAACAGTCGAATACGCCAAATAAACCGAGTAAAGCGGTACGACTGCCCACAACCACCAAGCGCGATCATTGAAGATACACACAGCGGCAATGCATCCCTCCGTCCAGTAGAGCACGTCCCACATGTACTCGGTCAACCCGGTAGCGTTGAGATCCTCGCCCGCGGAGCGCAGCGAGCCATCTTCATTGTAGCGGGGGCGGCCGACGCGGTCGAGGTAGAATTCAATGATTAGGGTTGGCACGGCGAGGAGGAGGTATGGTTTCAGGGAGCGTGGGCGGCCGAATGTAAAGTGGAGGATAAGGAAGAGCAGGTGTAGGGCTGCGGTGATGAGGTGTGTGCGGGTGAGGACCGCGGCGTTACGGGTCGCCAAGGTTTTGGCTGCTTTCTGTATAGGTGTTAGAATGTCTGAGGGTGTTGTGGTGGAATTGATGAGGTGGCAATGCTGGGATTGGAGCTTACCTGGGCCATGGTGTAGAGAAATGGGTGACGGTGCGGAATGAAAGTTGGGAGTTGAATGGAGGTAAGAAGGGCCGAGGTAGGGCGGTGAGAGTACTAGTTAGATAATGCTAATTGACGGTCCCCGATGTCCGTTGGACGGCGCGGTCGCCTTGTGAGGAGGGTGGTAAGAAGTGATAGTTGGTCGTGGATGTAGAGGTGATCGCCAATTGAATGTCTGTCTGCGGGAGATAGCGGCGTAATGGTAGCTTATTCTGTCGAAAGTGACCGCCTCGGACTCCGCTTTAAGTCTAGTCTCTGATATAGTATCTATGTAGTACGCTAGGATTCTTGTTCTAAATTTATTATGGAGTAACAAGTATGTCTTTATCTTATTATCTATTTGATTGGGGCATAGATTCCCTATGGGGTCCATGTAGGGTTGATCGTTCTACAAACTCTAAGCAATAATAACCTTGAATTAATGTAGATGATCCAGGTCAATATAGAATTCATGGAGTGAATTAGAAAGCACTTTTAAGGTACTATGATTATTAGCCGAGTGTCTCAATATCTCCTTCATTTTACTCTGGTTCGACCTAGTTTCACCACTCTAATCATAGAAATCATAAAATGTTAGGCATGGTTGATGTTTATTAGACGACCCTCAGCACGCCCTCCCGTATCTGGAGAAGAGGTAAAATATATACATGCATCGGAAAGACAAACTTTAGCTAGGCATGGCCTATCATCATGGAAGTCTAGCTATAATAAAGACGCATTGGAATATGAATGATTATTATCGCTTCCACCATTCTAAATTATATTCACTAAGGTATTCAGAGAGGCGGTTACTTAGAATGGGCTCTTGAAAATGACGATTGTTGCCCACTACAACACTCACCGCCCGGCAGATTGAACCACCTCCGCTAAGCAGATACAACCAAAATAAGACGAACCAGTACGAACTATCACCCTCACTACGCGACTCTTGACCCACTTCACCTGAACAGGACGTGCAGGATGGCCATATAATTCTAATAGTTTGTCTGGCTCGATAGAGTTTATACAGACTGGTCCTTGGTGATCTTTCATCTCACTTTCCTACCTGCCGCTTCCGGCCTCCGTTTACATTCCACGATCTCCCGCAACTCACCACCTAGTTCCTCGTCGAGATCGGCAGCTCATCCTCGTCTCAGACCTGCTCCTAACCGGTCCTCCTGGACGTGAATCGTTACTGATGGGCGCTGCCTGCTGATGAGTTTCTTTCCGCGGTGCTCACAACGACAACAATATCGCGTTCACATCCCCGCGCGCCACCATGGCGCTTTCCACAGGCCATGTGGCCAGCCAACTGAGGCACCTCATTTATTATCACCTGGATAACAATCTCATCCGAAATGCCCTTTTTCTCGCTGGTCGCCTTCTTGCATACGAACCTCGATCCTTCGAAGCTCAATACCTGATCTCTCTCTGCCACCTACATAATGGAGAAGTTAAGGCCGCGATGGAGTGTAGCCAGAGCACAGGATCGCGTGGCCTGCATGTTGGCTGTTCTTATGTTTTCGCACAGGCCTGTTTGGACTTGGGCAAATACCTGGATGGCATCACCGCCTTGGAGCGTAGCAAGTCGCTCTGGGCATCCAAGAATCACTGGAGTACGTCTTACGTCTGCAGCTCACGCTCAGCCTGATATTGTATTAACATTTGTACTACAGACAAGCACAGTGAAACCTCTCGACAACACCTACCGGACGCAGCAGCAGTGTACTGCCTGCTTGGAAAGTTATGGCAAGCTCACAAGGACCTGAACAAGGCAGTGGACTGCTATGTTGATTCACTGAAATTGAATCCATTCATGTGGGATGCTTTCCTCGGGCTTTGCTCGACTGGTTAGTGCCCTCATACCGAGGAATCAAATGCCATTAGAAATACAGAAGCTAACCTTGAGCAGGCGTCAATATCCGAGTCCCTAATATCTACCAACTCAGCCCGGAACTCCTCTCCATCATATCTGCCTCCCCAGATGATCTGGATTCTGTACCCGGGATCTTTCCGCCAAACGAAGGACCTTTCCCTGCACAAACCACCGGATATCCCGGAGGTGATCCATTCATGGTCTCTGCTGCACGTGGCGACACAGATTCGACCTACGGAAGCTCAGCCCTCTGGGAGAAATTCAACGGCAGCACCGTCAGTGTTGCTTCAGTAGCGGCACCGGTGATTCACGAGGGATTGGAGACACCCAGCGGGCAAAGCAGTAGTTCGGAAGAGTTCCGCATCGCGAACGGCGTCACAGACCCAGACTCCGCATGGGAGCCACCTTTGGCACCTGCAAGGAAGAATCGCACAATCCAGTCCATGAGCGTGGATCAAACGGGTCAACCCCCTCCTAAGATGCGACCAAGTGGATATCGGCCTCGGCCTCGAACCCGAACAGAACCGGAGGAACCTCCCCTTGCTCCAAACGACAGAGAGCCTCCACCCGCCCCGCGCTTCGGTGATCGCAAACGCACCGTGTCTGGCCAAGTTGCCCACCCCATTCCTCCTCAGCCGACCGAGCCTGGTGCCCCCCAGCGTCGCAGTGTCAGACTCTTCAATCAGATCAAACCCACCACCAGTAAGCTTTCCTCTTCTGCACTCACCGGCCGGGATGGCCGTGAAGTGAAGAAAGTACGAAGTGTCCACGCCAAGGGACGTCTTGCCACAACGTCCACTGTGGGCCGGGTGGTGAGCGGCAACCGCAAACCTATCGAATCCTTCGACAATGATGGCAAGGAACCCCGTGCTACATCCATCCCCTCTACTTCCGGTGTTCCTCCTCTTCCTAGAAATGCCGAGAGATCCAAAGAGCTTGAAGCCTTAAATTGGCTTTTGGGGCTGTTTACGAAACTTGCCTCTGGGTACAGCGCATTAAGTCGGTACAGATGCCCCGAGGCTGTACAGCATTTCAATTCTCTTTCACAGGGTCAACGAGAGACCCCGTGGGTCCTGGCCCAGCTTGGTCGAGCCCACTTTGAACAGGCGATGTACGCAGAGGCTGCCCAATACTTTTCCCGTGTCCAAACCCTGGCGCCCTCGCGAGTCGAAGACATGGAGATCTACTCGACCGTCCTTTGGCACCTCAAAAATGACGTGGAATTGGCATATTTGGCACACCAACTACTCGAGACTGACCGATTGTCGCCCCAGGCTTGGTGTGCTATCGGCAACTCTTTCTCCCACCAGCGCGACCATGACCAGGCTTTGAAATGCTTCAAGCGCGCCACCATGCTGGACCCCGAATTTGCTTATGCCTTTACCCTCCAAGGTCATGAGTACGTTGCCAACGAAGAATACGACAATGCTCTCGATGCCTATCGTCACGGTATCAACGCCGAGAACCGCCACTACAATGCCTGGTACGGCCTGGGCACAGTTTACGATAGAATGGGCAAGCTGGACTTTGCCGAGCAACATTTCCGCAATGCAGCCAGCATTAACCCGACGAATGCCGTCCTCACTTGCTGCATTGGCTTGGTCCTGGAGAAGATGGATAACCCAAAGCACGCTTTGAGTTACTACGAGCGTGCCTGCTCATTGGCACCTCACTCGGTGCTGGCTCGTTATCGCAAGGCCCGTGTCTTGATGAAACTCCATGATTTCAAGTTTGCCTTGGCAGAGCTAAAGGTCTTGAAGGACATGGCACCCGACGAGGCTAATGTACACTACCTACTGGGTAAACTGTACAAGGTTCTTCACGACAAGGCTAATGCCATCAAGCATTTCACGGCCGCTTTGAACTTGGATCCAAAGGTAAGTTTCTACCGGTGTTCTTTCCCCCATGCGAATTAGAGTCGCATAGCTAACAAATCACCTCTCACTCTACAGGCTGCACAATACATCAAAGATGCGATGGAGTCCTTGGATGACGACGAAATGGAAGATGATGGCATGGCATGATAGATCTGTGATGCTTCCCAGGTCTCCTTTCTTTTCCCCTTTTCAAAACATCTTGATCATGCGCGAGCTGGGGGGGATCCTGTCTTACGATATGAGCTTGGCGTTCCAGGGTCATTTCTTTCTGTTATTCTGCACAGCATCACTTGGGAGTTGTTCTTTGCTTTTCTCCAGGTCTAACTACCCGAGACATCTGGCACCTCATTCAAGCATCCTGCATCAGGCATGGTGTTTTGTACATTAATGTATGACGATTGTTGAGTATTCATGACGATGAATTGATGGTGCATAGCACGATTCATTATTATCATTCAGTGGTCCATGTTATTTTCCGAGTAGACGTATAATTTTGTAGCTGATTGAATAGGATCCACGATATGTTGAGAGCCAACAACTTTCTTTACTATAGCGTGCCCCCGCATGGGATATCTGTGGGAACGAATGTCCATGGAAAATAGTTCTGTTGAGCAAGCACAAGCTTCTCAAACACCCCCCACCAATGTTTAACCCTGCCGAGGCTTGAGCTCAGGCCCAATTGTTGACCATGCGATAATCTGACTAGTCTCAAGACTAGAATTCCCACTCTCCCCACGCTTATTTGCTGTGTGCCCTGCGTGATGCCGTCATCTGCCGCGGTCAGCTGGCGGTGAGTCGGCCACGGGCAAAAAAAGCAGCTTCACACTCCGCAGTCCCGCCTGGCTTGATGCTGTCGCTCCCTGAGTCCTTTGTTCCTTTAGATCTCTTGTGCATTCTTCCAGCGGGCTTTCACAGTCAATCAATATAGTGAAGCCAGGTACGAACATCAGTTCTCGCTCGTCTATTTTCTTGGAACAAGCACTGACCCCAACCCTTTCCCCAACAGCCCTTCACTTCGATCCCACCGCCATGTCGATCACTTCATATATCCTGACGGGTATCAGCTCGTTCGTGGTCCTCACGTTGTCACTGTTCGCGCTGGGTCAAAAAGTGCCCCGCGCTGCTTTTGCTGCCCGCTGCCTTGCTGCCTATGGCTCCCTCCTCCTATGCGCAACCTACGGCGTTATCGCTTCGATCGTCCTCCGCCTCGCTGGCTATGGCCGGATCTCTCAATGGGCCACTGCCCGCAGCTTCAAGTGGGTAATGCGGTATACCACCGGTGTGACATTCGATATCATCGAGGGTGAAGAGTATCTTGCCACTCGCCCGGCTATCTTCGTTGGTAACCACCAGACCGAGTTGGATGTCCTCATGCTTGGCGCTATCTTCCCTCCTTACTGCAGTGTCACGGCAAAGAAGTCCCTGCGCAATGTGCCCTTCCTAGGATGGTTCATGACTCTTTCCAGGACGGTGTTCATTGACCGTGCCAACCGGGAGAATGCCATGAAGGCGTTTGATGGTGCGGTGAATGAGATGCGTACTTACCGCCAGAGTGTGTTCATCTTCCCTGAGGGTACACGGAGTTACTCCGATGAGCCCATGCTTCTGCCGTTCAAGAAGGGTGCTTTCCACCTGGCGGTCAAGGCTGGTGTGCCTATCGTGCCCGTCGTGACTGAGAACTACTCCCATGTGATGTCTCCTCGCAACCTGCGTTTCAATGCAGGCTCTATCAAAGTCAAGGGTCAGTTTGTAACATATATTTCATGTTGATTGCTTGCTAATACAGAGTGACATATAGTACTGCCTCCTATCGAGACCAAGGATCTGACTCCTGCCGATGTGGATCAGCTGACCCAGTCTACCCGTGACTCCATGCTCAAGGCTATTCTGAGCATGGCACAGGAGGGCAGCAAGGTCGAATCTCCTCGCGCTAATGGTGTCTCGTCCGCCATTGAGATTTGAGAAAGCCAGTATGCAGCACCAGTACTTCCACTGCCTCAAGTTAAGGGCACCAAAACCTCACCCTTGACATCTCCCCAACCCAATTCAGGAAAGACATCAGCCACATCTTGATGCTGAGAACTTCCTTTCTCCCTTCCGGTATATACCCTTTATCGCCATTGCAAAGCATTTACACATAGAAGAAGAACACGATTCCCTTTCTGCAGGCAGTTCTTCTGCCACCCATCCCTCAGATGATACAGTGCCTCGGTCGCATTTCGAGTTAATTGGTAGATTGTGATCTACCTTTTACTCCCACCTTTGGCGCATGCTTTTTGTTTGTGGAGGTTCTCACCTCTCACACCTGCCCGATCTTACTTGCACCATTTTGGGTCCCTCAATGTCCTGCAATCCCCCTTTATGCCCTTTCCACGCTTCTGTCTCTCTGCAAATGTATATATTTCTAGCATGAAAAGATGTTATGACACTGCCTTTTTGGTTCGCGAAGTTGTTGGTCTTACAAAGAGTTGCTGAGGTTGGACTGCCCATAAGAATGAGAGACATGAGAACTGCAGGAAGTATTCTAGGGCACAAGAAATGCCCAGTCGAGGCGGCACATGCCCAGGTATCGATACAAGTAGCTGCTGCGTGAGAGGCGATCCTAGCGGCTCCCCCGCCACCCACTATGTGTCATCAAGCTTCCCATCTGGAGTGTTTCTTTCGAGGCTGAGGTCTGGTATAAAATATTTAAACTATCGCTCTTCCAAAGGAATCGAGGACCTGATCGTCTAATTTTTTGAAAGACATTGCCAGTGTTAAACCACCTCGTGGATTACACTACTGTGTGCCTATATACATCACAATGTTCGATCTCTTAATCCCCGAAGTATACCGCAAGAAGATAGAATCCATCAAAGCCACAGACACTCAAACAGAAGCTGAGATCTTCGCAACACCCAAGAATAGAATCCAGTGAAGACAGCTAAGAAAAACCTCTAAGCATGCCGGCATGCCGGCACACCGGCACATCCCAAATGTCCAAACGGTGCCAACACTGGTATCACTTCTTGAATTTGAGCGCTCAATGTAAAGGGGAAGGATCATAACCAGCTCTGGCCGCTTAGTGGTGGGGCGTGCTAACTTCTCAATGAGAAAAAGCAATGAGAACATGAGCACTAAAACGCAAGAAGAGTACTGAGAGCTACTAGAAAGGATTCGGTATGGATGCAAATGCGATTGAGTATATGCTATCATGATCATAAACACGTCAAAGAATCCACCGAGGGTCACTCGAGAGTCAGAATCCACCTTGTTTCGACTGAGACCCAGCTCTTGATTCTATCAGTGGGAGCACCGTCCCTCTGCGCAGGCCCGGATATCAAGTTCAATATCAACCTCCTGCATTGGAAGCCACGGATCTACAATATTAGAGTCCGAACGCCATGGGTCTGGTTGACCCACTGCCAGATGAGCGCTGATGGGAATGCGCTCTTCCTGGGGTGAGCCTCCAGATGAGGACTCTCCGAACTGGGTCGGAAGGTGATGGTCACCAGTATTCCCACTGTCTTCGGGAATGGGACCAACAGGGCACCCCCGACCAGCAGTGGCAACGATATAGTCAGATTCAAAGGCCTGCAGCTGGAGACGTACACCCTCGATCACCACGCCGTCTCTGGAGACCTCGACTTCCGTGTATGGCGGTCCCCAGTTGAGAGGTGATTGTGGTACATGCTCCGCTCCGGAGAATAGACCATACGGCTTGGATGCAATTAAGGGATCAACCGGAGCCGGGGGAATGACATTTGTGAATTCAAGATGACGCACCCACTCCGCTAAGAGGGCATCACCAGTCATTTTGAGATATGCCTCTTTCAAGGCCCAGTAAGAGTAGAAAAGACGGAGACCGAACTCGATGATCGTTGCAACGTCGTCTGAAGGGAATGACGCAGCTAGACCGAGTTCGCGGGCTCGACGGAGAGTTGATATGGGATTTTGCATGACTGCCATCTCCCTAGCTGAAAATACTTCGCTGAAGATCGATACGAATTCGGTGAAATCTTTCATGGTCTTCATTGGCTTGCGTCGCTCGTTCACATTTGTTATATCAATACCGATTCTGGGAGGCGATGGTGCAATACCCGTAATGGCTTGGCTTGTGAGTTGCTCATGAGACGGGGCGATAACCCCCGCAAGAATAGTGAGAGAGGCTTGGTGGCTGACATTAAAGTCCACTTGTGTCTGCGTACTTGAATCATAGTACGGCCGATTCTCAGGCATAGGGGTGCGACTGAAGACGATATCTCTCCAGGGAACGTCACAAGCATGATGAATGTAGAAGTACTTTAGCAGATGCGATGCCAAGGACATGCGCCTATCTGAAGCATGATGGAATCGTTTAACGGCTTGTTGTTCAGCCGGGCGAAGGACATCCAACAAAGGAAGATCGAGGCCATTGGCTTCCCATTCTCGGGTATTGATATACCAGCGGACTAAAGTTGGTAGACCGCGCAAAGACGGTTCGTTTGCCCTTCTGGGTCTGGTTGATTGGGCATCAGCGGGGCAGATCTCATTGGCTGTCATATTGTAGCCGTTGACCGTGATGTAGGTTCAAAAATGATCCGTTTCGCTCAGGAATAATAGAACAATGTGATTCAATCGTATCTTAGGATCAAATGAGGTGACATGCCCGACCAGTAAGCATAATGGCCTCTAGTCAGCCCACTGCATGTTGTAAACGTGTTGGTTGCATCCCACGAGGATCGCCGTTATCGGACTCACGTGGCGATAAAAAAGTTCTCGATAAGGAAACTCCCCGCGGAAAGTTTGCATCACGTGCCTTTGGAGTCATATCTAAACGGGCAAATAGACTCTCTTGTCTTTCTCTTATTCGTGCCACTACAGAGATGACGGTTACTGTGGGAGTACTCGCTTTACAAGGCGCATTCATTGAACATGTTCAGCTGCTGAAAAAGGCTGCCGAACAGGAAGCCCTGTCGGATTGGGAGTTCATCGAGGTACGAACGCCACAAGAACTCGACAGATGCGACGGGCTCGTGTTGCCTGGTGGCGAGAGCACCACCATGTCGCTCGTAGCGGCGCGATCTAATCTCTTAGAGCCGCTGAGAGACTTTGTCAAGTAAGTATTTCTTTTATGCGACTGCATATGTACCAGTGTTGAGCAGATCTGACGGTGGCGCAATCGTACAGAGTCCACCGCAAGCCAACTTGGGGCACTTGCGCAGGTCTGATCCTGCTCGCCGAGTCGGCCAACAAGACCAAGAAGGGTGGTCAGGAGCTCATCGGAGGCCTCGACGTTCGAGTGAACCGAAACCACTTTGGCCGACAGACCGAGAGTTTCCAAGGACCGCTGCCATTGCCGTTCCTGGGCGAAAACGCCCCGCCTTTCCCCGCTGTCTTTATCCGAGCCCCCATTGTGGAGTGTATTCTACCACACCAAGAGGGTATCCAGGTGAAAGAGGCCGAGCGTGACGATACCGTTATCGCACCTTCTAGGAAGGTCAAGGACTCGGTGGCGGAGGCTGCCACGGCCAATCATGTCGAGGTGCTGGCCACCTTGTCCGGGGCCGCGGCTCGGAGCGCCACTCAAGGGCGTGATATCAACCCCGATCAAGAGGTGGGCGACGTCGTGGCTGTTCGTCAGGGCAATGTCTTTGGGACCAGCTTCCACCCGGAGTTGACAGGAGACGCCAGAATCCACGCGTGGTGGTTGCATCAGGTGCAAGCTGCTGTTAATAGAAGAAAGAAGCTCGGCCAATAGACCTAGACCACAGAGCAAGGGCAAGGGACAAGCATTATAGAGCGCACTGCAAAGACATTTTTTGGTTATAGGGTATCAGATGAATCGAGAAATCTTTGAGTTTCTTCTAGTTGAATTCCATGCCCGTGGTGATAAGAGATAAACGCCATTTTCCGGCTCCAATACTGTTTCATGTCGCTGTTCAAAAATCACCTTACCTTCCCTCGCCGTACTGTTCCTCCTCTCGTTGGCGCTGCTCGTCGTATGCACGGCCATAACCACCTCGGCCGGGGTCGTATTCCTCACGATACTCGTCACGAACCTGTCCACCAGACTTGCCACGTCTAAAGTGCAAAAGTTAGCCGCGGCCCACAGTCTTGTTCTCGCCTTGCGGGAATTCTTCAAGAGCAACCCCTAGGAAGTGATCGCGTACCCGTACTGACGGCCCTCCTCAAATCCAGGGTCCAAATCGGCTCGGATAATGCGCTCATCCAGCTTTGTGCCTCCAACATACTTCAAGCAATCCAGTGCATCTTGGTGGGTATAGTATTCGACAAAGCAGAATCCGCAGGGGGTCTTGTTGAACCGATCGAGACCCATCACCAGTCGCTTGATCTCGCCGCACCTAGAGAAGTCAACCCTCTGGATCAAACTCTTTGTGAGCGTATGCACTTACTTGGAGAAAAGCTCGTGGATCTGTTCCTCGGTCGTGTAGAAGGACCTAGGACGAGTCAGTGGTGGTGGCCGAGTGTCTCATTTCCTAGCATCACATACAAGTTGCCCACGTAGAGGGTAGTCGCATCCCGAAGCTTTGCCATGGGGTCCTCCCTCTCATGATCTTCCTCATCCCTGTCGTTGTATCTGCTGCGCCGCTTGTTCTGTCGCCATTGCGATTCTCATTAGTACCGGTGTAGGTCGCATCGGAACCCGACCACGGACGTAGGGTGTTCATACCTTTCCTACATAGTAGGCACTAGGCCGATCCAAGCGATCGACAGTATTGATAGCCAGCAAGCTCATGGTGGACAAGGCGGAATGGAGTGAAGGGATTAAAAAGGTCAAAGAGTGGAGCAATTCGTTTGGGCGGCAGAGGGAAGCTTGGAGCTCTAAGAGAATCTTGGCACCGGCGCCGTCAAATTCCACGCCGCAGCAACAACTTTCACAATTTTCGACTCCATATTCGTTTGCCTCGCCGCATTTATCTTCTATGAGAATGGTATAAACGAATCCCTTCCTTTTACGTGATTTCTCGATTCAAGCTTCTTCAACGTCGCCATGCCCAAGGTCAACAGCTACGCGCCGGCTTGGCTGTGCCGGCCTTCCCCCGGTGCCAGCCTCTTCACGAGCAACGCCGACAAGAGCCCTGCGGAGGAGCTGCAGACTAAATCCAAGTCCTCCGCCGACAGCGGTGCTGCCCGCACGATCGCAAAGAGGGGTAGTGAGGTCTTCGTCGTGGTCGACAATGAGATCCGCTGGTCCAACCTTGCGCGCCTCAAGGATCAATGGCAACAACAAGCCAGGAAGAAGAAAACCAAGGAGCAGACGAATAGCTCTCCTCTTCCATCTTACAGGGTATGCTATGCTTTGAGCCCGCTTCAGGCTCCCATGATCCAGTGTGTAATCCATTGCGACTGACTATTATGCAGGTTCTGGCTGTGCCCGTCTATGGACTGATCAAACAGATCCTGCCCTCCCCGAATGGCGCGTTTCTCGCAATCGTCACCGAGCACACCGTTCACATCGCCGTGCTCCCTGATCCGTCTCATCTATCGTCCACCGATCAATCTCCGATTCGACTGAAGACCTACCAGCTTGGCCCGACTACCCATGTTATCCCGGAATCACCAGTCGTGTCTGCATTATGGCACCCGCTGGGCTTGCACACCAACCTCGGTGGATGCTTGGTCACAATCACTGCCGATGCTGCAGTGCGTGTGTGGGAGCTGGACCGGAACAATCATTGGTCTTTTGATCAACCTACATTGGCCGTTGACCTCAAAAAGTTGGTCGATGGCACCTCGTCCGATCAAGACTTTGCGCCATCTGGATTCGGCAAGAGCAAGGGATTCTCTGCAGATGTCTTCGATATGGAGGTCGCATCGGCTTGTTTCGCGGGAAGTGGCAATGACAAGGAGGACGCCTGGGCACCAATGACTCTGTGGGTTGCCATGAAGCCGGGTGACCTCTATGCATTGTGCCCATTGCTGCCATCCAAATGGCAAGCCCCATCCGCAACCATTCCTTCGCTTTCATCGGCGATCATCCCGAAGATGGCTGCCCTTGAGGAAGCACCGGAGGACCTGGAGGAGGAGTTGATCGTATGCCGGCAACAATATGACTGGCTGCGTGAGATTGATGATCAGGAGCCTCTGAACCCTCCTGCTGACTCGGATACGATTCAGGGTGCGGATGTGTTCTCTCGGCCAGCAAACCCGAGTGCGATCCCGCGCTTGCAGGGACCGTTCCGCTTCGACACTGGAGATGAGCTCGATGACCTGGACCTTTGTGATATTCTAGTCATCGCTGCTAGATTGAACGTTGAAGATCTGATGATGGGAGAAGACGAAGAGCTGGCGGTGGAGTCTAGCGATCAAGATAAGCTGTCTGCAACGGTCATCTGTCTTACTAGCGGTAACGGCCGCGTTCACATTTGTCTAGAATTGGACGGTGTCGAGGGCCAATGGCTCCCCAAGGCTAGAAAGAATGCCTTCCGAACCCCTCTTTCTGAGCCTGCGGATCTGGTCTTGGTTGAGTCCTTGGATACCATCAAAACGAGCGGCCCAGAATCAGTGACGTGGCCCACTTTCACCAAGGACATTCACTCTCGGTACTCCTTCTTTGTGACCACGGCCTCCAATGTGATGCACTTTTCCATGTCATCCTGGGTGCAGAGATTGGAGTCCGAGTTGCAGGCCGAGGATACGACCGGCTCGGGCTTCCGACTACAGGTCATTTGCAGTGGAAACGTTGCCCAGAGAGAGCAAATCTTGCAGGTGTCAGACGCGGATATCGCTTCCCAGAAGGAGCATCTTGCCGCATCCTTGGTGTTCTATGACTTTGATCTTGGATACCTCCTTCTCACCTATGTTCCATCCAGTCCGTATGCAGCTGTCATGGATGCTCCAGAGGATGCCTTCTCAGCAACAATGGATCTTCGCACTTACGGTCAAAGGAGCAGCGCAGAGGCATCCCCCCCGCTGGCCCCTCGCCGCGCCCCATACCAAGTTCCGGCCGTCCTGTACGCAAAGTCCCCGCTGGAATCTTTCGTCGAGAAGCACGTTCCACACCGCCAGCGACACACGCTTAAAGAACACGTCCGTCTGTCTCCCGCGACCCTTGACCTGGTTACCACAGCCCACCGTGTGCTTTCAGCTCACACTAACGCGCTGGAACGAGCGGCATCGGACTTGTTCCGTCGTTGCGAGAGATTGCGGGGTGAGATGAAGGACCAGCTCAAGCAGCTCTCAGATGTGGCGGAGCGGATCAATGGCGTGACAAGCGAAATTGGTGAGGATGGCAATCGCAAGGATGGCTCCCGGAATGGGGCTTCCCTTGACAAGAGACTACAGTCTGCAAAGGATAGACAGAGCGAGCTTGTGCAGAGATATGACGCATTGCGCAAGAAGCTCCTCAACTCTGGCGGTCGACCCCTGAGTGAGAAGGAGAAGGCCTGGGTCTCTGAAGTCAAGGCATTGTCCGACTCCGTTGGCGGCGCCGATTCCAAACCCGCCGAGGCAGATCAACAGCTCGCGGAACGCTTGGATACCGTAAGTATCACTCCTCATGTTTCCCGCCTGAGCTGGTCAGACTAACATGAAAATCAGGTCAAAACTCTTGCCGCCGACCTCGTGGCCGAAACCAAAACTCTCACATCCAAGGCGCCATCAGGCCCCGAGCCTGGAAGCCCTGCTTCTCCTGGTGGCGCTCACCCCAAGGTGCCGCAGCGACTTCAGCGTGCCAAGATTGCTGATGCGATGAGGATGGTCGAACGGGAGTGAGTCAACTCCTTCTCTTAGATTTCTGACTACTTTTGCTAATACTCCTTACTCAGGTCTGCGGTCATCGATGCGATTACTTCTCGTCTGGAGCGGCTCAACACAAGCATTTGAACCAGCTGGTGATGTAGCAGTTCCTATCGATGGATGATGCCACTACAAGTATCGAGGACTGGGAATATCGTGCAAAGGGGACTCCCGCACGTTTATGATTTTTTGAGCTCTTAGGATAGCATGCAAAATGAATGGAACAGGTCATCTTATGTCCAACTACTTTGCACCGTCTTTCATGACTACACGACGTTCAACATGCTGAGTCAACCTTGCCCGAGAAGCGAAATGGTAGAATGCAAAATAGAACAATCAAGATATTTAGCCATTTACATCAACCCGCCACAACCAGAATCTCATTCTTAATAACCATCATCCTCGTCGTCGACAGGTGCCTCTTCATCCTCAGAGCTACTCACCGTCGGCCCCAACCACTCACCCAGTAAATCTAGAGATCCGTATAGTTAGCCCGTCATATTCAATAAAAAGGCAGCAAGACCAAATTAGAAGCTAAACGCTCCCTCAAAGACTTACCTTCAACCAAATACCAATCCGTCTTTTCTCGACGGGCCCGATAATTTTTCCATATCTTTTCTGGCTTGACCGGTTCGCAAGCCCTCGTCACATCAATGACCTCTTCTCCAAACAACCATCGAGGCATCTGCTCCGGGTCAAGATCGAGCTCCGGTGTTGTCGGTCTAGAGGGATGCATGACGTTAAAGTCATCCTCGCCTTGAGATAACTCCTCCTCTTCGGCCATTTCGGTAGCTGCGAGATATTCTGCTGATTCGTCTGCTCTACAATGTCGGTCTGTTTCTCTGCGTTGGGCGAGTAGGGCGGCTTCCTCTAGGTTAACACGCTTGTCGCCGGATCTCCAACATTCCTTGCAGGTTTGTAGATGGCAGTTGATTACAATCATTCTGGCACCCCAGCAGATTTCGGTTGGTTTGCAGTAAAGATCTTGGATATTCCAGATACAGCAGCAGATGTGATACTTTTGGGTTATTATGAAACACATATTGGTCAGTCTGGAGGTCGCCCAGGACAGGATACGTGGATAGTATGGGATTTTTGGTAGGGCACCCTCATAAGATTTGTACGGATAGTGGCTTTGTCTTTGAGATTTTGGGATGGGTTGTCCAATTCAAAGGGCATTGTGCTGCTATTTCTTCAGACACAATGAATACTTCGAGACAAGGACTCCATTTTCCAACACCCCATGCTAAACAAAGTAATGGCATTAATTGTGAATATGGATTTACTTCAAGAAAGAGTTCCTATTGAATGAGATGTGAAGTAGATACAGGAAATGATGAGTATGTAAATGAGGCACCGACCATATCCATCAAACGACGAGAAACACCATGTTGCTTGTCCGAACAATGCAACTGTACCAGCTGAAACGCCACCTGAGACCCAAGCCGAGACCAAAGAAGGAAATCAAGGATTGAGGATACGATGAGGATCAGGTGGAAGAGTGGTGAGACCCTCGGTGCGCTTGATCTTGCAAGAACAGAGCTGGCGAGCAAGCTGCATGGCAGTCACCTCATCCGAGTCCTCGACACGTTCGATAATCATGTTGTAGAGTTCGTCGACGGTGTCCTCCCAATTTGGCAGATTCAAATCATTCACGTAGCCCTCCCACTTCTCCATATTGGGCTTGAACTCCGAGTTCCACCAGTACAGCCAGGCCATGTAGTCGAAGTGGTCCATCTGGCGGGAGGCAGCATGCTTAATATCGTACATGCGCTGGCTGTAGGTTGCCCACTCAATTTCGAAGAAACGGCGGAGGGAGTGAATGTAGAGGTTGTTGAAAGAGTCGTAGGCAAGCTGGTCGAGGTGGAATCCGAGAACAGCACCGGGGATCTTAGCGGCTGGGGCGAGTGTCGGGTCTGCTGGGTTATGCTGTTCTTTCCATGCGAAAAGACGCTTCATGGATTGAACGTGCTGGTCATACATCGGGCCCTGCTGCTCGGGACACATGGCGATGAAACGTTTGGCGCGAAGGTTATGGAAGAAGCGCAGGCACTTGATAACCGCATAAGCGGACTCGCCGACTCTCATGTGCATTTGAAGGAGGACTTCCGGAACCAAAAGGTAGCTGGGGAGGCGGAAGTCCTTTGCGTCGTAGGTGTAGGACATGATCGTCTCTGGCTTTGGCTGAGTCGCCAGGAGCTCCCGCACTCTCGCTGCCCGATCCATCTTGGTGATGGGACTGGTTGTTGCTTTCTGTGATGGGAGGATAGGAGGTGAGACAACAGAGTGTGAAGGTCAAAAGAGATGGTGATCAGAGCGATCTGGCAAGGGCTAGGGAGAGAAGAAAAGAAGGGAAGAGAAGGAGATAGTGAATGTTCAGAGAAGTGAAGACGCGTTCGAGATCTGATTCATCGTGATGGAGGGTGTTTTCCCAGTGCGTCCCTATATCTTAGCGTCAAGTTTGTATCAGAATGTAATGACATGTGAGACCATTCTACACCAATACCAAATAGTGCCTTAGTTCGTGAAGAGCTCTGTGGAGATAGTGAAACTTCTCAGCGACTTGTATTATCCAGACGCTACCCAGTCATCAGCCGTGTGCAGCTATCCTCTATTTTAGCTCTTTACAAGATCTCCTAGCACGATCAACCAAAGACGAGCAGCCAAAGTGCTCACTGGGAACTGGAGACTGTACCAGAAGAGCTTTTTGTAGAGTGATAATCCGTTTTGCCTCTCCGGTATTGTCCCAATCCCATCCGTACCAACCCAAGAGTTCCCAAAACCTGAAAAAAGAGACCAAGAAAACCAAGTTTGTCGATCATTGATTAATCTTGTAGATAGTCGGTAGATTACTGGACACTGTTCCATTGTATTAGCAGATATTCTCCCAGAGAATCGGATTTGTCCAATCAATGCGTACCGTTGGATAAGATGGACACCAGAGGCCGTTTCTACAACGCCACTGACTTGACCGGGCTGGAGAGCAAAGGCAGCATCTTCAAACTCCTTTTGCATCTCGCCGTGACCAAAGAAGCCACTATAGACTGTGAGTACACACGCATTGTGTTCCAGAGGGGAAATCAGAAACATACAGGTCACCCTTCTTCCTGGCACTGCTACAATCAGACTCGGAGACGGCAATGTCGCCAAGAGTAGCTTCACCAGACTGAATGCGCCGCTCATGGCCCTTGAGGATCTCAATTGCCTCCTCCTTTGAGCGGGTAATCTCAGCTTCGCGCCAGCTGCTCGGGCGACGGCTGTCGCGGTGCTTTACGAGCAGGTGGCTGCAGCGGATCTTGCCCTCCCCCTGTCCACCAACATCATTATGGTTTGCCGCAGAGTGGTGAGTCGCCATGTATTCTTTGAGTGTCTCGGTGTCTGTATCCGCGGGGGGTTCCCAGCGCGATTCCTTGGTCGCGGGGTTGAAATAGTAGGGCAGGTTCTTGGAGTTGGAGTGACGAACCTCCCAGCCAGCTGGAAGCCCTGTGGAAGCCTGAATACTGGTTAGTTACCTGGCCAAAGCTATTCAAAGGAGACAAAGGCACCGACCATTGTGAGAGTATGAGTCAATAAGGCAGTCTTTGTCTGATTGAGGAAGCGTGAGCAGCCGGGAAGTAACTTATTGACTTGGATATGTAATTGCGGGGGACAGCTGCAAACAATGCAAACTGATCGCCGCTAGAACCCTTCCGAATATCAGCGCTGCCTTCTATCTTTCGACCCGCCAATTTCCTGCCCGCCTCTTTTGATCTCGCAACTTCTCCTTTGCTTTCTCTTTTCTCCTCACACCTACAGACTTCCCAGGAGTCCTCGAACCTTCCACTCCCTACAAGAAACCGTCTACTAGGCTCGATCAGTCCTCCATCGCGCTCCACCACCGACCCCAACCGCCACAATGTCTGCTAGCCCGGCTCCCTCTGGCGGTGCCGATACAAAGCCCGCTGATCAGATTCACTTCCGCTTCTGTCGCGAGTGGTAAGTCCTCTCATCCCATCCATCACCGGTGCTGTATTTCAAACTAAACCTCGTCATAGCTCCAACCTTCTCTACCCCAAGGAGGACCGCATCACAAATCAGCTCATGTTCACCTGCCGTACCTGCCACGTCGGCGAGCCCGCAACCTCCCACTGCGTCTACCAGAACAAACTCAACAGCCAGGTTGGAGATACTGCTGGTGTCACCCAGGATGTTGCCTCGGATCCCACGGTTTGTGCCCCCGAGCCCATTCTTGGCTTCCTAAACATCCCCGGCTTCTGCACCTGCTGTGGCAAAGAGATCTCCTGTGAGACCTGTGGCCGCGCATACTATGCGGTCCCGAGGGATTCTCACGACGGAAACCTGAGTCCAGTCTCAGATGCAACTAGCCATGTGTCCAGCGTTGACTATACACAGCTGGCTTAGATGGATTCATTCGGCTGACTCTTTTTTTTTTTATTTTCACCGGTAGCTTCCCCGAGCGAACAAGCTTTGCCCGAGCTGCGGTGAGAACGAAGCCGTCTTCTTCCAGTCTCAGCAACGTTCCGCTGAAAGTGGAATGGTGAGTTTCTTGCATCCAACCCTCGGCCCCGGTCAAGTCCCAGCTCTAATTGTGCCTCCCAGAAACTCTACTACGTGTGCTGCGCATGTGGTAACGTTTTCGTGTGATATCCTCGTTACGACACGGCGCAATGTTTCCTACCGGATACCCTTTGGTCCTTTTTAATAGTTTAGTTTGCGATTCTTGCATATGGCTGGAGTTTATTCGACGACGCGATTCAGGAAATGGAATACGCGCACTTTTAAAACAAGACTTTCTTCTGTTTTGGTATTTGAAAATAATTTCTATGGTACAAGATGAAAATGCTTTCGAAGAACAACGCTTTCCCAAAAAATAATAGCACAGCCCGAGCCTTGGGGTAGATATTACACGTGCACTGGCGCCAATGACAGAATCTTGGACCACTTCTTGTCGCGCAATTCCTGTCCGACAACGCCTGTAGAATAATTGTCAGTATATTGTCAACGCTCGTAGTGAGGCTGGCTAGCAATTCCCCCGAGAATCGGACCGCTTCGACTAACCGTTCATTCTTGTCCCGATGGGATCCCCAGCCTTGTTCACCAGCACACAGGCATTATCACCAAACCGAACAACGGTACCATCGTCCCGCTGCACCTCCTTCTTCACACGAACCACGACCGCATGCCGAATGTCTCCACGACGGACCTTGTTGGCGAGCGTGGTAGAGCTAGACCCTTCCGACGTAGCGGCTCTCTGCTTCTGAACGACGACGACTATCCGGTCACCTGGTGAAAAGAGCATCAGCACACAACTCATTTCCTCTACCAATTATCTAGCGCGTCATCCTTTGGCATGGATCTCGTTCTCGTTCTGGGTTTCGGGGACTGACCGATCGTTGCGGGTCGCTGCTTCTTGAGGACGTTGACGCACTCGACGACCGAGGCGCCGGAGTTGTCGATGCAGGTTAATAACGTCTGGAAATAGGGTGTTAGCAGGAATTGGATGTGAAAAGGGGCGTGCAGATGATACCTTTAGTTGGATCATTGTGCGCGCATTGAGAGATTGAAGCAATTGCTCACGTCCGCATCACCACAATTTGTTCGGAGAGTCGGCGGGCGGAAGGGGGTTTTCCCGGTTGGGAGAGTTTCTCCGAGGCATACAACTGCACGGGATAACATGCCTCTATACAGTCTGACCCTCAGGAAGAATAACCAAAATATTTTGTTTATTGACTAATATTGTTGTCTATTGTATAAACTGAGTTTTGTCTAATACACAACCACCTGAAACTGTGGGATACGAGTGCCCGAAAAGGCTTTGATAGGCCTAGTAAGAAGATTACTAGACTGTAGGATCAGTGGATAGTGCTATGGGGTTGATTCATCCAAATGGCAGTTCTTTTAGGGAAGGTTTTGTCGAATTGAATTGGTGGCAAGGAAGCTTGAGATATCTAAACAGAGATATCGAATACAGATACCCGGTCTGCTCAATCAGTCTGGCAAATGAGAATCCAGCAGCATGGGCAGGGATACTGCATGATCCCTTCATTGGCATCAAGTATGAGATATCTCGATTGGCATAGCAGCATACGGTACGGGAAAATTCATCTATAACCGGAATCAAATCCAAATAGAAAAAGTAAATGTCAGTTGTCAAACCTGGAATGAGGTTTCGGAATGTTGGTTTTGAACCCAAGGACAGATACTCTAGATGCTGGTGGATGGTCAATTTTATTTACTCTATCCCGTCATCTTTGGACTTTGCACTTGATAAGAATTACCCTGATCAGGTATATCTATGTCGGGGAAAATCTGGGTTTCAAACTTAATTATCGCCCAAGCCAAATGGCAGCCAGGCTGTTGGAGTGGAACCAATACGGCAAGGCCAGAAGATTGATGTACGCGGCAATGCGCGGAGTCAGATTGCTAGTCGCGTGTAAGGATGTAAACAGGTTACTAAATCGAGACTGCATCAAATAATAAGAATGCACCGATTGCAAGGCCAATAAGATTTAGGTGTCAGAAAGAGGGCGGTGCCTGGGGCTGTAAGGTGCTCTGCAGACGGCGTGGAGTAAAAAACCGGGCGACCATCGGAGCGGGTGATGGATCCTGTTCCCCTTTGGCTTCGCTCCGACAGCCTCTCAGCACCAATTGGTCTCGCGATCCTCTTCGCGCCATGCTGTCTGCGTCGGTGCCCACCGTGTCGAGTGATTCCTGTCTCTTCCTCGCTCTGTAAATTCACGCTTCGACTCGGCCACCAGTACACCCTCTTTTCTTCACGCCCTCATCCCTTCCCTCGAACCTCCGCAATCGCCCTCGTGTCGTGCGCAGTCAGCCTCTCTCCCTCGACTCTCGGAGAACACGCCCTTGTTCGCACCCGATAATCTCTCTCTACATATGTGACTGTAACAATGCCGCCCAAGAAAGCGCGCTCAAGTTCTCCCGCGACCGAGCGACGGGAGCGTCTGACCTTGGCCAAACTGGCCAGTTATGACGACGTCGCAACAGATGCGCTGGTTGATCACGTACGGCTTTTGCTCGCGTTTAGAACCCCGAAATACAATTCTAACTACTTCTATGCACAGGCCTACTTTTGGACCACCACACGCAAGAATCGCAACAAATACAGCCCTGCCCGCGGCATCCACGATGACGACGTGGGCCACATCCTCCTCCACGATGTGGTCGTCGCAAAGGACATCCAGACGGCGGAGCGTAAGCTACTTGAACTGCCGGGTCTTCGGAAATACCTGGCCAATCTCCCCAGCCCTCGAGAGAAGGAGTGGTTCCGCCGTCATCTCCGCAAGTATGTTCAGATGTACCACCCGGACTGTCCGTTCGAGGTGACGACCACGAATCGTTACATTATCACACAGCATGAGGCCGCGATCTGCGCCCGCAAATTTATCAAGGCGGGTCAGGAGATTAGATATCTCGCCGGCACCCTTGTCGCCATGACTAAAGAAGAGGAAATGGACTTGGGTCTGACCCGCAAGGATTTCAGCGTGGTCATGTCTAGCCGCCGTAAGACCCCCTCCTTTTTCCTGGGGCCCGCTCGCTTCGCCAACCACGACTGCGACGCCAATGGCCGCCTGGTGACTCGCGGAACCGAGGGCATGTCGGTAATGGCGACTCGTGATATTCATGAAGGAGAAGAAATTACCGTCTCCTACGGTGAGGATTACTTTGGCATTGACAACTGTGAATGTCTGTGCATGACCTGCGAACACGAGGTTCGCAACGGATGGTCAGCCCAGGCGCAGTCGGAAGAGAACGACATGGAGTCTTCCACAGTTTCAGTCAACGAGGCCGACCTCGTGGATCATGACTCGGCAAGTAAGAAGCGCCGACGTGATTCTGATTCGGACATGGAGGACGAATCCTCGATTTGCTCCACTCCAAACAAGCGAGCCAAATTCAGTCGTCAGACGTCCAAGTTGCGTGAGGAGATTTGCATCTCTGAGCTTCCTGCTGAATCGACTGCCACCCCCGAGACCGAAATCCCTCTCACCCCGGATTCGGATCTCGACACTCCGGTCATCTCTGTTTCTGTTGCAAGTGAGCGGCAGGGCTCTAAACTACGACAGGAAATTGTCGTGGCCCAAACTCCGTCCGAGTCATTGCTCTCCTCTACCCAGCAAACCGATCAATCACAACGATTCGGCACTAATCTTGCGGTCATTGACGCCGATACAGTCACTCTAATCGACCATACCAAGATCACTAATCCCCCAGCTAATGGGCCAGTCGACTGCCACTCCCCCAGCTCCACGGACGAATCCCATCAATCCTCAACCTCAAGTCTCCCGACCTCTGTGGATGAGATCGGAATTAAGGTGAAGAGCGAAGACTTCGCAGGATCCCACCGTCCCGGCCCTTCCCAAGTTGCAGAGAGTCCTCTCGAAATTTCTATCACAGGTCAGCCGGAAACAGTCATCTCCCCTCCGCGGAGCCCCCTCCCCAGTGAACTCTCAGACTTATCAGACTCGTTTGAAATAGATGATACCTTGCAAACGGTCGTTGAGAAGAAGCGAAAGCCCCGGCGAAAGCGTAACTGGGCTGTCGTCGTCTCAGTTGAGACAGAAGTACCTATCACTCGATCACCCGGCGACTACACCAAGACCTCACGACTGCTCGCCCAAAAGTACGATCGTTGGGTCGATTGTCAAACCTGCGAGTCATGGTTTGTGCAGTCCAACTCTTACCAGACACGTCGCGAGTGTCCGCGGTGCGAGCGACACTCGAAAATTTACGGATTCCAATGGCCCAAGACTGACAAGGGCGCCGACCGTGAAGAGCGAGTCATGGATCACCGCACCATCCATCGCTTCTTGTCTCCAGATTCTGAGGCGCGTGTCTCCCGCCGGGACCGGGGCATTAGTTTCGGCATCACGCCTACCCCAGAGCTCTCGGATGCACGCACCGAGACTCCAACAAGCGATGCCAATGAACCCCGTCGTACCACCCGTGCCAGTCGTCGCCGGACTCGGGACTTTCGAATGACGATGTAAGTTGAGCATCAATGTCTGTCTAATTTTCATGGATCTACGAGGAAAGGTGTTTGGGCGCTGTCTCGCGGAACGGGACGTTGTAACATTTATGCACATTATTGCACAGAGAATATGGTGTTGCAAGGATTCAAGGTGCATGGAAGGGGATTTTACCAGGGTCATGGGGGTTTTTTCAACTGAACTGATGTATTCTAGGGAGTTATTGGTTTAATTCGGGACATGTGTACTACTACATATGGAGTAGACAAGATAACGAACATATCTGGAATGAATGGGATTCAACTATTTGAAGTAAGCTCTCTAACGAGACTCCAAGATTCTGAGTCTAAGGACTGGAGAAGAACGAAGGAGCTAGATAAGCTCCTGTCTTACCTTTTCTTTGAAGGCGTTTAAATCGTCTTTCTTTATGACCCACGGAGGCATCATATCACGGATGGCCTTCCAACACAAGACTGATGAGATAACTTTGGAGTTTGAGTAGGGCTGCAAAATTATGAACTATCACTATTCTTTCAATGATGCCATCTTCCTTTCATCCGAACGGGTCTCGCCATCGGGGCGATCGACACCGAAGTTGCACTTCCCACTTCTCCCCGCATCGTATCCCCGCGATCTCTGTGAAGAATAACTGCACCAATAATATCCCCGCAAAATGAATCTCAATACTTGGCTTCCCTGCCCACGATGACAGAAAAACTCCGCCAAGGATCCCTAGTTCGCTTCCTCGGGCCTTTCTGTCGCGAGATCTGGTTAATCTGAATTAAAAACAGACTCACTATATAGACCTGCAAAGTACCTTGTTACCTAAAGACATGAAATATTGAGCGCTACAATCTAAGCGCATGACTATTCACAATGCGGTTTGTTTCAACTGTCCTTCTTGCTCTCTCATCGCTTGCTCCCATAGCGAATGCATACGACGACCCATTAATACACCTCGATTATGGCTCCTTCCAGGGTAAATACGACACCACCTATAACCTCTCATACTTCCGGAAAATCCCCTTCGCTGCACCTCCCACGGGCGAAAACCGGTTCCGTGCTCCTCAGCCACCATTGACAATTACAAATGGTACTTATGACACCGATCAAACTTTCGACATGTGTGCCCAGCGCACGGTCAATGGCACGGAGGATTGTCTATACCTAGGTCTCTTCTCGAGGCCATGGGATACGTCCAAGGATATCCGCAGACCGGTACTAGTCGTGTTTTATGGCGGTGCATTTATCCAGGGTGACGCTGCGTTTACTATGCCACCGTCCTCATTTCCAATCCTAAATGGTAGCACATTGAATGATTATGTCGTGATATACCCGAACTACCGACTAAACGCCTTCGGCTTCCTGCCTGGAAAGGCTATCAAAGAGTCTTCTACATCAGATCTCAACCCTGGCTTGCTGGATCAGCAGTATGTCCTGAAATGGGTCCAGAATAACATCCATCACTTTGGCGGCGATGCTCGCAACGTCTCAATCTGGGGCCAATCAGCCGGTGCGGGATCCGTCGTGGCACAGGTCCTTGCTAATGGACGGAATGGGAACCCAAAGCTCTTCTCAAAGGCTCTTGCTAGTTCCCCATTCTGGCCAAAGACATATGCTTATAATGCACCCGAGGCGGAGGCTATTTACAACCAACTCGCTAATTTGACCGGGTGTGCTGAAAATGGTCACGACAAGAAGGTTCTGGCTTGCCTAAAATCGGTCGATGTACAGACTATCCGTGATGCTAGCTTAATTATCGATGCAGAGCATACATGGACGACCAGTTCGTATACATGGGCACCCGTCATTGACGGCGAGTTTCTGGCCGATACCTTGACCGATGCCGTTAGTAGTGGCACACTGAATACGGAGTTTGTGTGGGGGATGTACAATACCCACGAGGGACAGAACTTTGTTCCTTCGGGTCTACAAAAGGATGTCCTCACGAGCGGATATAATTCTTCCATTGCGAGCTTCCATCAGTGGGTGACAGGTTTCTTGCCTGGGTTGTCTGCGAAGCAGATTGCTCAAGTCGAGAACGTCTATTACCCCGTCAACGGGAGCACGGAGACGATTGGGGAGTATAATACGACCTACATTCGTGCGGGCTTGATCTACAGGGATGTGGTTCTTGCGTGCCCGGCCTATTGGGTTGCGTCGGATGCGCAGAGGAAGGGCTATGTTGGAGAATATACTATTTCGCCAGCGACGCACGGCAGTGATACTATCTACGTATGTCAAAGCTCTTGGACTCACACATGACTTGAGATATATATACAGGAACACTAATTTTCGAATAGTGGAATAAGATTAACGCGGTTCAAACTACGAATCCGGTTGTTTATCAAGGATATGCCGGTGCCTTTGCAAGCTTCTTCCAGACGGGCGACCCCAATGCCCATAAATTGACCAACTCCTCGGAGCCAGGCGTTCCAGATGTGCAGAGTACTGGGGAAGAATTTGTTATTGTGGACCATGGATTTGAGAATGTTCGCCTTGGGCAGCTACAGCAGAGGTGCGATTTTTGGCGAAGTCTGGGGAAGAAAATACCAATCTAGATGAACTTTGTTGCTGGGATGCCTTCATAGCCGCAACAACTTCTAAGCAAGGGACTGGATGTATAGTTAAAACTACTGAGCCGTGGGCGCAGTTGAATGTGTGAAATACCTCGGCTTCATTTGGAGCTCTGATTTTTTAGCATTAACAGATACAAAATTCTAAATTAAGATATGTCCATGAAAACCCAGAGCATTTTAATATTAACTAACCTCCCAGTATGTAATTCACCTGCCGAATTTGATTAACCGCTGCACCTACTTATTCCAGACTAGCGTGAGAGTCATCGCATGTGAGGCTGTCAGCCCCCCCACGCAAGCTCGTCTGAACCTCTGCAACACACTTTCTCCTTCCTCACACCCTTGCACAAGATGAATCCAGCAAGCAGGGCTCTGCGCCTACCCCTCAGACTGTCGAGACAACAACTATATATGCGACCACAATATCCACCTTCACTAAGCGCCCACGCGGCTTATATCCCGATCCGAAGTCGACAATATCAGCTTCTACATTCTTTCTCCTCCGCTTTTTCAACGCACGCCGTGCGCACGCAAAAAGCAAAAACCCAGGAACCTGACCCTGGGGTTTTCATACCAACAGCCATGAGCTGGGAGTCTATTGGCATCGGCAAGAACATGAAGAGGCTTGTGATACTGATGGCATCGTTGACCGCTATGCTTGAGCTGTTTATTTGGTGCGAGACTACTTGGAATTGGTGGAAGGGGGAAGAGGGGGACAAGCTTGAATGATGAATGAAATGGGATGTACGGGCATGAACTTATGGATCTTGATGAAGGGCTTACCTACCGTGGCATGGAATACCGGATATACCTATTTTTCTTACGGCATAAATCTACTCTCAACACTTTGAAGAAATACTTCGTTATAGCAAGAACCAAAGCTGAATCAAATCGATGATAAATGATAGCACATCCCAGTCCTTCAGACACGAGTTGGATCCCCCATCACGTGACCTGTTACCACATGGCTTCGAAGGTGGCTGGTGACAATAGCAGTGATCTCCAAGATAAGTCACCTAGTACTAGCTTCGAAGTGTATCAATTCTTATCTTGCGGGGGTGGAGCTATACTTCATCTACGGTCATGCTTGGTTCCATCCCGCCGACGCTTTCCCGGCCTTTCGAGGAGGGGGAGATAGTTAACTAACGTTAGTTAACGTATTTCCTGGCCGATCCGGCCACCCCAAAACACCATACTAAATGCGATATTTCACAACTCATTATTCCAACACTCAAAGCTAAATACCTTCTATTCAGATATCCTAGTATTTAATATACCATACTAGGTATTCTCCTCGACGCGGGAAATATTTAAGGGTGTCATAGCGCAGAGATATATATCTATATCGGTCAGTCGTGGCGTATTTTTGGTATTGTAGGTATATAACCATATTCTGAATATTTGAGCTATGCTATACTATTTCTGATACTATGAAAGAATCATCGACTAATAAATTAAGTCAAAATATCTTGTTGTTGAAATATTGCGACCTGAGAAATCGTATTTAGTATGGTGTTTTGGGGTGGCCAGCTCGGCGGTGTGGCCAGCTCGTAGGTGAAATACGTTAACTAAGTTAACTTAATCAAAATCGTGACTAAGCGGAAGCGGCGCCATCGAGGGACAAGTTTTATTCCGGGATCGTCACCCCACCGATCAACTTGTGGACTTGGAAACGCTTCACCGGTTGCTGGACAAGATGACGGACTGTACGGGGTAATTGACGGGGTTAATTTGCGGGGTAATTTGCGGGACGTTGACTTGAACAGCTCAAAACGCGGTTCCAAGGCCACTCTATTCATTTGAGTGAACCCAAATCTCCACCTATCCTGGGACAGACCTAACACGCCTTCAACGAACGTAACAAAGAAAGATACAACTGGTAAGATCAGAATTTCACTGAATTCTTTGAGTAAGAATGTTTGCAAGAATCATTCAAGTGGATGCTTGAAAGCCAACTTTCCAAACCCTCGACTCGACCATAATCAGCCAAAATCCTCAACTCCTTCAGAGCATCTTTCGCCCGCCCCTGGAATACCTCGACAGAAACGAGTCGAAAACGGGATCCATAGTTTTTAACTGCCCATTGAAGGGCACTCCATGCCCGCTGATGGTCCTCCTTTCGAGCCGGTATGGCGATTGGGTGAGGAACATTTGGAATTCGGAGAGTAACATCTTCATTCATGGCCGCCGAAGGTATCACGAAGCGAGGGTCCTTTTGGAAAACCACGGAGACCAATTGAGCATCCTGGGAGGCACAAGATGCCACCATCTGCGCTGAACCAAGACCACTGGGATTTCCCACAGCATCGAAGGCGTACGGGGCACCATCGAAGTGATAGTTCTTCAGCACTGTATTGATCTCTTCTATCACCGAAGGGGACTTGTAGTCGAAGCAATGCGTGGCGCCCAGCTCTGATAAAAGAGCATGTCTCTCCGGCGATGCCGAAACGAGAATAGGAAAGACTCCACTTGCCTTCGCGAACTGGACTGCGCATATTCCTACACTGGTAGATGCACCCCAGATCAAAAGAGGACCGGCAGTATTGATGTCCGAGGCATTCTGAGCCGAATCGCTAGGGAGGGGGAACTTAAACAAATTGTACAAGGTATCCGCCGCGGTCATGGCGACCACGGTCAAACATCCCGCATGATTTGAAGGAAGATTCCCGGGAACCGAGTAGACCATATTCTCAGGGCAGACCAAGTAGCTCTGGTGCGTGCCATACTTGGCTGGTCGACCTACACCGGTTGGGGTATATCCGGCCACGTTATCTCCAACTTTGAAGGCCGAGCCGGGGGCAGCCTCGAGGACTTTGCCAAAGAAGTCGTAGCCGAGTCGTGTCGGGTATATACCAAGGTGTGTTGCGTGCTTGATGTCAGCTGGGTTCGCTCCGGAGAATGTAGTCTTGATCAGAAGCTCTCCGTCGCGTGGTGTGGGGATAGTCTTGTCTCGGGAAACTCCAAAGGCTATATTCTCGTCAACATGGAGCGCGACATTGAGTAATTTGGAAGTCATTCTTGGAGTATGATCTATGAGTAAAGTTACATCGATAGTTGAAGAAGACCTCGAACGCGACGCAGAAAGAGAAGTAGACGGAGAAGTACAAGGAGGATCATGGTAATCTGCCTTATTCAAAGCTCCCCCACTCCCCACTGAATGGCCCACTGCCCACTAGGTCAAGGATCAAGGATCAAGGACCGCAGGTCTCTCCACGTCCCGCTGAATCGCCCCACTGGCAGACTTCAAGATCCGCTGACTACACAACGTCCCTCCACAACAGGATAACCCCATCATTTCCCCTCACACCAGGTAGATCATCTAGGCTGTGGCGCCTCGGTTGTATTACATGGATCTGCCGTTGTTGGCTACCGATAAGAAAGTCTCACTCTGAAGGACGCTCTATAAAGTGGGATCCGCCACTGGTACTCAGACGCAACTCAATCTGATCTACATCAATCTAGTCAATACTTGACTCCCCACTCCGGCAAGATGACCGCAGTTTCTGTCCAAGAAAAGCTCAAACGGCAGTTTCCGGACACAGTGTATACACCCCTCCCCTCCCCCAACAAACACCCAGCGTACACCTACCATGGTTTCTTTCCTGGAAAAGTTGAGCAGCTCCCCCGTGGTCATGTCAAAGAATCTGGCTTTCAAGCATTTCCGGTCGATGTGACCTGGGAGCATGATCAGGCAATTCCCATGAGAGATGGAATCACCCTTTATGGTGATGTTTTCCGACCATCAAGTGGCGATGAAAAGGTTCCTGCCATCATTCCATGGAGCCCCTACGGAAAAGTTGGAACCGGTATCTTCAACTACGATCGTATGGGCCCTTGGCGTATGGGCATTCCATACCAGCAGCTGAGTGGATATGAAACCTTTGAGGTATATCTCCTCTGAAATGCTCTATCCCAACCTGGGGGTCTTTCTTGCTGATGATGGAATATTCGCACCTCTCTAGGGTCCCAATCCAGCAGAGTGGTGCGCTAGAGGCTACGCAGTAGTGGATATTGATGCTCGAGGCTGTGCCCACTCCGAAGGAGATACTACTTTCTGGGGCGAACAGGTAATCATATTGACCTATTCATCAGTAAGACGAGGCTAAGGCAGGTTTTTGTAGGAAGCCACCGACATCTACGACTCTATTACGTGGATTGCCACACAGCCCTGGTGCAACGGAGCGGTGGTCATGACGTGGGTTCTCCGGCCTTGACCAGTCTATTGGGTGAACAAAATGTAACAAGAACATGCAGGGGAAATTCTTGGCTTGCAATCTCGCAGGTCAACTTTGTGTCTCGATTAACTCATCCAAATCTCAAAGCAATCGCTCCCTGGGAGGGCATGACGGATTTATATACACACAACATTTGCAGAGGGGGAGTTCCTAATCCGGGATTTTGCGAATTTATCGTAGGTGGGTTTGCAGGTATGTACTAGGAATTGCCCATTTCTGGAGAGGGGAACAGCTAAGTAATCGTCATAAGGATTTGGAAATATCGAGGATGTCGGTGCCATGCTGAGGCAACGCCCACTCTTCGATGAATACTGGGATGCCAAACAGATCAAACCAGAAAATATCCGCGATATTCCGATGTATCTGACCGCTTCTTACTCCACGGGTCTCCACTGCGAAGGCTCATTCAAGACCTTCGAAACTGCTCAGACCTCCCGCAAATGGCTTCGGGTTCATGCATCCCAGGAATGGCACGATTTGTATCGACCAGAGGCCATGGATGATTTACAGCGATTCTATGATTTCTATGCCAAAGGGATTCAGAATGGTTGGGAGGCTGAAACCCCAAAGGTCAGACTTACTCTACTTGGGTACGATGGTAGCTTCGCGAGAACTGTAGAGGAGCGTCCCGAAAAGCAGTGGCCTCCTGCATCTCAGCATAACATTCGATACTATTTGGATGCAAGCGCAAAGACATTGATCTCTACGCAGCCTCCAGCTTCCAGTTCCATTGCGCATGAGAGTCATTCACTGACAGATTGCTCGGTAAGTTCCACCCAGCTCAGCAAGCTACCACAAAATCACCCATAACACGTTCCCTCCAGGATTTCGTCGTGTACTTTGACAAGTACACCGAGCTTTGTGGCAGACCCTTTGTGAAGCTATATATGTCCTGTGACTCTGCCGATGACATGGACGTAGTAGTGCAACTACGGAAGGTCTCTGCATCGGGCAAGCTTCTAGAGTCCCTAAACTGGTCACCAATGCCAAAGCCTCAGCCGGAGGTCCCCGATGTCAATGTCGCCAAGCATCTCGGGCAACAAGGAATGCTCCGGGCATCTCATCATGTAAGTCTTCGTTCTCGACAGAACGATGATGAGTTCCCAGTGTATGGCCATGATCGACGCGAGTCCATTCCTGCTGGAACGGTGGTGCCACTACTGGTCCCTATTTGGCCGGTGGGAATGGTATTCGAAGCGGGCGAGGGATTGATTCTTCGCGTTTCTGGACATGATATGTCGCTGCCAGAGGTGGAGATGATGAGGTTGAAAGAGCCCGTGGATGAGAATCGTGGGAAGCATACGATCTATACGGGTGGTGACTATGCTAGTTACTTGGTCCTTCCATTTATTTGATCAAGATTGAACGTGCGTCCATCAACGAAATTCCATCTTGATTATGCCGTCTTTTTCGTCGCCATCTATGATTAGGCGTAAACCTCATAATCCTGTATACCATCCTTCTGAAAGGACGATCGCGTCCCACCAGAGAGCCTCAATGACCCACTTTGTAGCGCTAAGCGGATGAGGCGTCGTCTATAAAAAGGTGTATGAAATTTCTTCATAGAACCATTTTCTAGATTTGTGACCTGTCGTTAACCAGCTTTGGGTAGTGAAGGAATCAGAAGGGAAAGGATACCCCGCCTGGATTCAATTGAGTTTGCCCTTGAGTTATATGGGGATATCACTAGTTTACACCTCGACTGCATCTATTTCAGGCTCCAATTGCATGAGAATATTTACTATGATATAATTTGTATCAAAAAATGATACTGTCTCTAGTCAGAACTAATTAAATTATGTGATCTATGCCATTATGTAAGAAGACTGCCAACTTTTTGTAGCAAAAGGACGAGCCCCTCCCAGTTGGCCATGACGTCAACACCCCTCCTCCGGTGAGCAACGAATCTGCAGCAGGTTTTGCTGATTTCACTTGCAATAGCAATCAGTCTTTTCCCCCCCTGAAATACCCAACTCTTTCTTCGGAAGATCTCCCCGAATCCATTGAAAATTTTGACTTCCACCTCCATCATGAGCGGCAACAGATTCCCCGTCGATCTCAACCAGTTCAAGCAACTGAAGCTTGACCCCAAGAACAATACCCTCACAGCCGAACAGAAGAGCGATCTCCAGAACAACATCAACATCTTCCGTGATGCCATCATTGCCTTCACAGCGACCGGTGCTGCTCGAGGCGTGTCTGGTCACACCGGTGGCCCATTCGACACGGCGCCAGAAGTCTGCATCCTGCTCGCTATGATCAATGCGAACCCCAATGGGTTTGTCGACGCGCTCTTCGACGAAGCGGGTCACCGTGTCGCTACGCAGTATCTTCTGGCTGCAATGGATGGCAAGATTGATCCAGAGCACCTCTTGAACTACCGTGACGCCAACTCGAAGCTTCCCGGTCACCCCGAGCTTGGCCTTACCCCCGGCATCAAGTTCAGCTCCGGTCGCCTTGGTCACATGTGGGGGATGGTCAACGGCATCGCAATGGCCAATGATAACAAGAATGTTCTGATGCTGGGATCCGACGGATCGCAGCAGGAAGGAAATGATGCTGAGGCGGCACGGATTGCAGTGGCCCGCAACCTCAACGTCAAGCTGTTCATTGATAACAACGATGTCACAATTGCCGGTCACCCTTCGGAGTACCTAAAAGGTTACGATGTTGCCAAAACCCTCGAGGGTCACGGCTTGTACGTCGTCCGCGCAGAGGGCGAGAATCTGGATTCCTTGTATCCAGCCGTCGCCGAGGTTATCAACCACAAGGGCCCCGCTGCAGTCGTAATCAACCGAACAATGGCCTCTGGTATTGAGGGTATTGAAGGCCAGACTCACGCTCACGACGTTATCACTGTTGATATTGCCCGCAAGTACCTTACCAAGCGGGGATACAGCAAGGAGAAGCTTGCATTCTACGATGACATCAAGGGCCGGTCTAACCCCCACCAGTACGAGGGCTCCACCAAGGATAAAGGTGCTAACCGTGTGATCTTCGGTGAAGCTGTCAACTCAATCCTGGATGGTCTCAGCAAGGAAGAGGCTGCCCGCCGTGTCATGGTGATCGACTCGGATCTTGCTGGTTCTACCGGCCTGAAGGCTATTGGGGCTCAGCACCCGGAAGTTTTCGTTCCTTCTGGTGTCATGGAGCGTGGTAACTTCTCAGCGGCCGCCGGTTTCGGCTTTGGCAGCAATGGCGAGCGTCAGGGTGTCTTCTCTACTTTCTCTGCCTTCTTGGAGATGTGTGTCTCCGAGATCACCATGGCGCGTTTGAACAACTGCACCGTTCTCTCCCACTTTTCGCACAGCGGTGTCGACGAGATGGCCGACAATACCTGCCACTTTGGACTTAACCACTTCTTCGCTGACAATGGTCTTATGGATGCGGAGACTACTTCGCTGTATTTCCCAGCCGACGGCGAGCAGATGAAGGCTGTCGTGAGCAAGGTCTTCTGGGACAAGGGCATGCGGTTCATCTTCTCTACTCGTGCCAAGGTGCCTTATATCCTCAAGGAGGGTACCGATCAGAAGCTTTACGGCGAGGGCTACAAGTTTGTCCCTGGTAAGGAAGAAGTCATCCGCAAGGGTACCGCCGGCTACATCGTCACATATGGTGATATGGTCTACCGATCGCTCGATGCGGTTGAGCGTCTGCGCCGGGAGGGTATCGATGTTGGTTTGATCAACAAGCCTACTTTGAACATCGTCGACGAGGATGCCATCCGTGACTACGGCTCTACCCCCTTCGTCCTTGTCGTTGAATCCATCGCTCAGAAGACTGGTCTTGGCTCCCGTCTTGGTTCCCAGCTTCTGGAGCGCAAGCTCACGCCCAAGTACAAGACTATGGGTGCTATCAGGGAGGGCAGCGGCGGTCTCTTTGAGCAAATTAATGCCCAGGGTCTTGGCCCTGAGGATATTGTCGCTGCTGTGAAGGAAATTGCTGGAAAATAGATGATTGAACATAGCTCTTGCACATATCTTCTAGTCTCTTGCTATTCCGGGACTAGGAATACAAATAGCTCATGTTATGATGAAATGCCAATATTATTCAATTTGATACAACTTGTAAATCAGTAGGATGTCCGGCCGTTAATAAGAACGTAGTCTAGTCCCGATCATCAGGATGGAACACCAATGCCCGAATCTCAATACTCTCCCTATCAGGCTCATTCTCCGTCTCGAGATTCACAAATGCCGTGTGAGGCACACGACGAGCCCTTCCATCCGTCTTCGAATCAAAGCATTTAATCAAAGTCACCAGGTCCGGAGTCTGCCCAAACCGATAATACCACTTGATATTCGGATCCGGCTTCACGCCATACGTCTCGCCCGAACGGCCAGGATAGATGAGTGGGATGGGAATCAGATCACTATCCGGGACGGTATGTGCATCAGCGACAGCTAGGGGATCTTTCAGGATCGTCTTAATAGGTCGCCAAACGTTGATGATCTGGTATCTCCCTTTCAACAGTTCGGGTGCCTCGTCAGGGAGATGGTGAGGGACTCGGCTCTTGGCCGCAGAATAGGATTGATCAATATGTACGCGCTGCACGGGGCCGCGGAGACCGTTAGTAGGTGAGCCATCCTGAGCCGGACGGCGGATAGTGTGGTCGAAGATGAAAATCTTGGACGCGCCGGTGCTGTACGCATCGTTAGTTAGCATTATGATCGTATCAGTTAGTTCGGAGTGGAAGATCCACCTAGCAGCGGAACACGTACGCATCCTTCAACAACTGCTCTGTCTCGGGGTAATACTCTCTCTTGATCTTCTCGTCGTCGATAAAGTCAATTTCCTTGCTCTTGTGGTAGTATAACTGGAACCCGTGGCTGTCCAGGGTATAGTCTAGCTCGTGGCCGCTGATATCGTGAATGGTAGTCGCGACTGGGACAGTGGGCTTCGCAAATGTCTCAGGCTTGCCGGCGTAGCTTGGGCTAGGGGGCGAGCCATCTTCATTTTCTTTGAGGAAGTTGAGAGTCGTTTGGACATGATGAGGCTTATCGGAAACCGGGGCAGATGGCTTCTGCGCTAGACTCGGACCTAGTCCGGTGGATGTTTGAACGGCTGCTGCTGCCATAGTCACGAATTATTTGATGGTTATTGGGTTAAATAACCTGAATGGTGTGTCTAGTCAAGATCTCTATGAGAACACAATCCTTGTAGCTTTATACTTGGCTCGTCGTGCGGGGTGAATGCTCCCATTTGTCAGAACAGCACGCAATATTGGTCTGACATGAAGAAATGCTGATAAATTGCCAGTCACACCCTTTGACAAACGGCAGATGACACGTTCAACATGTGATATACTTGATCGTATTGGAAGGCTGAATTATTAATTGCCTATCGATTATGGCGTCTTGTGCGACATCTATGCGTGATTCGCAATCAGTAAATGAAGATGCTTCCATGCTGCAGCTGGTCAATGTGATCGTCATGGAGACTGTTCATGACAACGCGCAGATAGCAGACTCGGGCACAGATCGCTGGCTCGAGTTATCTTCAAGTAGCCCCGTCCGGAAGTTTGGATATAGTAGTTTAGTTGTACAGCGTGAGTAGAAGATGGTATCGACCATGGTTGGGCAGTGATTCGTACAGTTAAGAGCACCAAGAGCACTTAAGGCGCAATCCAATGAATCGTGCTGCCTACCACTACACGAAGATTTTGACACAAGATCGATGCAGTAACAATCAAATTTGTAAGCAGTAACTATCAACTCGAGAAACGAAGAAAAACCAGGAGGCGTATGTCTCATTAAAAGTACAACAGGATCTCAAAGGGAAATTGTCTGGAGGTGTCCTGAAGTCCGGGGGTCATAGCATTGCTGCACGCACAAAGCCTTGGTCAGGATAAGAACACAGAGCAAGGAAAAACACAAGAAATAGGATTGCATCGTACACGCCGGCACCGTGAAGGAAAGACCAAATGACAGGAAAGGAAATTGGCTCTCCATGACAGAAGAATAGTAGTATGGACGGACATCCACAAAGGGGAATCAAAAAGGTTATTGTGACAACTTGACATCATGTCCAAGAGAAGTGAAGAGAAGCTTTGGTTCATAGCGGTCATTCTGGTAGTCCCTTAGAACAGGAGGGAGCGGGTCTTCTGGCGGCGAGCTTCGGCACTCGGTAGCTCGGGTTGAGAGTACGTGTGCTTGTGTCGGGGTCGAGGGGACTGGGGCGCCTGCGCCCCATTGCCCGCAGAAGATGGCGGTGCTCCAACTCCACTGGGGCGTTTTCCAACTGGTGATGCCGGAGCGACTGGGATACCGCTAGGATGAAGGCGGTCCGCAGTCTTACGTCGAGCTTTCATGCTGCTCTCACGCTTGAGAACGAGATCGGCCCAAGGCTTGATCGCACCACTACCAGTCGAGGACCCCTTGCCCACGGCCTCTGACATGACTCTCAACCAGCCATCCTTTTCTGTGGCAGAATCGGCATAGAAGTCGATCACTTCACCATTGCCAAACCGGATGCGGAACCCTTCCTCCACGAACATGTAGCCCTCCTCCTCCTCGGCGAAGGCAGATTTGCGGCGACCACCACCCTTAGTGCTGGTCTCCTTTTGCGTCAGAGAGGGGCGGTCATCGATGAGTTTGGAGGCCTTAGCCAGGTTGATGGTAGCGCGAGGCTGGCGGGTAGTCTCGTGGTAAGCAGTCAGCTTCGAACCCTGGAGCTTGAAGAAACGACGACGCCAGTACTGTATAATTGTAAGTATAAAAGAAAAATTATATCAATGGGAAGGCCAATAACTTACGGGACAGTCTCCACCTTGCTGCGAAAGGAAGCCTTCCCAGGAACGAGCGGCAAGGCTTTCTGCATCCCGCATTTCACGAATGCAAGCATTCATGCTCTTGGGCATGTCTTCATCCTTGCTCCCTTTAGGCTTGGGGACAAACAGCAATTGCAACTCCAGCTTGCCAATCTTGTAAGGCGGCCGACGCTGGGCAGCCACACTAGTGGCGCTCTTCTTGCTCTTTACGCTGCTAGGTTGCTCATCTACAGCCCACTCGTTGAAGCAAGCAACGTCGACTGTGTAGGGGCGACCAAAGGCCATCTTTTCATGATCACTCAATGCAACATAGGCTCTTCCGAAGCTACCGTCACGGGCAACCAGGTTTCGCAGTCTTTCATAGACCGGAGCATTGACATTGTTGGCCTTTTGCTGCTGCGACTGAATTTGCTGCTTCATGTCGAGTTCCTTGCGGCGACGAGGGGAAGCAAATACACGACTGAGGGCCGACGTCTTCTGGCGAGGTGATCCGGGGATATCCTGGGGGTAGAACTTGGTCTCGTCGACCTTCATTTGCAGGGTGAGTTGGAACTCGAGGTCATTCTGCACAATGAGTTCGAACTCCTGACCGATAGGAGCAGACTTGCCCAGTTCGAGCCACGATGTTGTCACACAATGAAGACCATTGTCTAAGGTGAGCGCAAAGTATGAACGCTCGCCTGTAAAAAAGTAAGCATGCGCATGTTAACCCTATCAGGATGGGGTCAATAATCTTACCACGGGGCATAGGCAGATCAAGATACTTGATGCCGACCACCTTAACAAAGAGGCGACCACGTTCCTCCCCCTCTTCATATGCCTCGCTGACCAGAGGCTCATTTTCATCGATGGTCGCAGGAGGCTCCTGCACGTTGCTCTGGTGGCCGGGAAGAGGAGGGACTGAACCCGCAACGGGCTTCTTCTTCGGGATGCCGCCTGTCAGCTTCACACTGGGTCGACGAGCCTGGCTGTTCCATGGAACCGTCGTCCAGGTCTGCTGGCTCGCTTTGCGTGGGGAGGAGCCTGCTGAACGTGTGCCGCGGAGATCCTCATTAGCGCAGTCGGCGGCGAGGGTAGGGTCCTCTTCATTTCGGTTGCTGGCAATGACAACCTTGGTGTTTTGTCTCATAAGGTAGCCTCTCTGTACGTAATTACTTTCGTTAGTTGCTGCTTCTGTGGCATTCTCTGAGATGAAGTGTCGCGGGGGTTCGGGCGCTGGCTTGGGTTGAGCCTGAGCAGCCGGCGGAGGGCAAGAGGAAAGTTGGGAAAGAGCGAGTTCGAACGCAACCTTTTGGGACTCAATGACACGATCAAACTCTTTGCTCAGGCCGGAGCCAAGGCTTTCCTCCTGGATGCTAAACGGAATATCGAGTTTCATCAGGCTAGCCTGTCGTTGTGTAAGGCTGGGGGGCAAGGACAGCTGCGGTGGGAGGTCGGTCGGTTTGTCCTCGCAATCGGATTTCTCCGATTCATTCGAGACCTGCTTTGTCAGTGTTGGCATGGGAGGCGGGTATTGACCACTGATCTTGCGACGAGTAGCAGCCATCGACTCCATATCCGCCGGAGTTAGTGATGGCCGAGTTTTAAGGCCAGCACCAGGCGCGCGAATAGTCGCGACAGGTTCAGGGATAGATTCGCCCGAGGAGCTGACGTTATCCTCTTGGTAATCGTCCTCAGCATGCTCTTCTTCGCCCTCGACAGGATGCCGAATGACAGAGTCAGGAGTAGACGGCTCCGAGATTGGTTCCTCCTTGATCTCGGGGGTCACCGGACGACCCAGAGATTGGCGGATTGAGGTCATATCAAGCGGGTGGCTGTTACCAGACTCAGGAGCCTCTTCTTCCTTGCTCAGCTCATGTGACGAAAATTCCATTGGCTCTTCAGCGGTAGGGGTGGTCTCGCCGGATCCCTTGTTGGCGGCATTGCGAGCGGCCGCTTCGGCAGCAGAGCGCAGCGAGTAGTTGCTGTCATCATCGTATGTCGCTCGCTGATCCCTGGATGACAAGCTGTTATCGGAAAGATGCTGATAATAGTCTGTAATCGTGTAAAGTGAATCGTCGCGAGCCTCTTCCTTGATGATCACGCTGGAAGAGTCATCGTCATCGTCGTCTTCCAAGGACGGAATAGGGACATCGGGGTCGTAATGCTCGTACGGATTGGGGCTCGAGGCAAGTTGAGAGTCCTCTCCAAAGACATCATCATCATCGTAGCTCTCCCCTTTGCGGATGTCTCGGAGGATCGAGTCACGAGAGATTCGAGGGGGGGAAAACAGGTCATCCTTGGGTAACTCGTTTCCTTCAGTCTCATTGTCCATGTCAGCGTCACCAACATGATCAGACGCCTTAGTAGGCTCTTCGTCGACAGCGTCGCCGTCATTAGCCTTCTCATCGGCCTTCTTCTCCTGTAGCATCATGAGCCGGAGCCGGTCCTCCAGGGACATGGAACCATTGATGTCGGCCTTATTGAAAGAGGCGCCGGCAGGCGCAGCAGGTAGAGAGCGGTGACCAGCACAGCCCAGCTCGAAAGCGGCAGCAAGCTTCCCGGGCGAGGATGGCCCCGACAGAGACAGGCGTGACAAAGAAGGCAATGGAGGCAGCGGACGCCGCTCTCCGTTCGAGTCGAGGGACTCAACACGTGTGTGACTTGAGGTTCCACCTTCACGCGATACTGGGCGCTCATCCGCGACGTGATCCTCGACTGACTCAGCGAAGGACTCTTCTTCATCGCCATTCTCACTGTCAGGAGTCATGAACCGCCAATCCTCGGGTAGAACAACAGGCGTCTTTTCAATATCTTCAAGGGATGCATCAAAACTGTCATCACGCTCGAATGATGTATCATGGTCAAAGCTGATGTCTCCCTCCTCTTCAGAATCATAACTGTTCTCACGCGAGCCGGAGGCAACAGACGCAAGGTCCGGAGTGCGCAATTCATATTCGTTGACTTGAGGAGGCGCAACATCAAATGTGACACTCTTGGCATGCCGGTGGCCAGCGCTATCATACTCTGACCAGATATCATTCTGAGGGTCGAATCCCTTTCCGTATCGACTGCCTTTGGATAACGACGATTTGCCCGGTGACGGCTGGTCCTTGCTGGGAGAGACAGGTCTTGGTGTGGGCTCCATGTTACACTCATCGGGAAGCTGAGACTTTGCAAGATTCATTTGACTTTCTCGGTGCGCAGATCGATCGTTCGCTAGGGGTCTGTGAGGAAGTGACACTTGCGCTGGATCGTATTCTTGCCCACTCTGCAACATGCTATAATTCTTGACACGCGAGGCACGCTTGAGGTCCTCGAGGGAAGGGCGCTTCGCTGGTAGGCTGATACCTTCCGGATCATATGGGGCGAGGTTTTCGGCGCCCTTTGCGAAGGGGGAGGGTGATTCGCGACCTTTCCAGAAGAGACGTGGGGAGGCATTTTTATTCAGAGGAGACACATCAAAGGCAGGTGACTCGCCCTGTGGCATCTATCAAGGACACGTTAGCATGGCTCACAAGGCAGTGCGCTCGCTAGTCAGCGTGATATACCTTCGTGGTCTGATTCCAGATGGGCGAATTGCGTCGTTGTGCCATAGGGCTCACTTCGGAGAGTGGCCGTTGACCAAGTCCACTAGCCATTGTTATGACGTGTATGGGCCTTTAACGGCGCGATGTAATGGTATCGAGTTGGGACAATATCAATAACAAAGACAAGGTCTGCGACGTGTTAGCGATCACGGCATCACCAACAGACAATCGAACCAGGAGGGTTTCAATTCAAAGCAAGTGGAGGGTGATGGAAATTTGCCGACAACAGACAACACACCTTTCTGTGTCTCAATGGATACCAGGATTCGAGTGGGAAAACACCGAGTCCTGGTCCGTGTTCCTCGTCGATCGTTTGCAGGAATGTGAGCGTGTCACCAAATCGATGCCACAACTTCAGCTACCGCGATATGAAAGACACACCCAAAGGTTTACAGACAACGAGAGAAGGGATAACGAAGGGATGTTGGAAGGATGACAAGAGGGGATCCGATCTCGATATCTATTTCCATGGGTCGGAAAGTGGATTTGTTACCCCAAAGCAAGTTATGGTGTTGACAGTCGCGGGAGTCTCCATAGCAACGGTGGGGGACGTGTGGCTGACTCAGTCCTGATAAGGATCACATGACATTCTTGCCTGAGACGTCAGGTCCAAGGGATCGGCCCTAGTCCAAATAGGGAATAGTGTCGTCCCTCTCGGAGAATCTCGTTTTTTGGTTTGCTGGCTCAGGATTGAGAAACATCTTTTTCTACACTACTGCCCGTGAGTCGACTTCGGCAGGATGCCTCTTCCAATACGATCAGCGATATGCTTCCCCTGCCAAACGAGAGTGACAGCTACTGCCCTCCCAACTCTTCTTCCAACATGGCATGCCACGCGGGCGATGGCAACAGCGCGGTTGCGCAAGAAGTCCTCCCGCATGGCTCTGTCTCCTAACGTGGCCAAACCCACGCTGAACAAGCCGCGCTCTGGAAGGGATCGCCGTGGACCTTTTGCTCAAATGAACCAGACTGAGGCGCGCATTCGAGATACGCCACGCCCCCGGTCTCAAGCTTCTCTCAAGCGCTCCGGCGAAGAAGGCAAGTCCGAAAAGACCGAGGCGCCTCTGTTCAAAGCACTCAAGATGCAGACCACACTGTCACCGGTTTCATATGGGCGTCGTGCGGCTATCAAGTCAAAGATCTCCAATCTTACCAGCTTCGATCACTTCCCTCTCCTCCCCGCGGTCCGTCACTCGATTTTCACCCAGGCTCTGCCCGGACTTGCAGAGGTCACCCCAACTCCTATTCAGCGGCTTGCGATCCCACAGCTTCTCGGCGACAACAACAAGACCAAGAACAAGCCAATTAAGGTGGATGAAGATGCTCCCCAGTATGATCAGTATCTTCTTGCGGCTGAAACCGGCTCTGGAAAGACGTTGGCGTATCTCCTTCCAGTCGTTGATGCTGTAAAGCGTGCCGAGTCACGCGACAAGGAAGAACAACAGATTGTGGAGGAACAAAAGGCCAAGGAGCGCGAAGAAAGACTGAAGAATCGGACATTTGAGCTTGAGCCGGAGGAACCCCCAATGTCCGACGCTGGTCGCCCGAGAGCCATCATCCTGGTTCCAACTTCGGAGCTCGTGGCCCAGGTTGGAGCCAAGGTCAAGGCCCTTGCCCACTCGGTTAAGTATCGTTCAGGAGTGATTTCTTCCAACCTCACCCCACGTCGAATTAAGAACACTCTCTATCACCCTGATGGCATCGATATCCTGGTCTCGACACCCCATCTCTTGGCCTCCATCGCCAAAACCAATCCTTACCTCCTCAGCCGTGTCAGTCACCTCGTTCTCGACGAGGCTGATTCTCTGATGGATCGGTCTTTCCTCCCTACCACTACCGAGGTCATCGACAAAGTGGCGCCCTCGCTTCAGAAGCTCATTTTCTGCTCCGCCACTGTTCCCCGAAGTCTCGATAACCAGCTGCGGAAGCGCTATCCCGATATCAAGCGGCTGACCACCCCGAACCTGCATGCCGTTCCTCGACGCGTACAACTTGGTGTAGTGGATATCGATAAGGAGCCCTACCGTGGAAACCGCAGCCTTGCCTGCGCAGATGTGATCTGGTCCATTGGCAAGGCAGGCGACACCAGTGAAGAAAACTATGGACCATTGACACAATACATGGGTCCCAAGGTGAAGAAGATCATTGTGTTCGTCAACGAGCGTGAAGAGGCGGAAGAGGTTGCCCAATTCCTACAGTCTAAGAATATCGACGCCGTCTCGCTGTCTCGCGACTCCAGCTCCCGGAAACAGGAAGAGATTCTTGCCGAGTTCACCGAGGTCGACCAGCCTCCGACCGCCGACGAGATCATGCTTATGCGCAAGCAGGCTCGCGCAGAGAAGTCCATTCCCTTCCTGGAGCCTGAGAAGAAGCCCGGGGTCGATCGCCACCTGCCCAACACTAAAGTTCTCGTTACTACCGACATCGCGTCTCGGGGTATCGATACCCTGGCGGTGAAGACTGTTATTCTCTACCACGTTCCGCATACCACCATTGACTTTATTCACCGCCTTGGTCGCCTGGGCCGCATGGGCAAACGTGGTCGTGGAGTTGTCTTGGTTGGCAAGAAGGACCGCAAGGATGTTGTCCGCGAGGTTCGTGAGGGCATGTTCCGTGGACAGGCTCTGATTTAGATAGATTGTGAATTACCCCTCAACTTTGTATAAAACATGTATCATAATTGGCGTTCATCCAGGGTTTGGATGTGTTTCTGGCTGGCAAAAATACCCGATGCAAAAGCGAAAACTTTGTTCAGATGAATGTACGATATTGGTCATTTTATTCTATGAAGCACCCCTTTTCCACCTTCCACTGCTATATCCTCCATTCACTAAGTTCGTTTAGAGATTTTGTCGGTCTTCTGAGCAAAGCGTGCGTTGGCATTGGCCACCCGTAACTTTATATATACCTGACCACCTTCTGACAAACCCATACCATACATTTTCTCCAATAAGTTATTTTCTTACCTCCAGACCATCGGCTTCATTGACTGTAACCCAAATGGTAGAATCACTCATCAAGTGATCCAGCTGCCAAAGATCGTTTATCAGGACTATGAAGCGGAACATATTTATAATCTACCTTTTTAAGTAGCCTCGGTGGAAATGATTGATGTTTCCATACAAACAAGTTGATTTTGAAATAGTTACAGGCTCGGCATTTCGAAAGCGAGTATTTCAATAAGAAGAAACGTAAAATACAATTGAGAAGCAGATCCAACCTATTTCATGATCGCCATGATGAGCTTTTCCAGGCTATTCTTAGCATGCGACAAGATCAGACTTGCTAGTTCCCTATGCATAACAGGCTTTTCCTCCTCTTCACGACCGTCATACGTATCTTCAAGTTGAGATGCGGCTGAGGCGATCTCATTGTAAGCATTACGGTCTGGCCCATATTGCCCAAGACAGACAATGAAACTGCCGAACTTCAGAAGCATACTGTTCAAGATCAGACGACACATACGGCCATTTCCATCTAGGAATGGATGGATGTTGACGAAGATATGTGTGTACTTGGCTGCAAGCACGATAGGATCGAGGACGCCAGACTTTGCGGCTTGTTGGAGGTCGGATTGAAGCTCGTGAATCATTTGTTGCATCTTCGAAGGAACGCGAAAGGGATAGGTAAATGTATGAAGGCCTGCGCTAACATCCACGGAACGATAGACACCACTGTATTGTGACCAAGGGGCACTTTCAGCATCGACTTTATAAGTCAAGATACGATGCGTTTCCAGAATAATCTCCTCAGACAAGTCCCGGTCATAGAGGCAGAGCTCTGTGATAATGTACGCAGCTGCTTTGGCGTGCTGAACAATTTCACGGCGACTGCGCAGGACAGCGGCACCGCTCGTGGAAAGCTTATCGCGCATGCGTTCCTCCTTGATGCGCCTGTACTCCTCATCCTGCTCTCCAATGTCCTCAGGAACCTGCTCGCCTTGAAAGATTTTCATGCACAGCTTCCAGGTGATGTCAAGCCCCGCACCGGCATGTTCAATCATGTTTGAGCCGTAGACCATGCGAACCAGGCATTCCAAGATATGGTTCTCGAACGCAGCTTCTTGTTCAGGATCGAGGCGTGCTTGGAGAATATCTTGGAGTTGATTTCCAAGCTTAACCATCTCAGGGAAAACCAAGTCAGGGTCGAAGTCCTCGTGTGCGATCTTGTAGTCGTAGACTTCATCCTGGATAATCGTGAAATTGGTCTCAATGCCGCGCACGGAGCGAGACACGGTTCCATGGCCGAGACGGAGGGTAGACTTCATCATTTTGCGAAGAGACTTCCCAAGGTGAATTGATGGAGAGGTCTCAGGATTTGATAGGTTTGGTGTAATCTCAAGGCCTTCGAAAGCGTTCTCGAGGCTAGGGCGTTTCGCCTTATGGCGCTTGGTTGGTGATGCCATGTCGAATTTCGATGGGTGGAGGAGGAGGAGATGTGATGGCGGGAGAAATATTAGAAGGCAGAGGGGAGAACGAGCTGTGGTGATGGTCTATGAAAGGGTGGATAGCGGAGGTAGGTGAGCGTGATGATGAGTGAAAGTAGTGATGGTAGGAGTTGATAGTGGTGATCAGGATCAGCTTGAGTTAAGGGTAGAAAACACGAGAGGAAGGTAGAAGTGGTAAGAAAGTAGGTAGGAGATGAGAAAGTGGGATGGATTAAATGGAGGGGAAAGAAAGAGTAAGGAACTGTTAAAAGTAGAGATGTAGGTAGAAAAAAGAAAATTCAGAAGGAAGAACACTGACTCAATAAGGGCTAGTTTTGGATATCAAGGATAATAGGCTTAGTAGTATCCCGTTACGGTAACAACTTAGCCTTCTACGGTTATTGGAAGGCAGCAATGACGAATTCCAGGATCGTATAAATCTTTCATAGTGCGGCATCAAAACATGAAGACGTCCTTATCCATAGTAAAAAATCTTCCGTAATAGGCTTAGTTCATGTCCATCACAATCAACTAGTACAGGACCTGTAGCACGTGGCACAGAAGGATAGCTCCTTGGAGAAGCCAATGGTAGGGTCCGATACGGTTGTTCAAATGTGTCAGTGTTAGCTGGAAGTCCGTACAAGATTCCCCAATATTATTTGTTTCCCTTAACTCTCTGTTCACAAACGGAAATGTACTGAAGGGATATACTCTTCTTGTAAAACCACGAAACGTCCGCACACTTTTCCAGTAAATAGGTTGTTGCCAGTCCTTAGCAATGACTTCCTAGTTTGGCTTACTATAGAGCCCCCTAGGAAATTACAATCACACAGGTATCCAATTACCACAAGAATCACTGCTTTTAGTTATTTCTATAATGTCGATATGCATGAGCATTTTACTCTCTCCAAAGCCAATTCGGTTTTGTGAGAATCTTAGAGCTCTATCAGTCTAAGCTGAAGAACAGAACCGGTAGGATAGGTATGATAATTTAATTGGGGTATAATCAAGTACGGACTAGAAGATATAAGCGAGGCAATCAACATAAATTCGGCTTGAGAATATTTCATGTTGCTCTTGATAGTATTGGAACGTTCCACTTCATCTCTCGGCAGTCATAAACCACGAACGGCTCGAATCATGAGAACAAAAATTCGAGTATGCCCAAATACCTGCATGCTTTAGCAGCCCCTACGGCACGCGAACCACTTGCAGTCCCTCCCTTTCGTAGATGGTTGAGTGGCAATGTGACCGCAAGCCAGTCACTTCTACAGCTATTTGAACGGGAGAAGAATAGATGACTAAACGACACTATTGGTTAAGCTAGTTAGTATCTATCTAAAGAATATTTAAATAAATATAAAGAAATTAAAGGCTAACCCTTAAGATAAAAAGAATTCTAATTAGCCGCTACCTTTTAGTTAACTATCTATTTTGTGTTATATAATCTACCTAAGTACCGGATTTCCTATGCCAGGTCGTGGCTTTCCTTTTCCGTTTTAGTGCTCAGCCCCCCGCCGCTTTTGCTCACTGAGTAGAACTGAGCACGCCCCTGAGCGCCCTGATCTGATCAGGGAATCAATACCGAACCGGTCAGTCGTGAATTACGTTAACCAACCTGGATCAGTCAGCAAAGGCAATTATGCCAAGCCTCACCTACCACTATACCATCTATCCTTTAACCGTTACTACCGTGTTCGAGATCAGATTCCCCTTTGTCCACTCAGAATATAATTCTCCAACCCTATCTTAAAATGCACTAGTCTATTTCGGACGAGCTACAGATCGTTAGTTTGTAAATAGTATACTCCGTACGTCACTATTCACTAGTGTTTAAAACATCGTACTTCAGTCCACAGGCATAAAGATAGACAAGGTAGGTTTTATGTTCCAAACATTACGAACGGCAGCTGTATTAGCCACACTACTGAGCGGGCTCCGACTTGCCACCGAAAGACTATCGCTTCGGCAGAATCCAACCCGGGGGGTCACAGCCTAAGAAGGCACAGACCCGGGTATAGCCTTATAAGGAGATTGCATAACACTAAGCTACGAGTGTTACGAGATATCTTCTGTTAGTTCCGACGGTCTAATTTAAACGTTTGAAGCGATTTTGAATATTAGGACTAGCGTACTATGGGTCTGCAGTATATTCTGAAAGAGACTAATCGCTAGGGAACTGAATGGTTCTGCGTCTAAGATCTCTAAGTCCCCCGGACCAGTTATGCAGGGGAGGCTGTAACATAAGAGGTGGGGCGTGGCACGAGTACCGCTCCTTGACGAGCCCCAACTTTTCTAGACATTATCACATCCTGATTCTCCCACGCGAGAGGGCCGCTCCGACTCATCTCCATATCCCGGCCGCTCTCCTCTCGGCTTGTCCCTGATCGGCAATGACTGGCAATGGCGGCGATTACTTTCCAGTGCAACGCATTGCCCAGGCGTGTCTCCCATGTCGGTATGCGGATTGAGCGTGACCGTCCCCCTTTCGCGCTAGAGCTGATCTGTGAAGACGCAAGAAATGCCGCTGCACCGGCGACCGGCCCGCCTGTGCCCAGTGCCAGCGTTTAGGAACTGGTCAGTGATTTTCTTCATTTTAGTTTCCCTTTTGATTCATTCTTTTGCCGTTTTTTTTTTTCTCTTTTTTCTCTTTTTTCTCTTCTAATGCTTTTTTCTGGCTACTTCGTTCTATGTTTGCTCTTTTCTTTGAAGCGTGACACAAGCTTGATGGTCTGACAATAATCACCAAAGAATGTACATATGTTGATGAAAACCCCCGGCATCATATTGCTCCTCGCCAGGTCGTCCGTGATGACCCCGACAGCTCGCAAGATAATGCAGGAACGGGAGAAACGCAGGTACAATCCCGACCATGATACAATCTCCGAGTAAGGCGCTGATTGACACGCATCTGTCCGGCCATCTCTAGGCCAACGAACTGTTACGAAGGATGGCGACCCTCGAGGCAAAGATCGAGAATCTCGGATCAGGCCTCCAACGGTGAGTCCCTTGGTCTCCTGACTCGTATCAAAATCTTCTAGAATCACGCGCAGTTGACCATTCCTGGGCCAGGATCGAGCAGTGCCTGGTAGCCTTGGTGGATGGCGACCATTCTCGCCGTACCGGCCTGCTAGCGCCCGCGAAGCAAGGCGGGAACCGTCCCGGGAAATCCTATGAGACGACAGAAGGAGCTGTCAGCTCGAACTCCCAGCCGTCCGATTCCCTCTCTGAGGATTTCGGAATCCCGGAAGACGTCTTCATGGCCGTCATCGATACTTACTTTCACTATTGTCATAACCAGCCCTACTCCTTCTTTCACGAGGAGAACTTTCGGGAACGCCTGCGAGCGCAAATGATCCCAAAGCATCTAGTCCTGACCGTCATGGCAGTGGCCGTCAGATTCTGCCCGCACCCATACTTCGCTGGACGCGTGCATGAGGCCTCTGTGGATTATGCGAACAGAGCCTGGAAGCTCATCGTGTCCGACTGCTTCACAGTTGGCAAGGTCGCAGAAGTGTCCACTGTGCAGACGGTTGCTATGCTTGGTCTTTTCGACTTTACAGGTAGGTCCAGCGACTGGTTGGAATGATGGAATACCGAGAGAGCTCGTGCTGTTTACTGATGTCTTGTGTGTCGTCGCCATCTAGCCGGTCGATCACGCCATGGGTCAGCATGGGTGAAGGTTGGGCTAGCCGTGAGGATCGCCCAGGATTGCGGGCTCATGCTGGAGAATGCCACATACCTTCCCTACGCGGAGCAGGAGGAAAGACGCCGCGTCTTCTGGTCCGTCTATCTCTTGGATCGCCTGGTCTCCTGCGGTCGTGGCCGGCCACCGGCCATAGTGGATGCGTCGTGCCATCTACAGCTGCCGTCCGATGAATCAATATGGAGGAGCGGGCTGTGGACCAGGACTCAATCACTGGATGAAATGGCGAATCGCACGCTGTCCATGTCGCAGAGGCAGGGTGCGTTTGCCCAGGTCATAGCCATCGCGCAGATCTTGGGTCGGATTGCCCAGTACATGCTGCAGGACTCCAACATTCGAAGTCCGCATCCTCCATGGGATCCGAGCTCCGACTTTGCGGCCGTGGAGTCGGACCTGCTGCACTTTGAGGCGTATCTGGAGATCCAGGTCTCCGTAAAAGATGTACTGGCTCCGCATATCTCGGCTGAAGGAGTCGTGGATTCGCAATGCACCGGCCCCATCATCTTTTCCCGGGCCCTATTCCACCTCTGTTACTGTCTGCTCAACCACCCTTTCCTGATGCGGCGACGCATCGACACGTGCCGTAACTTAGCCCCTATGAGCTTCATGAAACGATCCTCCGATTTGGCTTGGCACCACGCGCAGCAGATGATGGCACTCATCCGCGAGGCACGCAAGTGCGGATGCTCGTTTCACTCCTCGTCCAGCGGATATGCTGTCACCGTGGCGGGCTCCATCATAGCATTGCGCACCTACGATTCGGATCCGCAGGCTTTCGAGAAACACCAAGTCTTGCTCGACGAGGCCCTGTTATATCTAGACACTGTTGGCCAGCACTGGAGCAACGTGGTTACAATGGTATGTTTTGAGAGTTCTTGCAGGCCGTTTCTCCTGTTTTTGCGCTGACTCGTGTCTCCGCAGGCTTCAACGCTCCGACGGATGGTCTATAATGGATTCTTAGGCAGCAGCCTAGGCGATTTGACGCAACTATTGACGTTTACTAATGCGGAGGAAGAGACGCTCTGGGCGGTGGTTGACTACAATACCATGTCCGATCAAGATACTGACGACACGACCATGGATGGACAGCCGGCAGACGGAGCTTTACTCAGTTCGTGGGTTGAGCTCTTTGGCGCCGTCGATTATTCTTTATTCCCTGCAATTAGCACAATTAGCCAAGATTGAGGAAGCTGGTAGAGGAGCGGGCTATGTGGGCTAGAGAACGCCGGGCTTTTGCCGGCTCCCATGTACGATGTATACGATAGAGGTCGCATTTTGGTATACACGAGTACTCAAAACAACTGTGTCACGGCAAAGAATAACGTCATGGACTGAAATATGAAGTACTTGATTAAAGCGTGACCCTGCTTGTTGCTAAACACCTTGCAATACATAAGATTATTCTGTCTGGTTCATTCAACCAGCAGAGAGCAAGTCTACAACTTGGACGTTCCTGCTGAAGAATCAACAGCGTCGAGAGCCTCATATATCACACTGAAGTCTCGGTCGCCAAACTCCTTAGTCGCCGCCAATGGTCTGTACGTCTCCTCTACGCATTTTCCAATATTGAGAGGGACGCCGGCCTGCTCAGCGGCCTTGACCGCTAGGGCGAGATCCTTATGAGCCAGCTTGGTAACGAAGCCGCCTTCGTAGCCGCGGTGGGCCGGAGGGCTGGATTCTCCGACCTTGACCTCAGGAACAGGATGATTGATCTACGAGTTTTGTCAGAGTACGAATTGCTTAACATGGGCTATGGTGCCACGGGACTCACCTCGCTGGACCAGCAACGGCCGGTGGAACTGTTAATAATATCTGCAAGCACCTGAGGGTCAACTCCAAGCCTCTTGCCCAGAAGCATTGCCTCGCTACACTGCATTAGCTTCTTGACAAAGAATGTGATTGATCCTGATCACCCTCACCTTAGACCAAGCATAGTGATTCCAAGTAGAAGGCTGTGAAGGGGCACGCGCGAAAAGCGCTAGTTGATTAGTCGAGAGTCTGTTTTTTCTCTCTAATTTTTCTCTAGGAAGAGGAAAAAAAGATGGAGATCATCGTATCGTCAATCTTACTTATTAGAGATCTTTGCCGCAAGTCCAGCACCGAGATCGCCACAGTGAGTGACCTTGCGACCCATGGATTGCAAAACCGGGAGCGAGTGGTCGAAGGAAGCCTTGTCGCCTCCAACCATGATGGCGAGGGTGCCATTCTTTGCTCCAATAACACCTGCAGATCACAAGTTAAGTACAGGTTTGTGACGAGGGTGCAACTTGGTAGATGGCATTGAGGGGCTTACCTCCTGACACCGGGGCGTCCAGCAGGTCTGCACCGGCTTTTCTGAGCTCCAAGGCAACAGCCTTGCTGACGCTCTGCTCGATGGTGGATTGGTCTATGCAAAGGGTCGCCGAGCGTTGGTCCTCGCTGAGTGTCTTGAGAGCGCTCAAGATGCTCTTCTCTCCGTCAACGTATACATCCCAGACGTGCCTGCCCGTCGGCACCATGCTGATGATAGTTGACGCCTGCTTGGCTAAGTCGTATGGTGCTGTGTACAGGTTCAGCCATATTTCAATTTTGAGCTAGCATCTGCCATGGGTTGTCACCTACAGGAACACTTGATGAAAGGAACGCTGGGTCTCTCTGAGCTGTGTAGCTTGATGATGCTATCTACCGCGGCATCGTTCACGTCGCACAGGGCGAATGCTGTCTGGCCGCCATCTCGAGGAGGCGTGTATCTTTTCACGAGGTTATAAAGCTGTGGCAATATGGCTCAGAAATGGGCTCCATCCACGAGACTCCTGCCTGCGGCGGCTTACCATGTGGTTTCCCATGGCACCCAGGCCAATGAACCCGATTGTGTTGGCTCTGTTTGTTAGGCTTGCCATTGTGGGTTTTTGTGAGAAGCTTCTTCGGGTTATGGAGCGGGAGATCAAGGTTTGTGAAGGATTAAAGGTCATTAGGCTGCCCTGTACGTGGAAAGGTCGAGAGTGCAGAGGCCCTTGTGTATACCGCGTCTGCCGGATGATAGAGGCTCGCATATTGAAGAGCGAAATCGAGGACGAAGAATACAATAAGTAGTGTATGCAGAAGAAGGATGGATTGAATTGCCCTGCTTCGGTACAAGAAATACTGTCAAAGTTTACACCCAACAACTTATCAAGCTGGTCTGGGGTAATGATCGGGCTTCAAAGCGAAGGTCACTACCCATGCCGGTTCGGAGTGGGGACGGTCCGGGGCCCGTCTGGGGCGGAGACTGGGGGGACGCTGATTTGGCCTTGCGAAGTAGACATTCCACCCAGATGAGAGCTTGCGACGGTTTAAGAAACAAGGTGGGCAGAAGAACCGAGGATAGCTTACCTCCTGTGTTCCGTCCATCCTCCCATTGCACACCTCATCGGTCTCGGGATTCTGATTTATATATCACTTTCGTTCAACCCATCAGTCTCCTCCACCAAGCTGTTTTCTTTGCCTGCAATTAGCGGAGTCCAGCCATGCTTCTGACTCTTGGGAGACTGCAAGTCTGTGCCTCCCGAGCTGAGTTGCGACCGGTCCTACGCGCACTACTGTCGTCCTCCAACATGTCATATCAGGCTTCCCGCAGACTGAGCTCCATTGCTTCGCAGCTCGGGGCCCAATCGGCCGTAAATGACTCGACGGCCGGATACCGCATGACCCATGACCCTGTCACGAACCCACCAGACACACCAAACTTCCTGGACAACTCCTTTGTGCGCTCTGCTGCGTCGCAATGGATCGATCTCAAGGATCCGGCAACAAACCAACAGGTCACCCGGGTGCCCGAGAGTACTGATGAGGAGCTTCAGCAGGCCGTTGACTCTGCTAAACGTGCTTTCCCCGCTTGGAAGGCCACGAGTGTTTTACACAAACAACAGATCATGTTCAAGCTGGCTGCCTTGATCAGAGAGAACATGGACCGTCTAGCAGCTTCGATTACACTTGAGCAAGGAAAGACGTTCGCCGATGCCAAGGGCGATGTCGTGCGTGGTCTCCAAGTTGTTGAGACTGCTTGTGGCATCACCACGCAAATCACTGGCGAGGTCGTCGAGGTGTCCACGGATATGGAGACCCGTTCCTACAGAGAGCCGCTGGGTGTGGTCGCTGCGATTTGCCCTTTCAACTTTCCGGCCATGATTCCCCTCTGGTCTCTTCCAATCGCCACGATCACTGGAAACACGATCGTGCTTAAGCCTTCTGAGAAGACTCCCGGGGCCTCCATGATCATCGCCGAGCTGTGCAGAAAAGCTGGCTTCCCTGACGGCGTGGTAAACATCATTCATGGCGGCAAGCGCGCGGTCAACTTCATCATTGATAATCCCACTATCAAGGCCATCTCCTTTGTCGGCTCTAACAAGGCGGGTGAGTACATCTATGAGAGGGCTTCCGCCAAAGGTAAGAGGGTGCAGGCCAACCTCGGTGCCAAGAACCACGCAGTCATCCTGCCCGACGCCGACAAGAACCTAGCGCTCAACAGTATCGCCGGTGCCGCGTTTGGTGCCGCTGGTCAACGGTGTATGGCCCTGAGTGCGTTGGTAACCCTTGGCGGGACGAACGAGTGGCTCCATGGTCTCGTGGACCGTGCCAAGAAACTCCAGATCAATGGCGGATTTGAGCCGGGAGCAGACTTGGGGCCGTTGGTGTCTCCAGAGAGTCAAAAGAGAGTGGAGGATCTCATTGCCAGTGCCGAGGCGGAGGGCGCAACAATCCTCCTTGATGGCAGGGGTCAAAGGCCGGCCAAATACCCCAACGGGAACTTTGTAGGTCACTCTTTTCTCCTTCTGATGCAAGGTCTTCGTCTTCGTCTTCTAACAGATTTCTTCTCCAAGGTCGGTCCTACAATTATCACGAATGTCAGGCCGCATATGAAGTGCTACACCGAAGAGATCTTCGGCCCAGTCCTCGTCTGCCTGGGTGCTGATAACCTCGATCAGGCTATCAAACTCATCAACGATAACCCTTACGGTAATGGAGCCGCAGTGTTCACGAGGTCCGGAGGTGCGGCCGCAAAGTTCCAAAAGGGACTTGAGGCTGGACAGCTCGGCATCAACGTCCCGATTCCCGTGCCCCTCCCCATGTTCTCATTCACTGGCAACAAGAAGTCAATTGCTGGAACTGGCTCTCTAAACTTCTATGGCAAGGATGGTCTGAGATTCTTTACGCAGTGGAAGACTGTGACCTCTCTATGGAAGTCCGAGGACATCGGCACGACACAGAGTCTGGTAAACATGCCAAAGGTGGAATAGGTCGATGAGTTGCGATACGTATAAACTTAGAAAGTTATAACCGTACGAATACTCAGTTTCAAGCGTACATCGTTACTCTTTATATTCTACTTCAGCGTCCAACTCATACAGGTCCTTCCACTTTTTGTATACAGGCTACCTCTCTCGCTGCAACCATGCAGGCTGATAAGCCTCCACAAATATGGGGTCCCGAAGCCTCGTGCCGTCCACTTCTCCTATGGAGCCTCTTTGTGCACCTGCGATAAGCAAGGCCGAATGATCTCACTTCAGGAATAGTATCACTTATCAGCAGAATACGATATTAAAATATGAACTATTGATTGCTTAGTAAATAAGTGTGAAGCTAGCTTGTGTATTTACAAGACTTATTTTTAATTACATTCATACGTAAATATGTTGTCTCTGTCGGATCTGGTCTGGTAGCCCCTGTTGGCTGATAATAATACACGTGAAGTTATAGGCGAGTCCCTTGGCGTTACTGGCTTCCATATACGGCAAGAAGTAGGATGTGACAATGCGTAGTCAGTGTCTTAAGTACACACTAATGGAATTTCGTTTCTTGCGTGGTAAGCTAGGTAGTGACAAGACTAGTATCGTAAAGATCAAAACGAATCAAGGAGATCGCCAGGACGTTCGTTCCTTCATAAGAGAATGCTTAGATTGAATCACTTAGGATCTGAAACTATCTTCTACTTAGGTAGGTAGGCGAGACCTAACTACCACTGCCTAGGAACAACTCCTGGGTACAGGCCTTAGGACGGAAGAGCAAGAGCCGAGATGATAATATCTTTAAGTATTATTAGTTAAATTTCGTCTGCATGTAAAAATTTATTGTTCTTCGCTTTCTTTGATACACCCTAAGATTTCTCGTTCTCGCGTCCTCCCGCTTTATACTTCTATCTATCAAGCTCGACTTAATTTGTATTTAAAGAGAATACTTAATATTACAGGCAAAATATTCATAAATTATGTAGCTATATGCCCCTTGGCATATATGTTACGTTTATAACCCAAATTAAGGCCCGGGGCCCAGGCTGGGTCACCCAACTGTAACCAGGACCCAACGATCGCAGTCTTCGACCCAAAACCCAACCCCAGCGCGGGTTGGGTCCGGGTTGGCTCTGGGTTATATTAGGTCGTGCAGAAGTCTACTCCTACGAGTATAGTAAAGCTAAGGGTGGAGGGAGAGGGGGGGGGGAGGGCGAGTTCAGCAAGTTCCGCTCTTGAGCTCCTTACATCTAATCTCGGTTCCTGGTGGACCCGGGGCCATCCTGGCCGGAATCGCGGACAGAGTGCCGACCGAGCCTCATTCGGCCGTTACAGGATTCATGTATAAGTCAGCATCTTATAGCACTTCAATAGACACTACAACATAGCTTATACAGCGTAGTGGGATCTGTGATCCAGTTTAATCCCACAAACCCCCCACGTTCTAGGCATGTACATACTTCTTGCTCCTTCTGGAGTTTGAGGAGCTGTCATGAACGAAATGCCCACATCTAGGATCGGTCTGAGGATCCACATAAATATCTCACGGCCCGGTTGATGCCTGTAATTTTGCCCATCTCCTTCCAGAAGGTGATCGGCGGATCTTCAATCATCGCCTGGCTTTCGTAGATATTGATCGCTGGCCGCTCCCATACGAGATCGACTTCGGTGCTCTTCTTCAGCTTGGGCTTTTTGACCACTTTCCAGAAGATATAGAGGATTGGGGCGACGAGCTGCATCGTATAATTCGCAAAGAACGCTTGCACACTCCATGGCGTGAAGGCGCTATAACCGTAGCCGATAGCCACAAGGAATTCCAGAACCAAAGAGACCCAAGCGCCGTAGGGTTGGAAGTATCCATAGTAGGGCAGATTCTTGCGATTGACGCCTTGGACTTTGCAAGCATTGTAGTAGCGCAGGAAAGTAATCGATATGACGATGTAGTTTACAAGCCCGCCGCCAGCAATGAGTGATAGAAGAATATTGAGGGCATTGGCGGAGCCACTGTTGACCGAAAGGAAGGATAGGAATGGGAAAAGCATGGTGACAAGGAAGCAGTAGATAGGAATGCCCTTCTTTGTGCATCTCTTGAGGAAAGCAGGTGCGTGTCCCTGGACTGCAAGGCCGTACAGGCAACGCACCGAACAGTATGTATATGTGTTGCCAGCAGAGAAAATGCTGGTAAAGAGGAGAGCGTTCACAATATGAGGTAAGACGGTGATGCCCATGTTTGTCATTGCGATGACGTACGGTGAGGCGGCGGCGGTCGAGGAGCCTTCACCGTTTATAAAGATGCGCCGCAACTCCGGGTTATTCCAGGGGAGTACCACGCCGACGGCGAGGGCACTGCCGATGAAGAAGATGCCAAAGCGGAGGTAGACGGTCTTGAAGGCTGTCTTGACGTAGAAGCTTGGGTGTTTGGCCTCTGCAGCAATCATGGAGATATAATCCGGCCCGACGATGATGAAAACCGCAACCACGAGCACGCTCAAGAAGCCTTCAAACTGCCCGAGAGCCTCGGCGGAAGCCGCCTGTGCAACGAAAGGACCGGGATCTTTCCAATAGCGGAACCCATAGGCATCATTTTTGGGGTTTCCACCCACCATTGTGATGAATGTGAAGGCGAAGAGTATGAACATGAGAATGACCTTCCCGCCAGAGAGCCAGAACTCGGCCTCTCCAAAGACCGACACAGCTACGATATTGAGAAGACTAAATGGGTTTTGGGATCATCTTAGCGCGAGGGATCTCTTGCTGATCACGGAGGACTTTTGTCACATAGTTGGACAACTAACCCGTAGCAGATGATAACACCCAAGCAAAATCCAACAAGTGGACCTGGGCGAACAATATCCAGTACCCAGTACGACGTCACCACGTTCAACGCCACGATCTCGAAGGGAATCAGGAGGGCTTCGTAGAAGAAGAAATTCCAACCGATGGCAAAGCCGAGTGCGTCGTCCACCCATTGCCCGGCGAGACGAATGAAACCCCCTGAGATGGGCATGTGCGTGACCATCTCAGCCGCCGAGTTGTTGATCAGGGAGACGACGCAGGAGTAGGCCAGGAAGCAAAGCAGCAAGTTACCTGGCCCGCCCCTGGCCAACGCACCACCGATGCTGACAAAGAGGCCAGTGCCGATGGTCCCGCCAATGGCTGTGAGCTGGATATGGCGGTTGTTGAGGCGTCGATGAAGGCCTCCAGAGTTGATTGCGGTCGTCTCAATGACCTCCTCTCGGTGTTCAAGTTCGATACATTTTGTGCTATCGCCTCCGCCACAATTGTCAGAGACGCTCTTGTTAGATGTGGCAATCATTGCGTTGTGGATTCAAAAAGCGTATGTTGAGTATCGCCTCAAGTATAGCATCAGACTTCATTCAATAGGATAATATGTGCAATAGGATTGACTCGGTTTGAAATTTCTTCTGTGAGCACATGATCCCCGGGTGAAAACCTACACTAAGAAAGAGAAGCGACGACTCTCCCTTCGTATTAAGTAGTACACAAGACTTCTGAAGGACTCCCTACCCGAGGGAGAGGCCAGACTATCGACTGTAAGGCCTTCTGTTGTGTCCATAACGCTAGTATACACCCAAACGGAAACTTAAAGTGACAGGGTCTAGTCGCATCGCATCCAGAGCCAAGCATTTTACAATTTCCCCAGACTTTTGGCATCCTGATCCACCCAGAATCCGGGGTCCCCGTACTTCGGGACGCAGACCGTCTCCACTGCAGTGGCGTGTGGAGACGGTCCGGCGGCCCCACCTGGCTACCCGACCCTAGAGGAGGGGTTTGCCCTGTATGCCGCGCACTGCCGTCGATATACGATCTAACCGGCCCCTTACAATATTGTAACAGGCCGGTTAGACCCACAAGACACGACGTACTTTCTCATATCGTGTCTTAAGCTATTTCCAAGCCAATTCCGGTCATACTAAGTCCCCGATTCAAAGAGACACATCATACCCCGCCTTTTTCATCTCAGGAAGGCTGCCGGCAAGCCCGGGGAAGTGTACTGCTCGTAATTTTGATTCCCAAACCCCAGGCTCGAGCAATCTTGGCAAGGATGAGGAGGCTTTTCTGGATATCCCTCTCATTCATTCATGGCTAGGCTCCAGCTGAGGGAGGTCAATACAGCTGTGCCTCGCGACAATTAGGTCTTGGTGCGGCTCAGGGCAGCTGCGTTGAACCATCGCGACTTGTTCATCTGGTACCACTAGTACTCGGCCATATCACTTGAGCATCCCAAGTTATCTGATGGATATGGCACCCTCTCGAGCTGGGCAAAGGTGTCTCCGACAGCTTCCTCGTTGGGGAGAACGTTCTCCTACTGCCCGTGTGTGGATGGGAATCAGACCCGGCCGGGCCCGGGGATCCAAGCTGTTGGGTCATCACCGGCTCAACCCGTCTCTATGACTTGGGCACGGCACAAGACTACATCTGCGTCCACAAGGACGAAGTAGTTCCAGCTTTAAAGCATCTATTCGCCCGGGGAGGGGCGGCCTTGCCGCTCGTTGGGCTAGCGGCCTGGGGAGTGTTGATGACCAAAGCCTCAGTGAAACTGGGCTAAAACAGCCTGGTAACCGGAATCGCCGGCGGCGTTGGTCTCTCTGCTTTGCAGTTCAGCGTAGCATTGGGTGCTAACGTCTACGTTACCTCTGGCAGCCAGGAAAAGATTGACAAGGCCGTTGCATTGGGCGCCAAGGTGGAATCAATCTACAAAGCTGAAAAAACTGGGATGTAGAACTGCACAAGTAGCTTCCCTCGTCAGGGCTCTTCTTCCTCGACACCATAATCGATGGCGCTGGCAGTGTTGTGGTCAACAAGGGCGTCAACCTGCTCAAGCCTGATCTTGTCATCGTCCAGTATGGGATGACCGTCTCGCCAAGGATAAACTGGACTATGTCTGCCGTTCTTTTCAATGCTGAACTGAAGGGAACAATCATGGATTCTCAACAGGAGTTCAAAGACATGGTCAAATTCGTCAGTCAGAAGGGCATTCAGCCAGTCGTCAGCAGAGCGGTTAGCGGGTTGGGTAACCTCAAGGAAATTAATACAGTAGTATTTTCGAGGACATAGAAGCGGGACTCCAGATGGGAAAGCCTGTGATTGAGATAGACGACGAGAACAACCCCACGATATGGATTCGGATTTTTTTGTGATGTCTGTCTGTTTTTGCGTGGCTGCTTATATTCATGGCACGATCACCTTTCTATTCTCTTTTGGTTAGTTGGCAGAAGACCCTAAGAGATAGTGGGGATGCCCTCAAGACAGTCTGACTGCAATCAACTATGTTCATTTAGAAGGCAATTAAACGTGCATGAAGAGTTCGCCCCAAGTTGAAAAGAATCAGGACATGATATATTCATTTGAGTCTGTACTGGTCTCTATATAGGAAATAGTCCCGACCTCCTCATAGCCACGAAATTGCATCGCTTGGACGGTAGCAATTTGGCTCAGGTGCCGTGGTATAATGCGGCGAGGTCTCGATACTGGCCAGTTTCGCGACCGGATTCAGCACCTCGAACTCGCCCCAATCACCTTTCAATCTCGTCGTAGACAGAGAGTCCCCTACAAAGTACGTGGGCATGACGCGCTTCCACCCCTTGAGAGCCACCTCCAGCAGCTCGAGCACAAACAGGTCAGGACCCGTCTCATCCCACTTGAACTTCTCATTGCACTGCTGGACGACGGCTGGAGCGTACAGTCCCACTTCGGGCTTGAGGTGTAGGGCGGCCGCGGCCATCAGCGAGGCGAAGACGTGGTATGATCCTCCCTGCCTCGTGCGGTCTCTGATGGCCATCATGGTACCGATAGCCCCGATCAAACCGGTCAGCATGTCCGGGACGGGCAGCGCAGGCAGCACACACGTGCCATTCGTGTGGCCGAGACTTCGCCCCGTCACGTATGAGCATCCGGAGGCAGCATCGGCGACCTGTTGCCAGCCAGGCCGCTCGGCCATAGGACCGTCGGGCCCGTAGCAGTTCTCCTCCACGTAAACAATGCCCTTCCCCCGCTTGCCGGCCATCTCGAGAAGACTGTGGAGACCAAGACCTTTCCGGGCAATCACTCCAGGCCGATAGCCTTGGATAAAGACGTCTGCGTCATGGATGAGGGCCCTTAATCTTTCGAGATCTTCAATCTTGCTAAGATCAACATCCACTGTTCGTACACCAGCGTTGAGCGTCAATTGGAGTGACTGCCATGAGCGAACGTTAGCATGCGCTCTGTTTTCGAACCGCAGATGCAACAGGTGATCCAGAGAGGGGAAAGTGGGATATTTAGGATAAGATAAGGAGCCGGGGCAGGGAGGATGAAATGTGTTTGAATAACTGACGTTAAAGTCTGGGAGCCGTCCGCAGTTGACGCGAATGACATCAGCCCCAAAGGCAGCCAAGGTCGTCCCGATGACAGGCCCTGCAATGATACGAACCAGCTCAATGACCTTGATCCCAGCGAGGGGTCGCTTATCGGAAGATATGCTCAGAGGTATGGCAGGCGTGGGGACGGCGTGGGTCTGTTGGGAATAATTGATCAAAGGATGCCTGTCAAGGTCCTGGGCCATTTGCGTCTCGGACCATCCGGCCGGCGTGTAGCAGATGCTGCCGCAGAGGCCCCGAGACACGTACATCATCTCCAGCTCGTTGGCACTGAACCTACGGACGTGCTCAGCGATGATCTTGGACGCCTCATCGTTGCTCTCGCATTTTGTCGCCGGGTCCAGGCCGATTACGCGCAACGTCGGGTCCGCGCCGAGGGACCCGTGCAGTTGATACCAAACACCGGGGTCCTTGGTCTCGTAGTTTGCCGTTGCGCGCAGCCTGAGCGGAGTCGCGAACGTGTCCTTCTCGAGATCCTTGGGGAAGATGGAAGCCAGCTTGCCCTCCTTCGCAATCTCACGCACGGTCTGGCCGTTGCGCTTTGCCATGCCGACGCTGCCCAGCCAGATGGCCGCGTGGTCGGTGTCGACGCTGACGCCACACATGGCACCTTGGCCATCCCTGCATTCCAGGAGCTCGTTGGCAACTATGCCGGCCATGCCATGAAGGGCTCCAGCAATGACAGCCGATTTTAAGGGGCCGGGGACGATTGTCTCGGGAGACCCCGTGAATGTGACCAAGTCCAAAGTCACAGGATCCTTTGTGAAGCCCGGCGTAGAATCTGCCAGGATCTGCAAGAGTCTCTTTGCATCTTCAGGAACCGGGAGAGCTTCCGAGTCAATCCATGATCCGGGCCCGTAGACGTCGGCTCCGGAGACGATTCGGGTCATGGCTGCAGTGTCGCGGTGTTTTTAGAGCAACACAGTATTTGAATACGAGAGACAGGAGAGCTATTCGAGAATGCAAGTCAAAAGTTCCACATTCGCAAACTCATGAATGACACATCTTATAACCAAAACCGCATAGGACTTTTTATTCGTGGCGATGCGGCATTGGCACCTTGTTCGGCAAACCTCTCATCCAACAAACTCCGAGGATGGCTTCCTGTTAGGGCTGGGTGAATGGGGGAAGGGGGTGTGGGCCCGGTCCGGGCGGTACCAAGCCCTTAGGGCCCCTCACTGTTCCACCGCACCGAGGACCCCTACCTGGTCGTTTGCACTAGAAGGCACTATCGAGGCGTCTTCAAGCAATTGGGAGTTCCCCCCACCCGGCTGACAAGATCGATCTTAGCGTGGATAAGGTTCCCGTCGTCCCTGCGTCTCTTTCTCCCTGACCCAGGGAGCTCCCACCTGGGACGAACGCCGGTTTTGGGGGTGGGAGGGCTCGTGCGAAGTCACAATCACATCACCTGAAGATCCACATGAGAAGGGAAAAGAGAAGAATCAAGGAAACAAATGATGAAATCAGATTGACAGCACCACATTAGTGCATTGTCGCATGTTTCTATGTACCTCATCCTAGAAACAAGTTGAGAAAAGACAACCCCCCACCCCAACCCAATATCAGATTACCCTCGCCACGAACCACCCCTGCAACCCGTTTGCATCCCATTCCCGGCCCAAATCCACAGTTCTCTCTCTCACCACACACACTCATTTATTCGGCTTGGGCTGGAACCGGTAGATAATGTCAGAGAAGCGGCCTTCGGGAAAGACATAGAGCCACCGTAGGGTCTCGTCGGGCCCGCAGAAAACGCCGTGCACAACGTCGCCGGGAATCCATAGCATACTGCCTTCGGCGACGCGGTGCCGCTCGCCGTTGATCTCGACCTCGCCGGCGCCGTCGAGCACGTAATACATCTCAGCCTGTGTGTGCTCGTGGAGCTCCAGGCTGCCGTTGGAGGGGCACGTCGCGATCCCGACGCACATCGAGTCAGTGCTGGTGGTGGGGCTGGAGAGCAGCGTCTGCCACATGACGTTGCCGAAGTTGGCGTCCTCGAATGAGCTGGTCTCCACAGCGGTGATCGTCTTTTTGTGCATGATGACTGGCATCCTTGAGGTTTCCATCCGGTTTTCTATTGTTCTTTTTTTCTTTTCCATTTTCTCCCGTTGCTCTCCTGATGTCGGGCGGACCAGTGGCAGAAAGGGCCGACGCCAGAGAGGTTGCTTGGCGTTGAAGTAGTCGTCGACTCTTTGAGGCGAATAAGGAACGGCCAACGTTCCTTCTATGGGCTTGCCGGTGGAAAGACTACGTGAAGCTCGGACTGATGCCTAGCTTGGATTGGGAGGAGATAGAGGAAGGCGAACGCCGCGTTGCTGGCAGTCCTTAGACAAGATGGGTTTACTGGAAGAAAGATGGATGGACGGATGGATGGATGGATGGTATTTCTCGTCTATATCGAAAAGTCAGGCGAAAACTGGATCTAGATGGGGCCATTGTGGTGCGGGGGATTATACTTGTGTGGATGGAGCCGGTCCGAACTCGCAACGAATCATGGCTTTGTAACATTTTGACTCCGGTCGGTCTCATGGAAAAGCCTTGGCGATGGTGCCAGAGCCCATCGTGCCATGTGGGTTTGATCCTGACTCGGATCACATGACCGCTAAGAATAGAGTAAATAACAAAGGAAAAACAGAGATTGGACAACCGCATCTCACTCTTTCCATCGTCACACTGCTCTGGTGGATCTTGCTTGGTCATCCTCTTCCTCCCCGGGTTCCTCGCCCGTGGCAACCGGTTTTACTGTTATCATCAACCCAGGGCGTGGTTACCGCGCCTAGCATTGATTTTTGATTCCTCGGTTATCTATAAGGTTGAAGCATTCCCCGCATCGGATTTCATCGAGCTCGACTTTTGTGATACAACCAACAATGACTAGCACAAAACCTACCCAAGATGTCCAAGGCGATCTATATCTCACCAATCGATGGCAAACCGGGAAAGCCGGGTCAGGTCTACTACCCGCTATCCCTGCGCACACTGCCCCGGCCTTCTCCGCAGGGCCGTGAGCTGCTCGTGAAACTGACCGCCGCTTCCCTCAATCACCGCGACCTCTTCCTGCGCCAGCACCTCTACCCTGGTGTGACCTTCGATGTGCCCTTGCTTGCTGACGGCGTAGGAGTCGTCGTCGGCGTTGGCCCGGACGTCTCGAACCCCGACAAGTGGCAGGGCAATCAGGTGATTTTGAACCCCGGTGTGGGTTGGAAGGACTCCCCCGATGGACCGGAGGAGGCAACGGGCTACCGGATTATGGGGGGCACCAAGGTATATGACAAGGGGACACTGCAAGAATATATCACCATCGAAGACTCAGAGGTTGAAGTAGCCCCTAAGCACCTCTCGGATGCAGAGGCTGCGGCTCTCCCTCTGACGGGATTGACGGCATGGAGAGCTCTGGTGACCAAAGCCGGCGACAAGAACTCCAAGGATGGTTCCGCCGTCCTAATCACGGGTATTGGCGGAGGCGTCGCATTGATGGCGCTGCGGTTTGCAGTGGCACGAGGCGCGGATGTTTTTGTGACGAGTTCCAATGAGGAGAAGATCCAGAAGGCCGTCGAGCTCGGTGCGATGGGTGGCGTGAGTTACAAAGAAGAAGGCTGGGATAAGAAGGTGTTGGGAATGCTCCCGTCTGGCAAAAAGAGCTTTGATGCTATCATCGATGGTGCTGGCGGAGATTCCATCGAAAAAGCTGTCAAGCTGGTCAAGGTTAGTAATTTGCGCAAGACGATGATCAACGGAATGAGCAGCTCACTCGTGTTAGACCGGTGGGGTTCTCTCCGTCTATGGGATGACGGTATCTCCCAAGATGCCATTCCCGATCCAGGCCGTTCTCAAGAACATCGATGTTCGTGGCTCCACGATGGGCTCTCGAAAGGAGTTCAAGGAGATGGTTGAGTTTGTCGACTCGAAGAAGATCCACCCGGTTATATCACGGGTGCTGCAGACCGAGCTGGATGACCTAGCCGCTATTGACGGGCTGTTCGTGGACATGAAGCAGGGCAAGCAGTTTGGAAAACTGGTGATTGACTTTGGCACGTCGTCCTCGAGCAGAAAGTTGTGAATAGCGTCAGCGTTGCCTTTCATGAACTTGTGCGATCTACGTAGACGCATGGGCAGAATCCATGCTTTTGATTTCGCTCTGAGCGCAGTATCTCATACCTCCATTTCAAATCGGCCAGACGGATCAGTTCTTAGTAGGTACGCTCTAACATGGCCGGCCATTCCAGAGCCGATAACGGTCACTTTTTGACGAGGGCAGCCCCGTGATGCCGTGAGTAACGACCTTCAGCTGTAGACAATTGAGGGGAAAACATGGTGATGGGAGGAGATTTCAGGAACACGGCCCACGCCCATGCGCTTTGTCAGCAGGCAACATCGTAACGTATTTCCTGGCCGATCGGGCCACCCGGCCGATCGGGCCACCCGGCCGATCGGGCCACCCTATCTAAAACCGCGTATTTCTAGCTACCTACTAATTTTAACCACCTACCATACCACTAATTCGACCTAGATCTCGGCAGAAATTAGCTAGCCAAGAGGGCAAGATCCTATTAGCCCTATCTGATTTACAAGAAGGCCGTATTAGCTCTATTCGCGCGGTAGCTAAGCTATACGATCTACCTCGTACTATACTCTAACACCGCGCTAGCGGCTAGGCCTCACGCGTTAATACGCGCCTATCTAGTTATAAATTGACCTAATTAGAAGAGGATTCGCTTTGCCAATGGATTATCTCTATAGATTCACGTAGAGTAGCGCCTAGGTAAGCTACTATACGAGAGATAGCTAATATCCTACTAGCTGCACGCGGTAGCCACCCTCCGCCTACTGTTAGTAAGAACTGGCTAAAAAACCTTTATTAAACGGCGCGAAGAGCTTCGCTCGCGATACTCGAGGAAATACGACTATAAACGCGCATTAAATAAAGACCTAAAAGCCCTACGAGCCTGGTTCGCGACCGTATAACGTATAGTTAATAAGAACGGGATTTAACCGGAGGATATATATAACTTTGATAAGATAGGATTTGCAATTGGCCTTATTTCTACGTAGAAGGTTATTACGCGGGCAGAAATCTACGGTCGGCCACGTCTTTTATAATTAGGAAATCGCGAATAGGTTACTACGATTAAGGTAATTAGCGCTAATAGCTATTCGCTTCCGCTATACGTGATTTTCAAAGCTAAGGTTGCTATCGCTAGTTAGTTTAATAACCTACTAAAAGATTAGCGAATCGAGGTCTCTACGAATAGCTAGACTACCGATAAGATTAGCCTACGTTAGCTATAAAAGCTCTTTATCCTATTAACGAATTCGCGTATGTTACGAGGTAGACCGTCAGAAACCCGCGGGGGATAACGACAGCCAACCAAACCCGCAAGAAGGACGACACCTGCAGAAGTCACGTGCAACCAATGAGAAGCATTACACATATGCTTCCTAGGAGCAAGATTATATAGAAAAGGTGCTCCCAGGAGCAAAGTGGGTCCGTGTAAAAAGGGCATTTTACACACTCACGATCAGTGATCGATCAGGGTGATCAAGGACACGGTGTCCTTGGGGCGGACAATATCCTGTGTGTATAGCTATATATATACCAGATCTTGCCTGGCATAACGAACTACCTAAATAAGCAGTCACGTGACGACTCATCGAGTGATGAGCTTGACTTATCTACTAATAAGTCCGGATAGCATCGAGTAATAAGTTCCGACTTATCGCCTAATAGGAAGGACTGGATATATAAGGACACTCGTTACTATTATGTATTTAGTTCTTCGCGATTAATTACACATTATTACTTAGTTACTACCTTTAGTACTTTGCACTTCATAGTTCACCTTTAAGACAACCTAACCTATAAGTAGGGGATTCACTTAGTAGCAATACTTAGTGATTAACTTACTTAGCGCGCACTTCTGGCACGTTCTGTAAGATACTTAATAGGATCTATCCCGTAGTAAGGCCTTACGAGGCAACGGCACGATTAAGAGATACTCTTAGAATTCGAAGTTATGCCGAGAGGGCCGGAATCAGCCGTAATAGTATATATCGTTATTGTACCGGATTATAACGACGACTTAGGTAACTATTGCCCTTTCTGTACTTACTCCTAGTGACTAGTCGGCTACGCGTAATATATTAATCACCCTATCTTTAAACCGTGAAGCAAAGTCATTATAGTAGGTAACACAGCACTAGTAGTAACGTATCCTCGAGTAGGAGGCCCTTAGTGACCCCTAAGGAACTTATAGATATAGTGACCCAGCTCTAGGAGTACATCGCCACCTTAGAGGCCAAACAATCTCGAAGATCTGTGAAACTCCCGAAACCGGAGTTCTTTAAAGGAGGCCGATCTAAGCTTCGTAGCTTCCTCACACAGATAGAAATATAACTACGTATAAACCCTTAAATCGCAAATAAGGACGACAAAGTGGTCTTCGTTTCCACCTACCTCCGCGGATAAGCTTTCGAATGGTTCGAACCTTTCATCCGTAAGTATTAGGAAAAAACCGACAAGGACGAGTAGAGCGACACCACTAAGGAAATATTCGTATCGTACGCCGTATTTAAGAAAAAACTAGAATAAACTTTTAGCGACATCGACGCCATCCGCAGCGCTAAACGACGCCTACGACGACTTAAGTAGACTAGATCGGCTAGCACCTATACCGCCGACTTCTAATAAGTTATCTCCCACTTAGACTAGGATAAGGACGCCTATATCGCTATCTTCGAGGATAGGTTAAAGGACGACGTCAAAGATAAATTAGTCCGGATCGACCGACCTAAGACTATTAGCGAAATAATCGAAATAGCGGTTCGTATCGATAACCGACTATACGAACGATACCTCTAACATAAGGAAACCCGCTAGTGAAGAAGCTAAGGATAGCGATCCTTCGGATATACCCGCCGCCACGAGGGCCGGCGAGGGCAGCGACAATAACCTAGGGAGTATAGCGACCCCTACGGACCACAACCTATAGAGCTTAACGTAGCGAGACTCCCCGCCGAAGAAGAGAAAAGGCGTAAGGACAATAACTTATGCTTTAAATATAGAAAAGTAGGATATCGGGCGCGTAAGTATAATAATAAGCGTAATAACGTAAAGCTATAGGCGCGTAAGCGAAATAACGGACGTAATAACGTAAAGCCATAATAGCTAAGGGTAACTTAGGATAACGAGGTCTAACCCTAGCAACTCAGAGCCACCCACGACGGGATAGAGCGTCTAAAAGAAGCGATCACTAGGGTAACTCCGGACGAGTATAAGCACCTAAAGGACTAGGTTACCTAGTAGATAACCGAAGAACCACTAGTCAGGAAAGAACCTAGGGTTAAGCAACCACGTATTACGACTACGTAGCTAGATAAGGAATACCGCGGCCTAAATAGCGTAGCGTACGCGAAGGAAGAGTCTCCTAAAGAAGAGGAGAACATCGAGAGTTAAGGATAGACCTAGTACGGTCCCTAGAATACCATCGACTCCTAGGAACTATCCGACGAGTCCTAAAGATAGGGTATAGGGATCCTAAAGATACTAATCGAGATTCTAGGAACCCCGGAGATCCTAGAAACTCCACCCTAGTTCCTAGAAACGGATACGACTAAATAGCCTTAAGAGAACCCTATAGACGATCTAATTATTAAATATTTAAATTAGATTTACTAGATATAAGGACTTATTAAGACTAACCTCCTACCTATAGAGGCACTACAAGAACTTAACGATATACTTAAGAAGCTTTAAGGAGTAAGTAGCGGGATACGCGAATAATAGTAATACCCCTACTATAGTAACGAATATTCGTGTAGAGGATACATACGCTACCCTAATCACGGTCTTAGAACCGTATCGGTGTGTTACGACGATAACTATATAATATATTACTAAGGAAAAATCGAAAGAAGCCTAGAACCAAAGCCGCTACGCTAGGAATAGAAACTAAACTAGAAACCGGAATACGCGGGACTCTAGTTCGGAAACCGGAGGATAAACGAGTAACACCTCGTAGCTACTATATAGGGTACGTACGTAAAGATTTTTGCTAATATCGCGTTTCGACTAACTAAAGTAATAATCGACTCGGGAGCGGTAGGAAACTTTATAAGCCCACAATATAAACGGTAATATAAGATTAAAGGTATAGAGAAACCGTAAATAGTACCTTTAATCGGGCTTAACGGAGAAAACTTAGGGCCGGGTATTACGCACGAGAGTAGACCACTACTAATAGTCATTAGAGACCATTTCGAAGTCATTAACTTCGATATCACCCCCTTAGGTATATACGACGTTATACTAGGAGTACCATAGCTAAGGAAGCATAACCTAGCTATCGACTAGTAGGTTAGGAATATAGTCTTCGATAGATACTCGTGTCGATAGACTAGCGAAGTATAGACTAGAAAGATCGAGCCGATACCGCTAAAGAGACCTAGTACCGGGGAAGTAGATACTTATAAGATCCCTTACGAAGGAAATTACGAAAGGAGTTCTCGGCTAGGAGGTAGGCCTAATAAACGAGTAAGCGACATTACCGATATCGCTAATAAGGAATAGCGACTAGATATAACAGACGAAGAACTTAAGGAATACGTTCTCGTTAACGACGATACGACTACCCTCTATATAATAGGATTACTAGAGGAAGAATATAAGATTCCTAAGGAATATAAGGAATTCTAGGATATATTTACGCCACCACCGGACGGAGAGCTACCGGAGTATAGTCCGTTTAACTATAAGATTAAGATTAAGGATAGCTAAGAACCAAAGTTTATGCTAATTTACCTACTATCGCAGAAGGAATCTACGGTACTAGACGAATATATTAAGGAAAACCTTAAGAAAGAGAGCATTTAACACTCTAAGTCATTAGTAGGATACCTAATCCTATTCGTACCTAAGAAGGGAGGAGAACTTAGAATATACGTTAACTACCGATAACTCA